CGTGTGGAACCTAACCCTTGAGTTTTACATGTAAACATACGAAAAAATATGTCGTCTCGACTTTCGCGATTTACCGTTTACGCCGCGTATTTCGAGACCCTAACGGCTAACATGCCGTAAGTACGAGGACTGCCTGTATATAAAAACGCCAACGACATAAACAAAATAACAGGACAAAATGTACTGATGAATGTTGAAGCTTAACGAACCGCGCGGAAATTAAATTCGAGGACACAACGGGACTATTCCAACACAGAGCAGTTTGACTCCCATTTATCAACACTTTAAAATCACCTAAACAAAAGTCCCGTGCAAAATCATTTTTCCTTTTGACGTATACATAAACTAAGTTTATAATATAAGGTACACTGCCACAGCGACCAAACGTTTTAAATTTGTTTTAATTTTATATCTATATAGATAGCTATGTAGGTTAAGAAAATTGTAAATAATATGTACTGTATATTTGATTGTTATGTTTAGGTTTTAATAAACGACTAGAGTTAATATGTAACGTAAACGTAACAATTTATGACTTGTAGGTACTGTTGTAGCTATCAATTCAAATGTTTAGTTGTAAGAATAAATCTATTGTTTTGTTGTTCATGGTTATGCTATAAGATTCTCGCATCGAGAAATATAATTTTTTAAACAATTGTATTAGTTCTGCTAATCACGTGTTACCCTTTACTAGTTATGTACCAATTAAGATCTCACGTTTCAGTTTTCGTTAATTAATCGCGGCTACCCCACCGTCCTTAATTATTACAACTTTTTACACACCATTTTTATTTATTATTATTTATACATCCCCCTAAAAACCGTCACCGAGCTTACCTCGATTTTTATGTTTTTAATTACTTTTTCTTAAATACTAAAATATTGTTACTGGAATAACTATTGGTATTGTTTTCATTTCTACTTTGTTTAAAATTAACTTTGTTATCAACCAATTATCTTTAAATGGATATTTTCTAGGCTACGGCTTCAGAGAGCTCTCTTCTGGTTCACGGTTAAACATCAGCGCACACTCCGTCACATCAAGGCCGCAGAGGTCAAGAACAATGGCTTGTACATTGAAAGAGAACTTTATGAGTCGGTTGAATGTCACGCTTTATTAATAAATCACTACACTCGGGTGACAAGGGACTCATAAGAATCGTAGAAGCTAAAGATCTACAACCCGATAACAAAAAAGCAAGACCGTAATCCGAGCATTCGAGGAATTGCTTAGACTGTATGGGCCTAAAAGTATTTCAGATACATGCCCTGCTGTCGGAGTGGAGCTCACGATCAGTAAATGCAAAATTGGAAGCATTTATGAATTTATTTTTTGTTTACATTGTGCTACCTATATATTATGAATAAACGATTTTGACTTTGACTTTGAACTGCCGTGCGATTCTGTAACTCACCTTTCGAACTCACTCAGCGGTTTTCGCAGCGGCAGTCGCACACAAATCAGTCGTGAAGCAGTATGATTTGGAAGTCATTTTATGATTTGGCATTCTGATAAGGAGGGAGCTTGTAGTGTATTATTTCTCTGCCAGCAGTCACAGATTCCGCGCAAGAAAGTTTGGGAAGACTGAGTTATTAAGTTAGGTCTTTAATTATTGTTTTGCAAGAATTCTGTAAATAAAAAAAACAATAAATAAAGTAGGTATATTATTTACTCGTATATCCTTGGTGAAGCCAATTTCTATAATAAAAATATTACAGAAACCGGCTAACGACTCGAATCTTTAAAATTCCAGTAATGCATTTATAAATCAAGATAATTTAGTAGTTCGATCAACTAAAGTTAAAAAAAAGTATTAATTAATATGCATATATAGAATAGCTATGTATGATTTGGTGATCCAACATCTGGTGGCTTGGGCAACCTCAACCGCAACTTATCCTAGCCTTTCCACGTGCTGTGACCGCTCGGTGACTACCATAATTTTACTTTGTGCATTCGTAATTAACGCATAGCCACATACTCGACACAGCGCGATTAGATTGCCTTATACTTATAACTTTATCCAGTGTTTCTATTTTTTTTATTTTTCATTGTTACAGTTGCATATCTATCTCTATATATATAAAATTCTCGTGTCACAATATTCGTTCCTATACTCCTCCGGACCGATTTTTATGAAATGTTTTATGCATATTCAGTAAGTCTGAGAATCAGCTACTATCTATCAAACCCCTAAATATTAAGGGTGGTCCACTCCTAAATTTTTATTTTAATAATTTTTATTTTATATTTTACATACAAAAATAAATAAACAATAAACTACAAGCTCCCTCCTTATTAGAATGCCAAATCATAAAATGACTGCTTCAAGGCAGGACTCACGCAACAAGCATTGAGAATTTGTAAATAAATTTCCTCTCTATACAGATATTAAATAAGACAGGAATTTACGCAAAAGATCGTACTTACCGTTTTCATCTTTGTAACGGCGGCACAAGGAAAACATTATGTAGCCGGAACTGTCTCTGGAAAAAAATATTATTTATATTTAACTTTAAGCTAGTAGGTAATTGCTTGGGCTTGTAAGCATTAAAAAGTACAGTTATTTTTCCTTTTTACTGCGATATTTGTCTACGTTCAATTAAGTAAGGTTATTAAAGTGTTAGTATGTTTATGTAAAACTTAAGAAGAGAATAAAAGCGATTCCTACATAACAGTATGTCAGCGTCGGCTTAGCCATTTTCCCGCGGGCGGCGGGCAAATTGCGTGCTACAAAATTGTTCGGACTCACTTAAAAATTCAATGAGAATAAATGTATGCAAAGTGTTTCAGACATTGCTTTTATGTACTGTATTGGCTGTGCATTTTAAAGCAATAGGGGGAAGTTATGCCAAGTCATAACAAGAGCTTAAAAAATTGTTAAATTATATTTCGGTTGAAATGCAATAGATTTTGTTGCTTCTATATTAATAGATACTATTAATGATAGATTATAGTTAGTTTACATAAGTAAGGTACTTTACGGTAGGTATACATTAATTTATTACACAATACTTGGATGTTTTGAAAGAAATTACCCTCACCAATGGTTGACCAATAATTGATTTTATCAAGTTTATACAAAAAGATTAGGTAATCATTGAGGCCATACACGCCTTAAAAAGTTGCCAATGTCTACAACCACTTCGTTTCCCGGTTCAAGTATAATTGTTTTGAAAATGGTTTGAATACAATTTTGTTTTTTTTAACAAAAAAAGTTTCCTTTAGGTAAAATTTGCTCAGAGCTTAAAATACTAGTGTGAATATGGACCGTATTTTAAAATCTTAAATCTAGTTTCAAGGATTAATTAATAAAGTCTCTAAGACGAAGAACTAGGAATTTAACGCGAAATGTTGTAAACAATTAATAACGATCCACACAAATTTTTATTCCTTATTATTTTTGGCTAACATTTTCCATGAAATGTCTACAAGAAGAATCTGTTCTATCAACTCTTATATTTTCATATACAACTTATAGATAAATAAATAAATACGAGCTCGAAATAATGTTACAATGCGATGAAAATAAAAAAACAATGGAAGATAAAAGTGCCTTCTTATAAAGAGGAATAAATCTTAATGGTTTCAATAACATAGTAATTGTTTAAATAACATAGAAACTGATTTTAATAAGCAAGGGTAGGAACTGACTGTCGCGAATTTATGTATGAACAATAACAAACTAATATAATAAAGATTTTGAGTACGAATTACAGAATGAATTATTAAATTTAAAGGAAAGGAATACTTAGGGTATGATCTTCTATTATTATTTACTCAAGGAGAGTAAAATTTAAAGGAATATTCAATTTCTTTTAATGAATATACAAACTATCTCGTGAACATCGTGCAAGGTACAAACCTGCGTTTGTTCTAGATTGTTGCTTCTTCATTGAAGCACATAGTGTATCACTAAACCCTATATAAGTATCTGCTAACTTACAGTCACAACACAAGTCAAAGTCACATGTGAGAAAAAAAGAAAGGTTTGAATCGACGTGTAAACGCCACGGGGATTGGAAAGCGACTGCCGGCGTTTTCGCGATCAGCGAGCCGGTTGGTGAAAATCCGATTCCCGAACGAATACTTCAGGATACGTAATAAACTGCTCCTCGGTTATAAAATATGCAACACTTACGGCAATTGTATTTGCTGCACTCGATTACTAAGCTTTTACCAATCCTTTCCTATGCACACTTTATATGTTTGGAAACACGGTAACACTATTTATTTAAAAAACTAATGAATGTGGAATGTGAAAAAGTTATTGAACGGGTGGGCAGATTATATGGTTTGTATGGTATAATAAAAATTCAAAGTCTCAAAGGATTCAAGTGTGAAGCACACTTTAATTCAAAATTCAATGTCAGAGACAACATTTCTCATAGCGTGCGTAAGTCTTTTGAGTAAATATTATTTGGATTGAATTCTAAAATGTAGAAATCACACGCTGCATCTTAGCTCATATATAACGGTTAATTACTTTGTTCATATTATAATAGGGGGGCAAACGAACCTACGGGACCCACCCATTTTGCGTTGCCGGCCTTTGAGGGTTACGTTTTACAACCACTAAAATATATAAAATTCATTTCATATCATTACCAATTTAGTTCTGGGTTTTTTGGGTTCTACCGTTAAACCTTAAAACACATCGAAGCATCGAACACATCAAACAACAAATAAAGTACTGAGAGGTATGAGAACTTCTACTTGTGAATAAGTTTAATGATCCAGCGAAGGCGGAGCCATTCCCGACGGGTAACCCGGGTACCGTTTGCTTGAACCGGGTGACCCGGTCACAACGCGACCCGGTTACCGGCTGATATGCACGGCCCGGGTAGTCGCTTGCACTTCAGGATTGATTTCCTTCAACTTGGCGGCATCCATTTTTAGCAAATTGAAGGCACGACGGCTAACGGGTTAAGTATTTTTTTCTTATAAACGTTTAATGTAAAAACAAAACACATTTAAAACAAAGTTACTAATGTATACTTTAAAGTAAGCTATCAAATGTTAAACAGTCCAGATCGAAGGCTTTAGTGTTCTTTAAAGAAGCACACCTTTTTAGCTCTTTTTCAAATTCACCATAATCACAGTCACTATCGATCTCGGGTGTGTATTGGATCCCTTTTATAACAAATTTTAATAAACGTCTCATACTAAGTAGTTCTTTCTTCAGTTTCACAACTAAGTTTGACTTTGAGTCCAATAAGGTCTTTAGTTTTTCTTTCTCTAATTGCATTAGCACGTTCTTTGTTTGTCTTCTTAGATCTCTTTGATTTGCTGCCTCCAATTGTTTTTTAAATTCATATAAGACTATTTGAAAGCATTTCTTCGACTCTTCTAGGTGCCTTTTAAGTTTAATCACTTCGTTTTGTAACATATCTATATCAGCATATAAATTGTGTAGTTCGCCGTTAGTATTTTTATTTACAAGAGGATTGATTTTATTTTTGTTTCCAACTTGCTTTACGATAACTTCGACTGCCGTGGTATTATTTCTGAACACCTCTCGAGGGACATTGTGATTATCGGTAGCTTTGAAATCTTTGGTTGGATAAAGTTCTTCAGGAAACGGTGGTTTGGTTTTTAAGTTATTCATAATTTTGCTTAGATATTTATAAAAAAAATATATTTTGTTGGACTTTTCATTAATTTTCAACTTTGACAACCTTGACTTACCATACTGACATATATGGCTTGGTCAAATGCAGATACTAGATAATTTTCTACAAATTCAATCAAATCTGTGACTAATTCTATTCTAAATTCAAATTAGGTGTAGGTTGACAAGATATACGTCACAGAGAGTAGTTGAAATCCCTTCAAGTGAATTTATAACGCGTTTTACTTTGTCTTAAGTATTTTTCTGAGTTGTATATTTTTTGCGGGACCTACTATATTATGCAGTCGCCATCTTGTCTATCCCCAACCGAAACCAGTAGTCTTTTTTCCTACTCGTATATTCGGGAGACAAAATTTAATACATATTTTGTTTGTTATAAGAAAATGGAACTCGATATTTGTGTTGATTTGTTAAATCACAATTTCTTCTCACCATTCTACTTTTTATGTTGTCTGTCGAAAGAACACTTAAATGAGTTAATAATTTTTATGATTTACTATAAGGTACTTATTACAGTTAAAGTAAAATATTTTCAGCACTTCTTCTAATTAAATAATTATCATTTTCCAAGAAAATTTGCATTCACTTTGTATTGTTCTCCTTTAAAAACAGAAGTAAATATAAGAAACTGCGTCTAAAAGTTGGAGATAGCGTCGGCAAAGCGTTTTTCCGGTCAGAAAGGTTTAAGCGAAGCGTGAGATTGGAGCTCTGTACTGCCGGATAACTTGCCATAGCTTTGAAAGAAAATAATCATAGACTGATTCTCTTATATAATATGAATTTTCCACTAAATAGTCTATACTTTTAATTGATTTGTTTTTGCATCAAAGAATGCATTAGCATAAAACCGAATATAAGTGGTATTATTAGCTGTTGTCTTGATAATTTTCTATCATTTTTCTATCAAGAAGCCAACATTATGACGATTAAACAACTATATGTTTATAGCTCCTGTATCTTAAAAAAAAAAATAACTCTCTCCATAGTAGCTTATCATTTAAAAAATCCCACACACACCCCTACACGCAATACTCGTCGAGGGAGTTTGCTTATCTTGCCGAAGCCCCGTACAAATTATTTGAAGAAGTCTATTAAGTATGTGGGTGTGCAATTATTTAATCAATAACCATCTAAAATTCGTAATATCAGCGCGTATATTATATTATACGAACGATTTTGTAATGAGAAATAAGGTTTTAAACATTAAAACCTTATTTTAAAACATTATGTTATTCTATAATTTTGCCTGGATTAACCTTCTGTACTTATCAGACGCCATTGATGTTTAATCTTAAACCTGTGCTGATTTCCTTGTATCTCTTCTCTGACATTCGCGCTATTCTAGGCTTAAGACAATACTTAATGGTAAAAAAATTAAGAAGAAGTTACGTTATGAGTGTGAATGAACGAGGCTGGGTTTTATTGCATCATGTCCAGTTGTGTAACCGTTGCGTTATACAATTCAAAGGACGATCTACCAATGAATTTTAACACTCACGGTACATTCAGAGAATTTTAAAGTAAGTAAATATTCCAATGAAATGGATCGAATGGTCGCTCGAGTGTTAATCAAATAGCTCTTAGCGACAGGGTTAACGGGATTAATCAACCGTTTATTGCGTTTTAATTATATTAGTAATCACGTGTTGGGTGTAAATTAGCTTGATTTAACTAAGAGCAGGTAAGTTGATATGTGATAGTTATTTATGCCTTTTCCTATTCAAAAATAATTACTGTAGATCGATTTTATATTACGTTTCGAATTCTTCTTATGAAATAATAAAACACATACTTTCGTCTCTTCCTGTCAAACTTTGTTAACGCTGTGATAAAAAGAGACAAATGAGTACTTTAATTAAATTATTGCATTAAAACTTAAAATTAGTATAGTTATTTAAATACAATTAGTTTTCACTCGGTGGTTAACGATAAAACGTTTATGATTTATGTAACTTATATATATATATATATATATAAGTTATGTATATACTATATTATTTAAACCAATAATTTTTCTTCAAAAAGTTCTAAAGCTTCAGTCTTCAGCATATGTTCGGTGTTGTAAAATAAGTTTATTAAATGTAAAACTTAGACGCTAAACCAATGCGTCGTATTTTTACGTAGGCTGGCTTTACGAGTGACATACGGTTCTACGCGCCTTGCAATCATAAAATATATAATCATAATGTATATTGTTTTTTATAGGAAAAGCAATGTTGGCCTTGTGGCTTCAGGGTGCGACTCTCATCCCTGAGGTCGTAGGTTCGATCGATCCCCGGCTCTCCACCAATGGACTTGCTTTCTATGTGCGCATTTAATATCGCTCGAACGGTGAAGGAAAACATTGTGAGGAAAGCGACGTGTCTTAGACCCAAAAAGTCGACGCGTGTGTCAGGTACACGAGGCTGATCTCCTATAGATCGCCATGATACTTGTCTATTAGATTGACAAATGATCATGAAACAGATCCAGAAATCTGAGGCCCAGACTTAAAGAGGTTGTAGCGCCACTGATTTATTTTATTTATTTAATGTATATATTGAATCAATTATTTTTATAAAAATAATTCGGATTAAGGAAGTCAACTTAGGATAGACTGAATTTAAAAATTTACTTGGCCTTGTTTTGGAAGCAAAGATATTTAGATTTTGAAATGTTTAAAACAACAGGCGGCAAAACAAAAGATTCGTTAAGTCAAAGTATGGCGAGTACTCTTTAAACAATGAAGGACGACTGTAAAACTTTGTGATGTTCAACTGGGTAACGTACGTACTTGGGATATATTTATTCACATTTATGTGTAACTGTGCCTTATTAGTTAATGAAAATCAGAAGTCAACTCATATCATAAATATCATGATTTTCCATACAATTTATGTATGCATCCGTAACCTCATTCCGTGAGAACATTCGACGGCCCACTTTCACGACCTCGAGTTGACAATACGTTACGTTAAGGCTTTATAAAGCTGAAGAATTTTCTCTCAACTGCTAAATGAGATATTTCACTACTTTATTATTCTATCTCTATCTTTAATCGAAATTCTTCAAAATTTGATTAAACTACTTATTTTTATTTACAGGATAAAACTCTATTAGGAGCAATAGAATTCAAAATAACCGATAACTTGGATGATACATCGTTTTTATATCCCAGATCCAAAGAATGCCCTTGCTAATAAAATATAGACGTAACGATATCTACTGATATCAAAATATGTCCTTTCAGTTTAAGAAACACAAAAAAACATGTGTGTGTACTTATGTACACGCGTTAGAAGTTCTTCTTCTTGGCGTAAGAAGATAAAAATCTCTTTAAAATTTTTATCTTTCGTCCTGTTCTACGGTTGTAGAAAAAACGACACTAAAAATAGAAAATAGGTATTTAATACATTTAAAGTTTTATTAAAACGCATTATCTAGTTAAATAAAGTTAATTTAAATATTCACAAAATTTATTTCTACATAATTAAAGAAATGGGCATGTTGACTATGCTAACTTGAGGGATGTGTCGGTTTTTTGTGTCGGCTTTTTGTGACGGTGTGCGCGCTAATCGTAAAAAATTACTCTCATCATTTTTGCCTAACGCGTCAAAAGAACTCCAAAACGCAACTATAAAACATATACCTCAAATTACACTGGCCGTGTAAGGACAGCCTATTTGAAACTATACAACAGTTTCAGTACAAACATCTAGCGTCTCAGTAGGCATGCTATTGAGTTACGCGAACCCTCTTTATTGAGTTAACTCCCACGTCCGTATAACCTGTTCTCCTTATTTCATTAAAATATATTCCTGTTATTGCCCTTATTGCAATGGTAACACATATATTGAATTATGTTTCACATTGTATAAAAGAAACAAAGTTAAAAATAAAATTATCTTTGGTTCAGTCTCGTACTTTTTATATTAAACTTAAGATAAAGTTACTTTTTGATAAAAATTCTAAAACGCATGAATTAGACCGAGAACACTCGAATTGTGTAATGTAATAATTTGGCGCTTATATCCGTTATAGAAGTATTATCAAAAAATAACTTTATCTTAACAATTTGTTTTATAGTCTAATTTCTAAAAATCTAATTTACTTTCATTTGCCAAAAAATATTTCGTACGGAAAAAAATAATAATCAAACGCTTATATCGTCAGATACCCTTTGAAAGGTCTCGAGATTATGTGATTAACACCGCAACAGAAAACTAAATTTACGTGCTGCTGCTATGAAAACCAACACGATTCTTCAATATGAATTAAAAGAGGCTTTTAGGGCAGGTAAAAGTCCTTCAGGTATTTCTGCGAAATAGATAAGAGTCACTCATTAAAAAATGCGTGCGTACAAAGTACACGTGTCAGAAGTGAAACTTCCTTGGCAAACAAATTTTTAACTCTTGTTCATATTTATACAAATCTAAAACTTAAGATTTCCGAGACTTAGAGGACGGATAAAGGAAGATATGTTAGGAGTGATAAATTATACTGCTCAAAACAATTAGCGGAACAAGATTTTTCTCCTTTCTATTGCTTAAACTAAAATTAGATTTAAATTAACTTGTACGCTATTTTTTACCTTGTTAATTTGTTAATTACTACAATTAATAAAAAAATTCAATTTGTATTTTTTTTATTACAAAAAAATTAAAATGTGCATTGTAGTCGAAAAACTAATTGGTGATAAAAAAGGTCCATCAAAGAAATATTCTTATATCGTTTGAATATTCGTCTTTAGTGACTTTCAGTAACGTGTGTGGCCTCCATGAGCCCTAATCACGGCTTGACAACGACGCGGCATGCTTCGTATGATCCTCCGAATATCTTCTTGTTGAATTCGCTCCCATTCTTCAATCAACGCTTCAGTGAGCTGCTGCAGTGTTTGAGGTGCAATCGGACGCTTCCGGATGCGCCTGTCAAGCAAGTGCCAAATGTGGTCAATTGGATTTAGGTCAGGGCTCATGGAAGGCCACTCCATTACAGGGATTTCCTGCTGTCGTAAGTAATCTGACGTGATGGCTGCAGTATGCGACCTGGCATTATCTTGCATTAAAAGAAAATCTGGGCCCATACCATATGCTGCGGGCCAAACATGATCTTCGAGCACATTTTCAATGTAAGTTTGAGCACACAAGCGCCCGGGAACAACGACGAGATCTGTGCGCTCGTCCAAACTAACTCCGCCCCAAACCATCACAGAGCCACATCCAAATTTGTCATATTCCTGGACTGCTGCTGCACTGTATCGCTCGCCTGGGCGTCTGTAAACACGGAGACGACCATCGCAACGTGTTAGACGGAATCGTGATTCGTCAGTAAAAAGCACTGGCCTCCAATGTCGAAGTTGCCAATTAGCGTGATTTTGCGCGAACTGTCGGCGAGCTTGTCTATGTTGAATTGTTAGACGCACAGCCTGAACTGGTCGGCGTGATCTCAATTGGCTTCCAACAACCTATTTCTTACCGTCTGGTCGGAAATTTCTACACCAGTAGCCGTCCTTAGTGTATTTTGTAGATCTCTTGCAGTTGTGGTGCGGTTACGTAAAGCACAGTTGACGATGTAGCGATCTTGCAAACGTTTAGTTTTTCTCTTTCGACCTTGACCACGCCTTCGTGAGTATTCTCCCGTCTCACGGTATCGCTTCCAAAGTCTGTAGATAACAGAAGGGGCTACTCCTAGATCATTTCCTACATAACGCATAGTTCGACCCTCCTCAAGCAAAGCGATAGCTCGGAAGACATGCAATTCAGTCAGATCTGGCATTATGACCTAAACTCACTCGCTTCAATGAATAACAATACTCAAAAGGCTCACTTCAATTTCTATTAATACTCAAAAGATTGAAAAAAACTACTTAAAATGTGTTTTCTGTGATTAGAAAGTAATGAAAATTCAAAGACGTCACTTTGTTTTTCGTCTACAATGCACATTTTAATTTTTTTTTTAATAAAAAAAATACAAATTGATTTTTTTTATTAATTGTAGTAATTAACAAATTAACAAGGTAAAAAATAGCGTACAAGTTAATTTAAATCTAATTTTAGTTTAAGCAATAGAAAGGAGAAAAATCTTGTTCCGCTTATTGTTTTGAGCAGTATATTTTGTATAAAATACTAATATTTCATAAATTCTCTTTCCGAAATTTTAATTTTAATTTTTTTTTTTGTTTTTTTTTCTATTTCTACACCCTTCTCACTCTGTCTCAATCGCTCTCTACCTTTTATTCGAGAAAAACACTGCACATCTTTTGACGTTTCGTAAAAAATTTACCCTCATGCGCCTAAAGAAGTTTCACTTCAAAAAAGAGATATAACACACTGTATGAGTGTGGGAAAGCAAGGGGTAGGCTTTTCACAGTTCGCTTATATTAGCTCACGCTGGTGCCAAACAGTGTTGATTGAGAGAGGAATTGACATTTAAAAAAAAAACAGCACCCTCGATAGTCTTTTCTTTTTAAGAAGTTATTTCCAAAATCACTCCTAAATATCCAGTATTGGTGGATAGAAGTTATTCTGGAAATAACTCTTTATTTACCAATGCGAAGGCTTATATTTAAATAACTAATGAATAAGTTTCGTGATTTATTATAAATAATTAGTGAATAAATAACAGGAGTAGTTATAATAAATATTTTTCCTTACAATAATGTCATATCTTAATTAACCTCAAAAACACATCCTACCAGTTTTTATCGTGTTTTAGTTGTTCGATTTAAGCAATTGGTTTTCGAAAACTACCCGAGATCTCGAAAATACCGAGATCTGGCGAGATTGTAATTCTTCAAATTTTCTTATTGCACAACATTGTTCTCGCAATTAGTAATTCCTATGATTTATTTTATCTGTCCTTGTGGAATAAATGTTTTGTTTATTTATTCAGGAGTGATAATAAATTAACAGGTCAATTATAAATGATAAATATAAATTATTGTTGTTTAACTTAATAACACTTTATTGAACACAATCTACAAAAAAATATATACATATGTAAATTAGGTACCTAATGCTTTTCGCTCATAAGCCAATTAATTGTCCAGGAAATTTTACAACATGGTCTGATGCGGTGATGCCGATATCATCATAACTAATTTGATCATAAAATACATAACTCGAGGGAAAAATCTTAACGATTATTTATTGAGTGTTACTCTAAAGCAATACAAGCTCTGATAATATGCTTAATAATAAGACAATGCCGATATAGATTACCCACTGAAGCACGTAAGACCTCACTTGACCGTTAGCTGGTCCTTATCGTAAGTCAAGGGCAAGGTTCTTTAAACTAATTACGAATAAGTTAGAGAAAGTTACATTAAATAGATAAATAAATCATCATTATGAATTTAAATACTACTATACTATAGCACTTCAGATGGATAATTAACGATATCTTTTGTAATACCTAATATCGAATAGTAACACGTAATGCATAGAATTATGTCCGTCTATCTATCAATTACGTTATGTTATAACCTGAGAATTACAAGGATATTTAAGGTATTTCTTGAAAAAACCTGGGGTGTAAATGCTTGGGTCCATAAATTTTATATTTTCATGTGTGGTTAGCGTGTGTAAGCAATGTTTTTTTTAATACAGTTGCTCAAAAAGTGGCGTATTGCAGGGACGTATAGCGATCGGGATGTGGGCTATTACATACTCGAGCTTTTTCTTTACCTTTTCCGAACTCATGCGTTCTCTTTCCCAACTGTCATAATAATGTCTATTAAAGAACAAACCAACCACAAAGTTTTTATAAGAAAAATCATAGAACTTTTTATGATTCATGCAAATATTTCTAAAAAGAAGCTACTAATTTGTTTCAATATCAGATTTAATTCAATGAGTTAGGTTAGGTTTCATTTCATCTCATTAAATTTCATTTTCATTTCATATTAATAAAAAAATTCTACTGAAGACATGGCTGTATGGGCATAGTTCCCTTTGCCTACCCAGAATGGGTGAAGAAAACAAAATAATAAAAAATACAGTATAATTGCACAAAATGCTTCGGAGGACTTTTACCGGAAAAATCGAAAAATCGCTACTTATCTACATACGATAAATTTAATGCATGGAGAGAAGAGAAAAAAGCAAATAGTTTATTAAATTGCTTCATTTTTTCGCAACTGTATTAAATAAAAATTGTTTACACGTGAGGAACCGTCATTACAACTTGTTCCGACTGTCAACCGGAACTCTTCGCATTCCACACTCGTAATGAAATATACTAATTCATTGTGTTCATTAATTATGTTTTTTGTTTTTGTATTTATTCATTTTTGTAAGTATTCAATTTATATAATTGTATATGTAATGGCGCGTCACGCACCAACGTAACCTAGTTTTTTGTCAATTTAAAAAAAAATAAAATGAAACAAAAGATATATTTCATATCACGTATATTAAAAGTCTCCAAAAGTCAGATCAAAGTTTTTCGTATAGTAATAAATTTTATTAGCACATTATACAATAATATTAATTTAAAAAATTATTTATTTTATTACACACCACTTAAGTTAGATTTATTATGATGTTAGATGAGATGTATGACTTTGTAGATAATAATTCATTTCTATACATTATCACTTAACATAAACAAGTAAAAAATAATCGAAAATTGCCTTGACATAAAGAGTATTTTCGTTAAAATCTCTTTAAAAGACAAGAAAAAAATTTGCAAAGAAATATTTCTTAAATCTATTCAACTGGAAGTTAAACTTATTTTACATATTTTAGTTAATTTTCTGCAAACAATTATACAATATATAAAACTGGGTGATTCCAGAAAATCAAATAAAAAATTAGTTTTCTGGACTCACCCAGTTTTCTCTGTTTAATATATAGTCAGGTAATGTTTTGAATACAGCAGGGCATTCGAAATTTAAATATCCATCGAGTTTAATTGTAAGCAGAGCGTATTTTATAATTCTAGTACTTAAAAACTTAAGGCACATTTAGGTGGTAAGGTTAATAAAAAGTTATTATATTATTTATTATATTAGTTATTTATTATTAAGTTATTATTATTATGACAGACTAATCATTATCACTTAACCTAAACAAGTAAAAAATAATCGAAAATTTCTTTGACATCAAGAGTATTTTTGTTGGAATGTCTTTAAAACACAAGAAAAAATTAGCAAAACCCATTATTTTTATTATTATATATTCATATTAATCTTTTCAACTTCTTGCAAACAATAAGTACACATTTTTTCTAAACTATAGAACTACTAGCCATTAAATTAACACCGCAGGTTCCGTCTCCTCTGTAAACTCGATAATAACCCTGTTCGCCCCACGACGTACCCCACGAGTTCTTCACTATCCAATAAGGCAGATGCTTGTGGAAGAGAGGGTAGTCTGCAATTTATAAATAGTGTGGGTACAATTGCAGAATTTAAAACTTATTTACATATACCCGCAAATTTACATATTATTTGCATGTTTTGATGTACTGATAACTGTTTCGTTAGTTTACAAAGCTCAAACATAACTTATGTTTGCTTCAACTGTATAAGTCAGAAAAAATATAAAAATATCTAACATTGACATGATGTCATACAATTAAAGACTTTGTAAAACAAAAAAAAACCTTTTTCTTTTCTTTTTTTAATTCTATTGTCAACAAGTTTGTAGCTTTGGATTGGAAGCCACCTTATGTATTTTTATTTTGATAATAAATAATATATATATTTTTGCCGTTACCTTTGACACCATATCCCACGATAAGGACTCCGTGATCCAAGTTTTTAGGGCTGCACAACATCCGCCACGGATGAGAGACGCCACCCACGTAGAACTGCATCGCGTTCGCATTGATACCTAAAATAAATTATTTATTGTGTGATTTATTATCATTTAAAAAAATATTTTATTTATTCTGGGATGTAGATCCCTTATAATTTCAAAGATGGAAATTACCTTCTTGACCGTTGTTATTCCTCAATCCCATTTAAACATATAAATCAATTTTTTTAATTACTTTTAAATACAAAATATTTTTTATTGGATTATCAATTTATTGGGTTTATCTATATTTACGTACGGGCACAGCAATTTATAAAGACGGTGATTTTTATTATTATATAACAACGGACCTTGTTAGTATCGGTATCCTTATTAATATTATCAAAATTAGTACTATTCATGTCACACAATGCGTGTTGTAACATCGATGCGACCTACCTGCACTTTATTTTATATTTTTTATATTATTTTAACTAATATTCTTATTTTATAAAGTTTATTTTTAAATAAAATTATAACACGATGTAGATTACTATAAACCTACTCTAAAAATTCTCACAAAATGAATTCTTTGAGAAATAAAGTATCTTTGAACCGAACCCCCGAAATTTAGATTGGTGAATCAACTGATATTAGAAAGCATACAACGCTCAGTTTAGCGTTTAATTGGCTATGAATTTTAAAGTAATATAAGCTCCCTTAATAGGTTGTATTGAGGCACTTGCAATGTAAATTAACCTGAAAAAGCATGTATACAATTCGGATTAAATTAACCTTTCGAAAGCTTTACATATACAGTATGTCGTTGAGTTGTATAAATATTGTCATAAATTCGCATTTTAATCCGTAAGAGCCTGTGTAACGTTGACCTTGAGCTAACAAAGAGACCGCGGCAAGGAGTGCTTGCCTTGATCAGACGTAATAAAAGAATCACCTAAAATTGGGCATTTTGATTTTTTTATCATGGAATTTTTGGACTACAATAAGTCTTAACACTTATAATTACTGATATATTTATTATGTCGGTTCATCAAATTCATACGTTAGGTACGCTTTTTTCAACTTTTTTTAAATAGTTCACAACTTTTATCACTTTTTAGTGAGGTTAGGCTGTTAAAGAATGCATTCGTATAAAGAGTGAGTGACGTGTCGATCGCGTGATTGGTAAATGAGTTGACGTTTATGAGTACAATGCGCAAACTTTCCCCCACTCCCTTTTTAATGCTCAAGAAGTTTGCCGGTATCTGTATACGATACTAAAACGCGCCCAACCCTTTTTATTCATTATCTAACGAACACTTTCGTGTAGTTAGCCCGTTCACCGTCGTGAGAGAATTGGGTTTAAATTACTCTAATTGAACATGTGATTAGCGTAATTTGAAGAGATAGTCGATTTGTAGGGTTAGATATTTCCTTAGTAATCCCAATGTTCAGTAGTATTTACTACAAAATCTGAATTTCTCATAACTGTACAGAAAAATTCAGAGAAACTTTCCGAATTTCCGAATTTGTTATCAAGTCGGAGATATAATTAAGGTAATCATAAGCAATATTATTATTTTGATTACCAACGAAGCGTATAGGTCTAGACATTGTATATTGAAATGTGTTTAAATTAACTCTATATTTACTGTTTAATTATATACATTTGAATAAAAATTTGAATTGAACTTAGCTAAGGGTTTAGTGGCTTAGTGCTAAGTATGACATACATCAAAAACGCATTTGAGAACGGCAGTAATACTAAGCGCCAATCTCTATTACGATTACGAATACGCTCTTAAGCGTACTTGTTAATTATCATTCTTATTCATAATCGAAAAAACAATTTAATAATATTTATTTTAGGTCAAATCTTTTAATAAATAATTACCAGTATGCTATAAGGTAGTGACGGTCACAAAGAATCAAGTAATATGTTAGTTCTACAATGTAGAAAACCCGTTATTGCATTATTTTTATATTGCAAGGATGTTATATGTATATTTTCGTAACAGGAAAATGTAATTAACTAATAACCCTATTTTCCCATACAAACAAATTGAGATAAATTTGTCGATAATTTTAACACCATTCCAGATACATTCATACTAGACCAAGGTCATAATCGGCTAAGCGCTTTGGCGTGCTAGTTCCGTAAATTTAAAATAATACCTATTTACATTAAAACCAAGACATAAATTGAAGGATTTTGGATTTTACAAACGTTTTATTAGTTTGCTCTCCGAATATGACCTTCAATAATTTAATAATAATTTTCCTTACCAATCGATATAGGTCCATTTTGTGTGAGCCATTTGGCCATATCAGTCTCATTTGACGAGATATTAAGCGCTCCACTTATGTGTACCCTTGATAACGTCTTGTTGTATAGACATTTATCGTCGACTCCTTCGTATGGATAATCGTTTTCAGCTTCTAAGCCACCCAATTGTTCAATTGCCCTGTAAAATAAAAATTATTACGTATATATTTGCACTAGGAATAGTAACTGTTTAAAACGATAATTATTATAAAGATTAAACGAAGAAATACCTTCACTGTAGTCAATTATAATCTTAGAATATAGTTTTATTGATTTTTGAAGTACTTCTTTAGGCGCGTTATGAAAAATTTATGAGAGTGAAATTTTACGATGCGCGCGCACCGTGACACAAAATTATCAGTATGGGCGCCGAGCGTGCGCGAGCGAGATGGGAATAAGACAATCTACAAGTAAAAAGAAATAGAATATGCGTGAAGTTAGCAGCTATGCCAAGAATTTTGAATGACCATAATGACATTTGTAGTACCTTTTAAACAAATAAAGGAGTTTTAATTATTTTTTCAAAGAAATTTAGCAATGCTTTTTCACAAAGACTTATTGTTACTTAATTTTATAAGAATTAATAATATAATAAAATAATAAATAATTATTATTATTAATATGAAGTTAATAATTGAATAATATACTAAATATTGTTAAATTATTAACGCTAATTATTTAATATTTAAAAAAAAATAAAGAAAGCCAAAGAAGTATAACTTCTTACACGCACCATTTTTTTTTATTGTGTAGTTACAAAAGAAAATAACTTTCTACCAGTCCAGTTTAACACTAATTCGATAAAAAAATTAACCTTACAATTTAAAAACCTAAACCTTTACATAACAAATAATAGACATTCTGTGTATTATAAAAATTATTTTTGTGTTTTTTTTATTTTGGATAAACTCAAAAACAATTAACAAAGTTTTTATATTCTTTAAAATTAACCATATTGTTTGCGTGTTCTTCGTTAATTTTCATAAATATTGATCATAACACTTTCATCCATTTCTCAGATTTAGGTAAGTAGGTGGGTGTTGTACATAGTACATGTTATTCGGGTCTCAGGGTAAAATTAAAAAACGCGATTATGGCTCCCGTATGTCAACATACAATACGTTATATGTCATACATATGGTCTGACTTTGCATTAAATATTTATGATAAATCATTAATCATTTTACAACAAATAAAAAGCATAAGACAACTTTTAATTGTTGTATATGGGCAACACTTAATACATCATATTTGACATTAGTTTACTTCGATGTCTTTTTGTGTAACCCTAAAGGCGAATAAATCAATTTGTTTGTAAGATCGAAGTTGCCGTGACCCAAATATGAAAACGATAATATGAAACTTTTCGCAAACTTGTTTTGCGATAAGCGCATTCTTAACGTTACAGATAGAGATAATACGGATTTGTGTTTTATTCGTAACCGTATTATCAACAGTTCAAGATTCTTTTGCACAAACAAAACAAAACAATAGCTATAATATAAAAGTTATAAATTAAAATAATATTATATACTAGCCGACCCGGCAAACATTGTTTTGCCATGTATATTATTTCTTGGAAACATTTTTTTAGTTCATTAAAAATAACTATCAATAATAAAAAATAGGGGTTGATCGTAGAGGGGTGAACATTAAGGGATGTATGTGTTTATGTATGATGTACCTATCATAAAAAAATAAAACAAAAACTTTTGTCGAAATAAAAAATTTTTTTTGGGGTGGACACCCCTTATTACTTAGGGGTTTGAAAGATAGATAGTAGCCGATTCTCAGACTTACTGAATATGCATAAAACAATTCATAAGAATCGGTCGAGCCGTTTCGGAGGAGTATGGGAACGAACATTGTGACACGAGAATTTTATATATTAGATATTTCAATTAATGAAACACAACAGGACTATATGAAATTTATGCATCAGATAAGGAATTTTAAAAGCATGCTATTAAAATAATCATTAAAAAAACATAAATCAAATCAACACATACAAAGCATAAAAATTGAAACACACCGTAAAATTTTGATTCGTTCTTGAAATAATTAAGACTGGTATTAATAATTGGATATTACATGTAAAGTTTTCAATAAAAAAGTTATAATTATTTTGTTTCCTTTAGTTAGTTGGACTATACAAAAATCTATGCTAACATGTTTATATAATGTATAATTGCGTTAATAAAGCAATGTTGGGCAAGCAAGGGTAATGTTTCTTGTATTACTAAAATGTCAATAAATAGAGACCCATACATTTGCATTGCTCACTTGATAGAGTACAAAATACTTAAGTATATATATGTCGCAGCCAACTAGCTTAATAAGCCGTGCAATTCACAGTCTAGTCTCTTTACTAAACAGCGCCGTTCAACTAGAAACCTGAATGATATTCAACCAGTTAATCAAACAGCTAGGCAAATGACTTGCATCGATGACGTTATATTACTTGCCTATCCTGTTCATTTCAATTCATGTTGTTCCACTTTCTACCAACTACTCCAAACTGTCAATAAAGCTTTAAAGTAATTTTTTTTAAACAGTGTATTTTGCCGTTAATAGACTTGTAACTACGACTTCAAAAAAAGCTAGCGGCCGTACTTTCTTTTAATATTTACGCTTATCTTTTAATGGTTTTGCATACTGTGTAAGTGTAAAGCATTCTGGAATGTCAACACTTATTAATCGAATTTTCGATTTCTACATCAAAATTTTGTATTTATATTTTCTAATATCAATGATGATGTTGTATTCATACATATTGTTTTATGACTTACAAATTAAATAAATAATTTTACCTATAGGCATTATCAGGAAGGCCGCCGTTGCAACCCTCATCGAGTTTGTCACAATCCACCAACTCTTGTTCGGAGAGAGATAATAGTTCACCCGTTTTAATCTTCCACTGTCCCTCGACGTTGCCTGCATAGATATAAAAAGATCTAAGACGTTATTATTTAAACGCGAACTTATAATTGATATGATTACTAAGTTTTTTAAGTGTTAGAGTATACATATTTTGGAACGCAATGGATTTTATAACGATAGGCCCTTTTTTTATTACTACTAAATTGTTTACAAAATGTTGCACTTGGTAAGTCTCAGAATAAATTGCATTCACTAAATATTGATTTTATTATAACATCCACGTACATTCTAACAGGAAAGTTTTCTGAGAAACAGTATTCTACATATTTTAGATACGAAACTAATCCCTACAAACGTTACGTTAGCATATTACAACTGAATGTAATTTATATTTTTGTACCTGTCTGTGTTATGGTCATATAATTATCCTAGATATCATAAACGTCTCATGACCGACGCAGCTAACTGTAAGCGTAATGTAAATAGAGACGATAAACAATTACCAGTAACACTGAAAGCCCAGCAGCTGCCACAAGATCCTTGATTCTTCACTTCTGTTACAGCACCATACGCTCTCCAATCAAATTTATCTGGTATTTTCACATCCGGGATTTCCGCCATCCTAAAAGGTATTTGATTTTGATCTCTCAGACCAGGCTTTAATCCTAAGTACTTGTTGCTAAACTCCTCATACGACAAATCGGTAAATCTCGTAACTGCATAACGAGCCGTTCCCCTCTCATTCACATTCAGTTCGTGAATTGTTTTAACGTTATTCTTAAATATTTCAAATCGTTTCGCCATTTCACTATGATCGTCAATATATTCAGGCCTGTAAGTAGTTATAAAGTCAAAAAATAATTGTTCGGCTTGCAAGTGCACGTAAATCTCGGTGTTAACACCTTCCTCATAGTCACAGGACACACGATAATTGGGCGGATGATCCGTCCAGGGGCGTATCCACACGTTGACCCTACAAAATCTGTTATCGCCCATATTACTAACTAATTTGCATGTATCATTCAAGCTTAATGCTAAGCAATTTGTATTGCCTATTTCAATTTTCATGCGATAATGTATGCCAGCTATAGTTTGCTTTTCTAATGAAAATATTCTTACGACTTTCTGACGGCGAGGGTGCGGATATTTCGCCTCGATGTGTTTCAGGGCCTCTTTCGCCATCTGCATAGCTTGTTCGGGATTTTCGAATTCTACATGGGCTTCTAAAGGTGTTTCATCATCTTCACAATTTACTTCAATATTGTTACCATTATCTAACCACAAACGCTGCCAAACAGTCGATATACAACGTCTCCTTGGTAAATGTTCTAAAAACTGGCAATTTGTAATATTTTCAACCGCTTCATATTTTAGACAAGACGTATAGCCGACATCAAAGTTAATAGTTGTAACACGACCACTAGTTATTTTAGATGAGTAATGATTTATTTGTAAAAGCCTCTGCTTGTATTTATGCTGTGACATCATTTCCAGTTTTTCTATAGATTCTTTGACTAAATTATGAATAGTGACCTCATCAGATGTTGCGTTCGAAACGTCCAAAGATATAGATCTTCTCTTTCGCATCATATGTGGAAGAGAACATTTAACTTTTAGTCTTTTAATTTTGTTCGTCTTTGCTGTTGTCCAAATGTAAGATGTACATGATTTAGACGGTCTCACCGAATCAACAGAACAAGGCGTCTGCAAGTCATTTATCATTTGAAGGCTAAATATGTCAAATTCAACATCTTTGCTACAATTAGTGAATGCAATAAGGAAACTCAACTTTATTGGAACTTGAGGGTCCAAGCGCGGTATAAAATGAGGCTCTCCGTGGGGTACAATCTTATTTTTAATTTTCGGCGAAGCTTCTAATTCCGTTATAGATGCTACAATAAGATCCTTTAATGATATACCTGTGATCGTGGAAAAACTTTTCTCATCATTACATATAACATTAATGCTGTGTACAATTAACTCGTCATCCGGCGACGAAAGTATTTTAACGAAACAAATTTTATGAAACATACCAGATAACTCTTCACAATCAGCTAGATCAGCTTCATCTTGATGACGCAAACAGTATGTGTGGGCAGTTTCAATGTACATTCTAATTATATTCTCATGCATAACTGTTTTACTTTGAAATGCATGGATTGTTATAAGCTTTTGTAAATTGTTAGTATTTGAATTTTCATTAAGATGTTGAACAGCACGAGAAGCGAAGTAGAATTTCGTATCATCATCGACGTAATCTTCATCTACATGTCTCTTCGTTCTAGTCTTACTTAAACTTAAAAAATCTTGAGGAGATAGGAAGAAGTTTGGATCTTGATCGGATCCTTCCACGAAAGTCTCTCTTTTTTGCCTCGATGATTCTTTTATATTGCAATTTATTGTAATATCTTTATTATTAAGCCAAGGTTGCTCCCAAATTTTAGCATGACAACTAATGACATCACCGTCAACTGTGCAATCGGAAGAGCTCTCTTCGTCCACAGCTAGTAATTCGCAGTTCGTAGGAGCAGCTTCAAAATCAATTCTAGTCATCGTTCCGGAAACCACTTGTGTAGTAACTTTCTTAATCTTTAACAGCTTGTGCTGTTTAGAAGAACCTGAACTTTGGACGTATTTATTTAATGATTCTCTTGCCAAGGTCACGAAACGAGGATCGTTTGTATCTTTATCGGATTCTCCTCCCGGCAAAGTCTCTCTTTTTTTCCTAGACGATTCTTTTATATTGCAATTTATTGTAATATCTTTATTATTAAGCCAAGGTTGCTCCCAAATTTTAGCATGACAACTAATGACATCACCGTCAACTGTGCAATCGGAAGAGCTCTCTTCGTCCACAGCTAGTAATTCGCAGTTCGTAGGAGCAGCATCAAAATCAATTCTAGTCATCGTTCCGGAAACCACTTGTGTAGTAACTTTCTTAATCTTTAACAGCTTGTGCTGTTTAGAAGAACCTGAACTTTGGACGTATTTATTTAATGATTCTCTTGCCAAGGTCACGAAACGAGGATCTTTTGGATCTTTATCGGATTCTCCTCCTGTGATATGTCTTTTTTCTTTTAGTGAGGCCTTGTTATAACAAGTGATATTACTTACTTCTTTGAAATTAATCCAAACCTTTTCCCAAATTCGTGAACTGCAATGGATTACACTTTCAGGGCTTTCTGTAGGAGATATGCTAAATTTTATACTTGTAACAGTTCCGGAAACCACTTGCACTGTCACGTGATCAATCCGCAAAACTTTATATGTATTATTATTACCAGTATTCAATAAATATTGTGCTAATGATTCCTCAGCTAATAACAGATACTTTGGATCGTCTGGGTTTTTTTCTGACGGGCCACCAACAAATTTTAAAGATCTTTTTTTTCTAGTTTCTAAGACGTTATCGTCGTTACCACAAGTAACATTTAATTGTCTTCCATCTTCTAACCAGGGTCTATCCCAAACTACAACTTGGCATCTTCGAATAGGTTCATTATGTAATAATTTGCACGATTCAATGTCTATTTCATTTATTAAATCTTCTTTACATTCTGTATAACCAACCGTAAAGTTTATATATGTCAGAAGTCCGGCAAATAATTGGGTATTAATATTATTAATATCGATAATTCTTTGTTTATTGTTTCGGTTCGAATTTATTTCTAAGAATTTTAAGGCTTGGCTTAGCATACCTGAAACTGTTGAATCTTGAAGGTTCTTATGTCCTTGATTGTTTAAGTTAGTAAACAAAAATGTTTCTTCAATCCCTCGATTTTTACATGAATGTGTAATTTTTGTCTCTTTTATCCAATGACGTTCAATAATATTAATTTCACAAATTTTTGAACCCATGTTTTCGATAATCGTGCAATTATCTCTTCTTTTATAAGACACTGATTTATTGCAGTTAGTGAATACGATTTCGACTATAATTTTTGTAATGATACCAGCCTCTTTCCTAGTAGTGGCATCTAAGACCTGTTTTACTAATATTGCATTCTTATTTGTAAGATCACTCTCTACCTGTTTAATTGCTTTGTTTATCATGTGTGTTAACAAAGTATCATCTAAAGGTACTTGAAATATTTTACCAACATTAGAAATCAGCTTTTGATCATCATAACAAAAAGTTGTTAGAATTTGGATAGATTCTTTCTGAGTTAATTCAATAATTCCATTACATATTTTACTTTTACCATCAACATTTTCACACTCTACTTCGTTACACGGTACAACAACCCGGGCTTGTATATAGTAGAAATGTTGATAATTTACGATTTCTTCCTCGGCTGTAAGAACTTCTTTTAGTCTTCTGTTTTTTGTTTCAATATCCATTTCGTTCAAATAATCAACCATATTTTGAGCTAAAGAGTATATTAAGTCAGCATTTTTTATATTCTTTTTCAACTTATATAATTTTTCAATAACCCCTAACATCTTTAAATCACTATCGTAACTTCTTTTATTGCGAGGAGTATCATCTGGAGAATTAAAACCAGCCGAATTCAAAATATTAAATAAATCATCAATTGCTTGTTTCCTCTCCTCAGACAAATATGATGTTTTATCTACACTCTGAGACGGATTTGCAGTATTGTATGGATTTTCGTGATTTTTTTCTTTTGTTGAGGAAATGGTAGGTTTTGAGTCATCAGTTTCGAAATAGTTTGGACGTGTGTGTACAACGTTTTTAAGAGTTTCAACTCTATGGTGAGGAATAATTTGTTCCTCTATGTTTTTAACTTCATTCTCACTAAGAATTTTGTCTTGAGGTAATTGTGATTCCAATTTCAGATCATGTTGAGCATTTATAATTTCTTCTTGCAAAAAAGGAACATCATTAGATTTATCTGTACTTGCTTGATTACCATCACTGACTTTAATTTTAATTTTTAATTTTAACTTGCGTGTACCGTTGGTAGCCGAAACCACTTCGCCGTCATCACTAAATAACCACTGTTCTGTACAATTATTAGCAGTAATTGCTCTGTATTTCGTTCCATCGGTATACTTAATCCAGGTTTTTTCAAGTATAGATATTTTACAAGCTCGGTTTTCATAACAAGGTTCTCCTTGTGGCAATGGACATTTATCAAAATTAATCTTCAAAATCAGCGTATATTTAATACCACTTACGACCTGTGAACCATAAATATTTTAATTATTGTTACTATATCGTGTTAAACTATTAAGATCGATAAATAATGTTAAGCCAGTTTTTAATTCTACGTCTCCCATAAATAGTTTATTGAATAAAGCAATGAATTTGCCACCCTAATCAAACACGTTTGGTAGGTAAACGTTTTATCACCTGAACTTGTCTCTCTATATCAACAATAGTTTCTAATATATGTTTTGCGGCAGGATCGTGTTTATCCAGATGTTTTATTGCTAGTTCAGCAAGCTCTCGTACTCCAGCAGCTTCAGGATTGACGTGGTCGGCGCAGCCAGTGCATGGTACATTCTGTCGTCTTGGAACAGCTATAAATTGTTCACCAGATATAACCTAAAAGATAATAATTAATTTTAAAAAAATTCATATAAAATCTTAAGATCGGTAATAATTGCGCGGATTCCATGAAACGATGCAGCTATATCTACACTATCTACTTACTTAAATATTTTAATAATACTGAATTTATTTACTAATAATCAAAACGAATTAAACATAATTTAAGTTTCCAGTTCGCAAAGGCCTATACAAATCGTATAATAAATCTAGTATTTTCTGTTAATACGTGTGAGTCACGTGTTGCTATAGTATCTTCCTACAGCTGAATCATAGTTACGGAAAATAATTTTATAAAGGTAAAACTGCATGGTTTTATGTTTGTTTCTTAATTACCATAATATATAATATGATTTACTATAGTATGCTAATATATATATGCTATAAATCGAAATTTATGCATGTTCGTCAGTTTGTTTCAGTTTTATATTGGCCTAAATCTAAAAATAAACAGGATGGGTTTTTTATTAAAGCCGTTCTTCCAGAGTTATTTTAATTAACAAAAATTACTTTTACTTATTTTTGTCTTCAAAAATTCTGCAGAAGTTGGAATTCATAACACGTATAGGGATAATATAATCTTGTGTACAGGAACTGAAATATCAATTTATTTGTATGTAATGTAAATCTATAATGCAAAAAGGTACCTGGTGTTAAAACTGCAAAGATAACTACTGTAAAAACTGAATCATGATTGTAAAGAATGCAAACATATATTAAGGAATGTCATGGCAATTATTACGCATACAATTGTTGTTATTTGCATGGTATGCAAAAAACGTAGTATTCCAAATCGATAACAAACAATAAGGTGATTTATACGAACAATACAGCCATAAAAATGACTACCAATAAAGCAAATAAAAGAATATTTATATAATATTGTATTTGGTTATAGGCAAGTCCAATTAAAAATAAAGAATACACGATTATACAGATTAGAGATATATTAAGAGATATATATTGTTTTATCTACCTTTTTAGGTATTAGAGCTATTTTTTTTAAATTAATAGACTATATCAATCTTATACAATATGTATATCTGAATTTACGATTCATTCTGTCATTGATTTTTTTCAGAGGCCCTCTCTTCCCTTATGTATTTTAATGTTTTAGTATAGAATAAAATCGAGTAGAGAACAAATCTAGCAAGTCCAGAGTATACAGGTTCGAAAAAATTGTAAAGGATCGAATTTGTGGTATTTTGTCAAAATGGGTGACAAAATGAAGGGTGGTTTTAGTCCAAAAACCTTAAAAAAAGATGGCCGCCATACTTAGTTAAAATCGCTGTCTGTGGACCCTTCGAATTGAAATTTTGGAGAGCGTATTCTATTAGGTCGAGCTGCACATCGATGTGCCGGAAATTAGTCTCCATCTCTAACTGTAACTTTCATACCACCAAACAGTCCACAGCCCACCAAACTTTGTTTTGATTAGCTACGTCGGTGATCGGGGGTGGTATGCCGTTCCATTTGTGAATTTTTGGGGAATTTGGCGAAAAAATTAATTGAATTGTTTGACGTAACCTATCTAGAACTGCCGAAAGCGCTATGCTGAAGAAATGAGACTATGGTTTTGAATTTTCTTCAGGCCTTAGGAAAAACTATGAAATGTGAAAATATCCGTTTACCTGGGGGCGGTCAACTGCCTCGCTAAACCGAAAAGTACAAAATGGCGGTACAATAGATGGCGGCCTAAAACGCAACTTCTCACGCGATCGAGCTGAAATCACTTTGTATCCACTAATCGACCTGTGTTTAAATTTGTAAACTTCAAAGTTTGTCCAGAGTTTTGGTTTCCATTTTCCATACAACGTAATACTTAACGGCTCGTTGAAACGGTGATAGGTGGAATTTAAGGAAAACTTATTTAAAGATAAGGGCTATTTTAGGGGTAGTTTTTTTGTATGTATAAAGCGCGGCGCCTTTTCCGCGGAATGGTAGAAACAACGGATGTTGTATCTATCCGTAAGCGCCGTAACGTTTTTCTGTATCCAAGTATAGTAAAACGTTTTGTGACCACCTAGTCACTATACCTAAAAGTTACCATTATGTGGTGTAAGGTTCTGGAAAGTCGAAAATAATATTAACAATAACGCGTAATTCAATCCCCGCCCCGCATCGTAACGTTTTGCAAAAGAACCCCCACGCCAAAATTCGTTACGTAATACTTGAAATCTCCGTAATTCATATGTGATGTAGCTCCTAACCCCTACAATGCCCCCTTATGGTAAATAAAATATAGTCATTTTTCATTAATCAATAAGTTATTTATATTATAACTACTCTTTCAATGCAAAAACAATAAAAGAGGTTTATATTATAAATAATGAAAGGAAATTATGCCTAAAACTTCTTATTCATAAGTTGACCATGTGTCTCAGTTTATGTTTAAATTATATCTGTACCTAGTTTTAAGATATATATTATACATGGTACTATGATATTAAATCAAACTATTATTATTATTATAAACCTCTTATATCACATGTATTTATATAATTCATAATTTATACAAACCCCTTCAGTTACTTCTTCATTATCCAGTAGAATTGGTGACTGCTCAGTTATTTCATCTAAATCTGGATTGTATGTATTTATCGTAGTAACATCTTCTACTTCCTGGCATACTGGCTGATTCTCAATCGAAATGCTCCCTTCTAGCAAATCTCTAATGTTTGCTGAACACTTGACACTTTTTTTACCATACTGAAAGTCTTCATTGCCACCTCTGAGCATAGCTTCTATGTGAATGATATCATCATTAGGATCCTATATTAAGGAAATATTAAGTTCAAATTAAAAAAGAATACGCTTAATTATTATTTTTTACTTGTTCAGACAAAACGATCAATCATTATGTTAGTATAAATATATGTTAAACTGAATTCTAAGTAGTAATACAGTACAAACATATTGTTTATTAGATATAGTAGTGCAATGTTATACAGAACTTAAATTTAATATTATGTTAAGAATAAATAAAGACTTACAATTTTTACTGCTTTCTCTAATACACCCTCATCATAGACATATGGATGACTTGGGAGATTGTTCAGGTACTCAATGAAATCATGAATAATTTTTTCTTTCTTCTCTTTACTAAACTCAGACAATGCAATAACAGATATTATGCATTGAATAAATAAAAACGTAATTAACTTCGACATGACGTAAGCCGTTTAATACGTATTAGATCATTGCAGTAAGTCTAAGCACTGCCAAAGAACTACGTTGAAGTGAACAACAAAATTTTTATTTGTACAATATATATAAATCCAAAACCATACTGCAACCAACTTTTAAACTATGTTTTGATATTTGATTACAAAAAATCATCTAACATCTTCTAAAAGACAGTGATTACTGACATTTACTGATTCCATATGTAAATAATTATCAGCTGTTGTCAGCTGTCATTTGTCATTGGGACGGGTCAACAGGATGGATCGTGGATTCCGTCGTTGCGGGTATAAGTGTTTACACGTGTTTCGGATATCATTATTTAGTAGTTTCTATTTTTTCTCGTAGTTTAATGAATATAAGTTGACTTATCCTATTGGTGGTGGTTAATTAATAACATCAACTAATTACGTAAGTTATTTTTATTTATTTGTTATATTTCTCCCTTTACCTTGTTATATTTTTTGGTAGTCTATAATGGAGAAACGCCTCCAGACCCCTGATCCTCCGGATAGGGTCTCTTCTCCGGTGGAATCAATGGATTTATCCACCCCACTGTTGCCCCAACCCGGGGTCAAGCGCAGACTTGATACTGTCAATGAATCTTTAGTGGAACCTTCCAAAAACCAATGACCGATGTCCGGTCATCTGTGATGACGTCAACCCAGGATTTTACTCCCATCCATCTCTCACTGGCTCTCCCAAGTCATACCTTGTCAATGACAAGGGCCCTTCTTAGTCCATGTTTCTTGCCCTGAATCTGACCCATCCGCTGGTACATCAATCCGCCCAATTAAATTTGGTCACTTCTTGGTAAAAAATAAAATACCCAACATTGTTCGAGATGGTGTTAAGAGAGTGGGACGTAATAGAATATCTGTCGAGTTTAAGTCGGGCTTAGATGCGAATAATTTTGTGTCTAATCCCATTGTACCTTCCAGCAACTATTCTGTTACGATTCCTAACTATAATGTTTCCCGTATGGGCCTTGTGAGAGGTGTCCCAGCTGATTGGTCGATGCAGGAATTTGTCGAAACCTTGGAAATTCCCGAAGGTACAGGTATAGTCCTCAAGGCCAGACGCCTAAACCGCAAGACGAACTCCGATGGTCAAATTAATTGGATCCCAACACAAACCGTTGTTCTAACTTTTCAAGGTCAAACCCTTCCTGAGAGAATATTCTCTTGTCATAGTTCCCTCCGCGTTGAAACGTACCAACTCCCTACAATTCAGTGCCTTAACTGTTGTAGGTTTGGTCACGTAAAGTCACAATGCCGATCGAAGCCTAGGTGTTTTCGTTGTAGTCTAGCCCATTCTGGTGATGAGTGTAATATCCCTGACACAGAGTCATTATGTTTATTTTGTACTGCCTCACACTTTGCGACCAACAAAGCTTGCCCTGAACATAATCGACAAAGAAATATAAAGAGTTGTATGTCTCAAGAGAGCATTTCTTATCTCGAAGCATCGGCTCGGTTTAGACCTATCAATGGCAAAACTTTTGCAGATTCTGTAAAAACAACCCCCTCCCCTCTTTATCCCAGCCCATTACTTTACCTTCCCAAGTTTCCCGTCAGACTACATCTTACAGGAAAACTGTATTTCTCCCCTCCTCGCTCTAGACCAACATCAGGAAAATCCTTTGATAAGGCGGCCCATGAGGCCATTACTTCCAATTTACCCTCCTCTTTACCCAATGGTTGTGCCGTAAGCTCCCCTTCCCTTATCAACAATGAAGTCTCCCCAAATGAAAATCTTCTTGACTGCTTATGGGCAGTCATTTGTAATATGCTATCCAAATATGATGACATCCCCATACCGTCCCACGTTGCCCAAAAATTAATTTGCTCCACTCATTCGTCACCAAAAATGGCGAATCTGGTAATTCAATGGAACTGTAACAGTATTCGCAGCTAAAAAATCAGAATTAACCTTTCTTATCAATAAATTCGCTCCATCTATTCTAGCCATTTCGGAGACTTGGTTATTGCCGGGTTCCCGCTTTAGGGTTTCTGGGTACCGGTGTCTCCGAGATGACAGGGATGATGGCTATGCTGGCTGTGCCTTTTGGTCAGCCAATCCCTCACCTTCCACGCATTATCTCTTCCTCATTGTGATGGTATCAATGCTGTTGCTATGAGAGCTTTTAATATCTCGTTTATTTCTGTTTATATTCCCCACCCCCATTTCGACCTCGTTTCTGATATACGTTCTATTATCCTTTCAGGTTCCTCCTCCTGTTGTCATGTTGGGTGATTTCAATGCCCACCATGTTTCTTGGGGTTGTCATTCCTCAGATTCTTTTGGGTCCCTTCTACTAGATTTACTCGATGATATAAACATAAGTGTCTTGAATAATGGTTGTCCTACGAGAAGGAGTCTTCCATCTCAGAATCCCGCTAACGCAGTGGATTTATCACTTTGTTCTCCTGATCTTTTCCCTTTTCTATCCTGGCGTGTTTTTAAGAGCACTTGTGGGAGTGACCACTTCCCCATTTTAATTGATCTCCCAACCAATTTAAGGAGCGTTACTCGCCCTTCCCTCTTTTAAAATTTAAACTGAATCAGGCCAATTGGTCAGACTTTTCATCTTCTATTGACTCTAAGATAGCTGCGCTCCCCGCAGTCTCTGCTGAAAACTGCCTATCTTCATACAATGATTTTGTCAACTCCTACACAAAGGAAAATTTCTCCTCCTTGTGGGATTCCGAATGTACTGAGATGATTCGAAAAGAAAAACGGCAGAAAGGTCATACAGTCTTTTGCATGACCTTGGAAAATTTTTAGTCTACCAACAAGCTTCTGCAGCTGCTCGCAGACTTCTAAATAATAAGAAACGTCTTGGTTGGCATAAGTTCTGTGAGAGCATGTGCCCTGGTACCCCTTCGTCTGTTGTTTGGAGGCAGATCAGAAGATTCCGTTGTTCCCTCAATTCTTATGATGTCCCATTTAATGATCCGTCTAGCTGGATTACCTCCTTTGCCGACAAATTGGCTCCTCCATCAGTCCCTTTTTATGATTGTCTTCCTTATAAGTATAATTCTTACATCCCCTCTTCAAACAGTCTAGATTGTCAATTCTCCTTGGAAGAACTTAACAAAGCATTAAATGGTCTCTCTGACTCTTCCCCTGGAGAAGATGGAATCCCTTACTCATTCCTCATAAATTCTGCATTAGGCACTAAGAGGTACTTTCTAGATTTAGTAAACTGTTTTTTCGATCTTGGAATTATTCCTGAATCGTGGAACAGACAAATCGTCATTCCGCTTCTAAAACCTGGCAAAGATCCATCAGATTTCTCTTCATACAGACCTATTGCTTTGTCTTCTACCCTTTTAAAAATCATGGAACATTTGATTAAAATTCGTTTAGAATGGTTTTGTGAAAATAACAATATCTTTGCAAAATCCCAGTTTGGTTTCAGGAAAGGCTTAAGTACGATGGATAGCCTAGGTATAATAACGACCGACATTCGCATTGCTTTTAAAAAGAAACAGTTCCTGGTGGGTGTTTTCTTGGATATCGCATCTGCGTATGACCACGTGCTGGTTCCGGTGCTCAGGCAAAAAATGCTTCAGCTGAGTATTCCTGAGAAGTTGGTACGTTTTGTTTGCAATGCAGTTTCGAATCGTTATATTATTATAAGATCTCAAAATACGGAGCTGTCTCCTAGATCTATTTGGAGGGGCTTACCTCAAGGTTCTGTTTTGAGTCCTCTTCTGTACAACATTTACACCTATGACCTGGAGCTTGTTGTGAATTCCTTCTGTCAGATTCTTCAATACGCGGACGATGTAGCCTTATACTTTTCATCAAATTCTATTGAAGAGGCATCATCACGCCTAAATTCAGCTTTGGATTATTTGGGTGATTGGTTAAATGATCATGGTCTCTCTATTTCTGTGCCCAAATGTTCGGCGGTCACGTTTACTACAAAATACAAGGTTCCACGGTGTAACATTTCATATAAAGGGTCCTTGGTATCGTGTTGTAAGCAAGTAAAATTTTTAGGCCTTATTTTAGACTCAAAGTTAAACGGTGTTCCTCATTTTAACCATGTGATTAAAAAAAGTGAGAAGGGTGTTAATGTTCTCCGTTCATTATCTGGTGTGAGGTGGGAGCACACCCCTACTCGCAAAAGCTTTTATACAATGCTGTGGTACGAAGTCATTTTGATTATGGCACCTTCCTTTTAGATCCTGGCAACAAGCAAGCCCTTGATAAAATTTCCAAAATTCAATCGAAATCTTTACGCATCATCCTTGGTGCTATGAAATCCTCTCCCATCAATGCTCTCCAAATAGAATGTGTTGACCCCCCTGTATTTACGTAGACAATTTTTAAGTGACCGCTTCTTCATCAAAGTCCTTCAATACTCTTCTCATTCCATCTTGTCCAAATTACGTCGCTTATCTAATCTCACGATGCCATCTAGTACAGGTAATGTTCCATGCCTGTTACACAGTTTTAATAAACTTTCTCGTCTTCCTAATCCTGTTGAAAGTTTCCCTAGGAATCCCTTGTTTTTAAATAGTTATGAATCCCTCATTTTTTGATCCTAAAATAATTTTAAACTTTGGAATTGAAAAAAATCCACCCAAGCTTCCACTTGTTTTCTGGAAAAAATTTCAAAAGACTGGCAGGGTTGGTTATCGATGTATACTGATGCTTCCAAGATTCCCAATAATGAGTGCATCGGTGCGGCTGTATGGGTCCCTTCATTCAAAACAGTATTGAGCTTTTAAACTTCCTCCATTGACCTCCGTTTTTCAGGTGAAGCTTTTGCAATCCTAGAAGCGGTTTTGTATGCTGAGTCCCACAACCTAAATAAAGTTACAATTTTTTCCGATTCTCGCAGCTGTTTACAGGCAATTCTTTCCAATCCATTCAGGTCTAAAAAAACATAATACGATTCTAAAAATAAGAGAAGCTTTTGTTTAGGTGTAGTAAAAAAGATATTCATATTGTACTTTTGTGGATACCTAGTCATTGTGGTATAGCGGGTAATGAAACTGCTGACTCTTGTGCAAAAGGTGCTATTTTCTGCGGATCTTGTCAGCATCCCAACATCTCGGCCCACGACCTATCAGCTCTTGCGTACTCCCACCTTTTAAAATCCTGGACTATTGATTGGCAATCTTCTAAAGAAAAAACTGGCAGGCACTATGCTAATATTCAGTATTCAATCCCTTCTTCGCCGTGGTTTTTTAAATATAAGTTTTTAAACAAAAAGGTCACGTCTATAATCTGCCGTCTTCGTATAGGGCACGCTTGTACTCCCGTTCATCTAGCCAAAATTAAAATAAAAGACAGTTCTCTCTGTGAGTGTGGTATGGACGAGGGCTCGACAGACCATATATTTTTAACTGTTCTTTAAATAATGACTCGTTATTTGACCATCTTTCTCCAGATTTCCCTCGTCCATGTAACCTTAACTCCCTACTTTCCCTCCCATCCAGCTCGATCGTCAAAATATTAGGGAAATTTATTTCTGTTAATAAATTAAAGTTATAAATAAGATTCTCCCCTTCATACCTTGTAGTAAAATGTTAACCTCTTGTATATATTATTAGATTTCTGTGTGTGTTGTATTTATTGTGATGTCATTTTTGTTTTGGGTAACTCTGCTTAGTTAAAATTCAATGTATCAAAATTATCAAATCTATCCTCACTGTGTGAAGACTTAGAACGTGACATTGGCGGAATTGTGATTTACACAGATGTCGCCATTATAAATAAAGTGAAGTGAAGTGAAGTGAAGTCAACAGGATGTCTGTCGGCAAATGGGTTTGGGTTATCCGTGTCGTCAATCGTCATGTCAACTTCGTCAACCGTCATGTCGACGTCATCACTCATGAAATTTTGAAAATATTTATGTAAAGTTGTATCTATTACCTACCATAACAAACAATTATCAAAAGTACCACTTGTAGGTAGTTGCATTGCATTCCAAGTTCCAACAGCCAACTTTACTTATACATATAAGATTTTGTTGTACTTTGTTATAATTTTGAAATTTAACAGTAAAATGTTTTACATTATAATGTAACGCTATATTATTTTTTTTACATATTATACTTAAATTAGTAATATACTTTAATTAGTGTTATACTTAAATCAAAATTAGGTGGAAATTTCTAAATATTAAGTACTGCATCTTAAGAGCAGCAAATATGAAAAACCCTAGCCAAAACTGTTCAAATATTAAAATGTATGTATCATGTTAATTGGAGTCTCATATCATACCGTTGTTTGTTTATTATATAAACTAAACAGGTAACATAACACTATTTTCAGATGGTGGGTGGCTTTTGGGCTTATTTGTGGTGGAACTTTTTTGACACGTTTCTACAAAGTTTTGGAACCTGACCATGTCTGGTAAGACAAAACTTTTAAATAGTTAAACCCTTACACAATACATTAATAAAAAATATTATAGTCATATTTAATATCAATTAATTTTATGTATTATTCATTAGTTGGGATGAAACACATTTTGGTAAAATGGCTAGCTGGTATATCAACAGAACTTTCTTTTTTGATGTACATCCACCACTGGGAAAAGTGAGTAAAAAAGCTTGAATAATTTATTTACTTAGCAAATTGAATGTGACTTAAGCTAGTCCAACCGCTTATGTGGTAAAGTGGTTTCTATTAAAATAAGTAACCTCGTTTAAATTAGAGCACAGATATAGCCTGGCTCTCATAGTGTTCTATCATAGTCTTCAAAAGTAAAGATTATCATAATCTAAAAAATAATCTTATAATATTTCCAAGCATAATTCCTCTCTGAATTATCATTATGGTTATGTAGAAACATACTAATGTTGAATCAGCATAAATTACTTCTATGTATATTATATATATGTATGCTGCTTGACATTATTGTTAAAAAAATAAAAATTTTAGATGCTCATTGCAGTATCAGGGAAGCTAACAGGATATGATGCCAAGTTTCCTTTTGAGAAACCAGGAGACAAATACGATGGTGCAAAGTATGAAGGAATGAGGGTTGTAAGTTTATATTTGTTTATTATAGGTTAAAGACAGAAATCTACTATAATCACATATGTGCATTGAAAGTTATGAAAATTTAAATATTTTTTTAGTTTTGTACTACACTGGGTGCTCTTATAATACCTCTAACTTTTTTAACATTGTGGGAGATGACAAGATCTATTGATTCCAGTGTTATTGGGACCATGCTTTTGCTTTTTGGTAAGATTTTCAACAATATTCTACATACATTTTATAAAATAATTAAGGCTCTTAAAAAAACCTGCATCAAATTTCTGCTTCTTTCACCAATAAGATTCACAAGAATCTATTATTTAATATTTTTTCCAATGCCTCTATTTTTGTGTCTAAATCTGTTGTATGTGTTAATGTGATTAAATAATTGTATGTAGGTATTGATTATAGGTTAATGTATTGAACTTAAGGATTCACTCACTAAAATTGACTCATGCAAATTATAAATGCGCGCAAAGTACTTATTTATTTATTTATAAAAGCTTGCCAACGCTTGGCACACTGATACATTGATAAAAGAAAAATAAAATAAAAATTTTAATGTGTCAAGCACTTACAGGCAAACATAGCATACAAGAAGTAATAAAATTAATTAAGCAAAACAATAATATAATTTAAATAAACATTAAAAGAAAATCGCTCTCAAAGTGTGAGGTGAGCAACTATGGATGTCCAGATCCAGCTCGTTTAACAGAATGCTCAATCTGGACATCGGTGAATTTCGGCCAAAACGCGTACTCCGTTCCGTACTTTTTTTTTTTTAAAGACAATTCACACCAATTGACCTAGTCCCATGCTAAGCTGGTGAAGCTTGTGTTATGGGTACTAGGCAACGGATATACATACATATTATAGATAGATAGACATATAAATACATATTTAAATACCCAAGACCTAAGCACAACACCAAATGCTTATCACATCGATGTTCGTCTCAGCCGGGGATCGAACCCGGGACCCATGGATTCGCAGTCAGGGGTACTAACCACTAGACCAATGATTCGTCAATTGACAAACTTGATTAAATAATTATTTTATTAACAAAGTTTTTTAAATTTTTGATATCAGCAGCAGAAAATTGCCGTTTAATTTTTAATATCTAAACATTTAATTTAATTTTCTTCAAAATTCAGATTTATTAAGAATTATCTTTCTTTCAGATGTAGGATTTTTAACTCTTAACCGCTATATTCTACTTGACCCAATTCTATTATTTTTTATGAGCTGCTCTATGTATGGTGTATTTAAGGTAAGAAATTTTAATAAAATTTTAAATTTGAAAGCGCTTTAAAATTGTATTAATTTTGATATGATTGTTTTCTAGGTCCGCTCATTATCAGAAGAGGGTCTATATCCCTTCTCTATAAGAATGTTGTCATGGCAGATTTTCCTAGGAACATCACTAGCCTGCACAATGTCCGTCAAATTTGTCGGTCTTTTTATCGTGCTCTTTGTAGGTCTCAGAACTATAGCTGACCTATGGAATGTACTAGGTGATTTGTCTAAACCAGTTGTAAGTATTAAAAAATATATAATTTGTAGGTATAGGTCCCGGCACGAATCAATGGTGCTGAGCGACTTGTGGAGGGGATAGCTGCGCATGTGTACAATCGTGTATACAAGTTACCTCTAAAAAATTAAAAAAGTAGAGTGCATCTGTGTGTCTGCAAAAATAACTGTAATATACTTGAAATTTAATGTTTGGTACCTGATAAATTACAATTTGCGTAAAATAAATAAAATAGAACAAGTAAAATATGTTTTTAAAATTTAATTTAACTAAAAAACTAACTAAATAAATTTAACAAAATAACGCAATAACAAAATTCAACAAATTATAACGCGAATGAAACACAGTTGAGTGCGCGACTGTACTTTACAGGCAAGCGGGGCGACGTATGAGCGCGGGCAGCAGAGAACGACTGGAGAGCTAATCGCAGCTCCCGGCTCCGGCCCGAAGCGCGCGACCGCCCCGCGTCCCGCTTTCGTCCCTCTGGGCTCTGATACCGTATTTTGTACTCATGCGCAATAACGGTCATCACCATTGATTCGTGCTGGGCCCTATATAGACGACTATTGGATAATTTTGTATGAAGTGAAATATATGATCAACTTTTTCAGAGTTTAACCATCAAGCATCTGATTGGCAGAAGCATAACACTCATTATCTGGCCAATTGTCTTGTATACGTTTTTCTTTTGGATCCATCTCACTGTTCTCAACAAAAGGTACTATTTTTGAAAAATATTTACAAAAATACAGTAATTTTATTTAACTTTAATTTAAAAAAATCTTTTCTTATTCTGCTTTAATTTAATAATCACAGCTTGCCTAGATTTTATGAAGCAATTTGGAATAATTATTTATGGTAGATGACAACGGACTGATCACCTTTTTGTCGTTAAACAATTTATTTGTATTGCATTGCAAATACAGTCAAAACCATTTACGGCGACATCGTTTAGAACAACATACCGGTTATATCGACCAATATCAAAGGTCCCGGCTGAATTCTATTGTATTAGGTTCTTAATAACAACGTCATCGGCTGTTACGTTACGACTATCGGTTTTTACGACCAAATATGAGTATTCCCTTCGATGTCGTTATAACAGATTTTGACTGTATATACACAGAAGGATTCAGGCAAATGTTTCTTGGTATATATTTAATCTTATTTATTTATTTCAGTGGTAATGGAGATGGATTTTATTCATCCGGATTCCAAGCTCGACTTCAAGGCAATAGCTTACATAACGCGAGCGCACCGCGTGTGCTGGCCTACGGAGCCATATTGACATTGAAGAATCATCGGACAGGCGGAGGTTACTTGCACTCTCATCATCATTTATACCCACAAAGCGTGGGAGCGAGACAGCAACAGGTGAAGAATGGTTGCATTTGTTCCACTCATCTATATGGTGCAATATATATGATTAAATATACTGTATTTACAATATTCTTTAACTAGATAGTAATAATAATTAAAAATGGATAAATAGAAAACAAATTTAAAAAGTTTGGTTCCCGAACCTTTAATACTGGCAGCATTTCCTCGCTGTATTGCGATACTTATTCGTTAAGCGAGGATAGCACCAGCTCTGGAATCAGCGGTACTACCTCCCAGGCGCCAACTTAAATCTTTAATTAGCGCATGTGCACTTGAAAGAGTCTACTCCAAAGGGATAAACAAAATCAAAGAAATATGATAATATTAATTTTTAATTTGCTATGGCTTCATTTACACTCTAAGGGACAGAATTTTTATATATTTTTGCATTCACGCTTAATTTATTAAAAATATTTTGGTATGACAATATAAAATTAAGATAACAATGTAACCTTTCAATATGGATTGTTATTGTTAAAGATTTCGTCAAGGGAAATATATTTTTATACAATAATGTATACTTCAGATAACGACATATACACACAAAGATGACAACAACAAGTGGGTAATAAAGCCCTTTGATAGAGAGGAAGTGTCTGGAGTCGTCACGGTCCGTAGCGGTGACCTCATTCGTTTGACGCACGCGGCTACTGGACGAAACCTTCACTCGCATAGAGAACGCGCCCCACAAACACCCAAGTTCATGCAAGTTACTGGATATGGTGAGGTATGTACGGTAGCGACATTTGTCATATATGTATACTTTCATTTATGTGATCAAACTTCTGTTTCTGTTGAAATATTTTCTTTGTTTGTTTCTGAAATGCAATCATTAAATAATTTTCAATCGATTAATCGTAGGATGGTGTGGGTGACGCTAACGATGTTTGGAAGATCGTGGTTTCGAATGGTAAAGATGGCGACGAAGTACAGACAGTGCGGAGCAAATTCGTTTTGGTTCACTATCTTCAGGTACGTACGTAACGCTTTCCATATAACTGTTGTCTTCCTCTAAAGTCACAGCTTATGTTTCTCGTAGAATGATCCCTTCTTTACAATATTTGAAGTATTTATTGCAAGTTAATGTTGTTTTTATAATATATGGAGGAAATATTATGCTACATGTTACATATCCATTGCACTCCCTTTGCCCCGCATACCCAATACCAGTACCCCTCTTACGCAACTACGTTATATAAGGAAACGGACAACAGAGACACAGAAGCTTTTGATTGGATACCTCATATCGGACCGGTCAATTCTCAACTAGTTAAGTTTATAATATAATATATTTTTCGTGCACCTAATATCGGGCGGATTAAATAGTTCTATTTAGTTAAGTCATTATTGTAAAAGTATTAATTAATTAAAGTAATTCAACACATTTTGGTTTTTTTTGGGATACACCCTCACTTAATTTACATGATTTAATTTTTTTGTTGTAATTCTGTTATTAGTCCTGTGTTCTGACTACTACGGGCAAACAGCTTCCGAAATGGGGCTTCGAGCAACAGGAGGTGGCCTGCAATCCTAACTTAAGAGATCTCAACGCGCTTTGGAATGTTGAAGATAACTTATTCGATGGACGTAAGTACAATACTTAGTTGAAATTAAATGAATGAATAGTCGTTGCAGTGCTAAATTACATTTTTCGTTATAAAAACACTGACACGTCATTATAGTTTGACTGTAATCACTTCTATAAAACATTCGAGAGTAATTTTTTTTTAAAACTACCTCAAAGCAATACATTTACATCATTAAATATTTTGCTGTTATCAATGCCACGTATTGCAACGCAGGATTTTGACATTTTTTAGTGGAGAAATCGATTTATTTAGACAAATTAAATGCCATCAAAAATATAACTTGTAAAAAAACAACAATATTCAGTCACTTCCTTCTGTCTAATTAAGCTAATTGTTTAAACTACTTTTAAAAAAATAGCTAACCTAACAACATCCTATACTAATCATATCAATATTAAAAGCTAATTATGCTGGTGCAACTATATAGACATTGCGTCCATAATGGTTTCGTGATAATTGAAAATATAAGAGGACGAAACTATAGCGGGATTTATTACGTGATGAAGCTATTCAGAAATTGCCTCGATAAGGCTTTTGTTCGGACGATACTCAAAATAATATTCTCACTTGTATAAAAGGGAGTTTAAATAACTTCTCTACTGAATACGTGAATAGTTTACAGACTTTTTCTTACTACGATCGCTGAAAATAATATCAATAGAAATTGCACCGTTTGTTAATAAAAAAACTATTTTATATTTCAGTACCGAAGATGAGTTTCGAATCATACGCATCGGGTTTCTTCGAGCGTTTAATAGAATCACACGCGGTAATGTTGCAAGGAAATGCAGGCCTCAAACCTAAGGAAGGAGAGGTCACCTCGCAGCCGTGGCAATGGCCCATTAATTACAGGGTAATCATTCTTTTAAGAATAAAAAAATATATTTTTACCACTTTACAAAAGTAAGTTTTCTATATTTTTCGCAGGATGTAAATGACAGACAAAAATAATTTTCGCCATAAACATCGACTATTTATGTATGGGAAAACCAACAAAATTAGGCTATAATGTCACTACCATAAACTTTTAAATAAGGGAGTTATTTATAAAAAAAATAATCACTTTAGTTGCACCGTTTCAATTAGTAATCTGTCTCGTTTCATTACAGCGTAAACACAATTCGTCTAAAAGAACTCATTAGACTTATTTACTTTTTACGAAGAAGGATAAATTATAACAATGAAAAAAATGTTTACGACATTCAGTGAGCCTTATATATGTTACCGTAAAATTGTAAATACCATTAGGTTGTAATCTATATCTAATAATAATACGTTAAATTGTAATCTATCTCTAATAATAATACGTTAAATTGTAATCTATCTCTAATAATAATACGGTAAATTGTAAGCAGTACGTTGAGGTTCACAATCTTTCGATAGTTCACAATCTCGCGAGATAGATTACAACATAACGGTATTTACAATTTTACGGTGACATATATAAATCATAGCGAAAAGCATTATGTAACAATCCACTCTTGCTCCAATTTGTGAATCTGTAACCAGAGTAAATATATTTCTCTGTCTGTCGTACAAATGTACTTTTGATTATAGGGTCAGTACTTCTCAGGAAGCTCTCATCGTATTTATCTACTCGGCAATCCAGTAATATGGTGGGCCAACTTAGCTTTCCTCGTGGTATTCTTCATCATCTATATTGTCAATTCAATAAAGGAGAAACGGGCTATGGCTTTTGGAAGTCCTCTACCGGGTAAGCATTAATTATTATTATTGTACGAACCAGGCATTCTTAGTTTTATAATTGTGGCGATTTCCTAAATCGCCGGAGTTACGCCCTGAGACTATAGCCAAACTAGGCAATCTCTTTGACTGTTATATTGCATTCATTCGTTACATAGCAATTAATTCATTCATTCATTATTCATTATTTCACTCATATTCTATTGTTATACGCGAGTAATATAGAATAAAACAAAAATCTTCTAATATTTTAAGCACCCCGATGATCCAGGAACCGTACAAATATATTTGCAGAGAATCCCTTTTGATTACTCTTGGGCCGTGGGGTTCAAGTGCACAGGCGCTGAACCCCATATTAACAGCCGAGCCAGAATAGAACATATAGAGTATTAACAATATATATAACCTACTATGTAGGTTAAGATTATTGTTCATACTCTATATGTGTTATGTTATGGATATATATTATATCATCCATATAAGGGGTCTATAATCCATCATGCTGTTCAAGTGTGTGTTAGGAAATGAGAGTCTAGCGTATCTTTATAATTTAACATTTCTAACAATAACTTGAGGTAGAAAATTTTATTGACTGTTCTGGATCAAACGTATTTTTTCTTGGGATCTTGTGAGGTGGAAGCATCTAACCTATTTCTTAGCCTATGCTGGAACACCATAATAGTTAATGCGGTAAATAAATATTTTATTACAGCTAGTGAAACTCGCAAACTTTTAAATGGCGCTGGCTGGAGTTTTGTTGGCTGGGCGTTACACTACGTACCGTTTTGGGCCATGGGTCGAGTGCTGTACTTCCATCACTATTTTCCAGCACTTATTTTCAGTTCAATGCTCACTGGTAAGCTTTCAAATTTAATAGCTAATGCTCCATGACATTTAGAACCGCGTTTATTAAAGAAGTTGTACAAATTTGTTTTTAATATTTTTTTATGTAAATTTCATTTAATTTTGTATGTAGGTAACACTGTTGGAGAACTGTTAAGAGAATTTTAAAATGAGTTTACTTTAAAACAAGAACTTCCACAATACAAAGTATCAGATTACAATTATTAACTAATCTTTGTTTGATGTCTATGTCTTGTTTCATATACCGCTTTTAATATTAATTTAAATATAAAATAATTAGTTTTAATTATATTCAGGTATCCTGACAGAATACCTACTGCGTAGTATACAAAGCTATCTCAGCACCGAGTTGGGTCGCACAGTATATCACTCTGCGGTTGGTGTGTTAATGGGAACAATAGTCTACAGTTTTCATCTCTTTTCACCACTTGCATATGGAATGACTGGACCAGCTCAAGACCAGAACTCGACTATGAACAGTTTGAGGTGGCTCGACTCTTGGGAGTTCTAATCAAATAATAATTATTGATCGTGTACACTCAATATTTATATCCGTCCATTTTCAGTATATTTTTAAAATATTGTAAACTTATTAAGTTATTTTTAGATAATAAATAGATTTAGCTATAAATTTTAGATGCACACAATGTTTCATTTTACACACTTCTCTGTCAAACTGGCATGTGCCACTATTTATACGATACAAAAACGTAACCTTTTCCTTTGGATAAATTGGTTTCTTATCTTAATATATATAAATTACGTGTCACGTTGTTTGTCCGCTATGGACTCCTAAACTACCGAACCGATATCAATCAAATTTGCACACCGTGTGCAGTTTGATCTAACTTAAAAGATAGGATAGCTTACATCTCAATTTATACCCGCAATATTATATTATTGCAACATATTTGTTTATTATTTGATAGTCATAATTCTAATAGATGGCGCTGTGCTGAAAGTACCAACGTTTCACATAAGCTACAATTTAATGGCATAACCACCAAAAAAGCATGGTCCCCATGACTGGTGTTCTTCTACCGTTTCCCTTGAATTGTTTGCTACTATGTAATATAACAAAAACCTTAGCCACAGCAACGCTTGGCCGGTATGCTAGTAATACTAAATATTCAAAAAAAATCGGTTCATTACTACTGTACTTTGACTTTTGGCTCAAATGAGTACAAACTTTTTTCCTGTATTATTAAATAATAAGCCATAAAATATGCTTTATTAATAAATTTGCATTAAAAATATGTTTTATTAGAATTGGATTGGATGTTCGAGTTTTTTGGCACTAACGATTAATTAGTGGTATTTGAACAAAATTTCGTCCGATATTGTGTCCAGTTACATAACTGTACACAATATTAGTAATAATTATGACATTAAAATGCCTATGGTATAAAACCTTAGGATTGGAAATTTATGGCACCAGTTTATGGTACCTAAAACTTACTCTTCACGATCATTGTAGCGGCGGTACTGTTAAGCTTAGGTTTCCTAGAAAAGCGGTTCCGTTATCCAACGGCCGTAATGTAACTTTGGGTGACGTCACCCATACGTTGTCTATAAATAACATCGGAGTAGGTTTTCTAGAGAACGTTGAGTGTCACCGTAACGTCAAATAGTGGTGCTGTCTCTTGCATGACGGCCGTCATAGCGGTGACAAACATTAGTTCAACGTTTTTCGCGTGTAGCGGTGTCCGTATTTAATTGATACCTTGAGTGGAAACGTGATTTGGACGAGCGAAAATGATGTTTTTGAAGTTATACAAATATATAGCGCGTAATGAAAAATTGATGAGTGTGAAATTTTACGATGCGCGCCCACCGTGACACGAAATTAACAGAATGAAGTTGCCCACGGAAGATGCTACGGCATTGGACATAATTTAAAAACAACATTCGAATAATAATAGAATTTATGTTACACTTAATGTAAGATAATAATAATAAATGTTTATTTATTTAATTTTTCAAAATAAACTGAACATTATTGACTATAATGACTCTTTTTCCAGACTTTAATTATTTAATTGTAAAAAACTATTTTTAATAGTGCGAAAGACGTAACTTCTTACGCGCGTACATAAGTTCACGCACCCTTTTTTTGTTATTATGTTAAAAAGTAAAGACGGCCGTTATTAACAACCGTAAAATGACGGCCGTTAGTAAACGGCACCGCTTTTCTAGGAAACCTAAGCTTTAACCAACAATAAAGAAAACCATGGAACAGGGTAACATCTGTTTTCAATGGAATAAAATCTAGGTAAATGTAGCTTTGGGCTGAGATCAATCTATTTAACAAACACTCAGAAATGTCCCGCACGTGTCCAACACACTCCCGAGGTTAGTCACCATTGCTTTGAGGAAAAATTGTTAAGATGTTATTGTAATGAGACAGGAGGCAAACGAGCTGGCAGGCTTTGAAATTAAAGTGATAATCGCCATGGACACCCATTAAGATGTTATTGGCGTGGAAAATATCTGTCTAAAGTAAAGCCTGGAAAGTAGTCGATTATCCTAATGTATTATAATATAATGTGTGTAAGCAAGCAGTTTGCCTATTATACCACTTTACATATCCTAACTATAATACTTTATGAATAATGATCGCTGCGCCGCGCCGCGACCAACGATAAGAGATTGTACGTAATATGCAGGACTAAGCTTAACGTAATGTATTAGAATATAAACTTTATAATAAAAGTAATCTTATTAGAAGAGTGTTATTGCATGCAAATATAAAAGAAAAAATGTAGACGGGTCTATGGTTTAGAGCTTAGATGTTTTTTGTATGGTTTGGCGTAAATTGAGATATGAGCATGGACGGGGGCTTAGTGAAGATTGTTACGTCCGCCTGACGACGGATACAAATATAAACACAACCTCCAACAATACAAAAATTTATTTAAATTATGATCAAAGAAAAGAAAAAAAACAGCCATAACAGTAGTGTATGTAGAAACTTGAAAACTAAGTTTGAAAATGACAGTTCGTTTCGACAAATTTTCGTCTGGACAGGGTATTGCTTTACCTATTACATTTTTTAAATACATATTGTTACAAAATAGTTTTCGCTATATTAACAGATAGAGCATAAGTTTTCTTGGAAGTTATTGTTTTAAACAGCTGACCAATATTCCATCTTGCCAATTTATTCTCATTTTTTACTTGATAAAAATAGATTTATAGATTATATTTAACATCATTTTGTCAGTTTTAACTCTATAATGACTGATTTGCTTGAAACATCAGTGAAGTAAAGTAAATTAGTACGGTCTTCAAACTAAATTATGTGAATCAAATACAGTTATACTGAAAAGTACTTATGGGAACTGTAACTTTGATTTGTAAAGGGATTTTTCTATTAATTTATTTTGGTGTTTTTATAGTTAACTAAAATAATTATAATATGTTTTAGTAAAATGACCATTTGGATATTCAGTTATGGTGAAATATTCGTTCGCTAGTAATCATTGCATTCAATTTTACTTATCAACTTTATATTTTGATCGTATATTATATTGTACTAGCAGACCGGCCAAGCGTTGCTGTGGCTAAGGTTTTTGTTATATTACATAGTAGCAAACTATTCAAGGGAAACGGTAGGAGAACACCAGTCATGGGGACCACAATCTGCGCTTACAAATCACTGTGAGACGTCATACCCGCTAATGAAGTTATTCCAGCCAGTAGAATTTATCCAACTAAGCCAATCCTTGAAATGCGAGCACCTGAACACCTCGTGGAAGGATAGAAGGGTTTACCAGTGGGCGTAAAAAGAGAAAAGCATACTTACGGTATGCCGACAAAATACTTATTCTGGCAACATCCATGCATGTACAACATATTATAATATGGAAGACCAGTTCCAAAGACTTGAGCTAAAAAGTAGCTATGTTGTTACAGTGAACAGAGGAAAAACCAAAATGATGATAGTAGATCGTGCCAGAAAGCTCCCATGTTTCACCTGGAACATTCATGGCATCAATATCGTTGACTGCTATGTATAAATGTCTATCGACGGCACAGGACAGTGTCCCCGTGATAAACCAGCGAATCGGCATGGCTAAAGATGCCATGACACAAGCAACATCTAGAAGAAGTAAAGAGGATTGGCATCAAAACCAAAATCAGATGACCCATGTCATATTTAGAATTTAAGAAATTGGAGAAACTGATTGTGGTTGGTAACACAGAAGAAAAAGATCACGTAGCCGATCACCATCGAGATGGACCGATCGAGATAGACTCATCGTCCTCAAAACTGTACACTGTAATAAGAGAGGCACTGGACAGGAACCGGTGGAAACAGATAATCCGCTCCAGATGTTTCCTTGCTAGGGATGTGACATTCTGCATAAAAAATCGATTTTTTTTTAATCGATTATTTTTTTAGCATGAAAAATCGATTAACAAATAATCGATTTTTCTTAAAAATATAATCGATTTTTTTATTAATCGATTTTTTCCTAATTTTTGAATTAATTTCAAAATAAACAATAGAAATTATAAACACAAATTAACGTTTAAGAATAATCAAAATCTAAATTAACTCAATCTCGTTTTGATAGATTTTAGGTGAAATTTGATAAATGCTGAGTGTATGCCTTTTCAGTAGCACATTGCAGTATTTTTGTTGTCTTTTTAATTGTATGTAAACTTGTGTTGCTGAATAAATTTATTTTACTTTTAAATTATAGTGTTCCATTCAAACTTGAGTTTTTGTAAAATTAACTGGTTTTATCATCCTTTCGATGTTTTACACAAAAACATCAATGCATCGAGTATATCAATACATCTTCAAAGAATCGGATTCAATGTATCGCATTGTAAACATAGATGTATAACTCGTGCGCGATAAGTTGGGACCTTCTAGGAATGCGGCTCCCCTGCACTTCGCCGATGGCGCCCGTATTGTACCGTTCGCATCGCAAGTTTTTTACAAGGATTTTTAGTCTGGTTCTGGCTTACGTCACGTAACGACGCGCTCTGGAATCCTTTTAGTTTCGTTTGTGTTATTATTTTGCTGTTGTAGTTTTTGTTGTTATAGTTCTTGTTAAGTTTTTTTTTGCATAAATCCACTTAGTAGTGACGAAGATTAGATATTGTAAATAATAGATACGTGTAAAATAAATGTATAAACTTAAACATTGTATTTTTATTCATTACAAAACGTTACCTTCCTTCACTTTCTGTAATACATAATTAAATAGTATTCTATTGTATTCAAATAGTGTAAAAAAATAAAGATTAGATAAAAAGCAGTATTATCCCTGAATAACATAATAAATTAGGTTAAAAAACAACAAGGACGAAGCCGCGGCGGCTGCTCATTGTGTTCGCTTTTTTGCGGACGGTACAAACACGCCACTGTGACGTCACCGCGCTCAGGTCCCAACTTATCGCGCACGGGTTGTATATCGATTATCCCTAATAGTTCGAGGTCCGGGTTATAAAAGACCAGACAAAATGTCGGGAGGTGGCAGATGAAAAATCGATTATGATTGATTTTCAATTATCAAATTAAAAATAAAATTAAAATTATAAAAATAATCGATTATTTTTTCACATCCCTATTCCTTGCTGATCACGACACTCAGACATTTACAAAAGAGAGAGATAGTTTCCCTAAACTCTTACTCTATTATTATTTTGAACCTGCAACATCTTGAACACATATTATTGTCTATGCTCATATATTATGGTCTATGCTATTTTTTTTTACTGGCCACAAAGATGTTAAAATATTTGACGTAAAAAAATCACAATTACAAATGGCGTTTACGTAGAATAGACAGATGTATTCACAGCCACGATGGGCGATGATTCTTTGATATTACGAGAAGATGGCTATATTCGTATGAATTTTCCTGTTACTTCACTTACGTATCATAGCAACTTAAATATAATTTTGGTGAAAACTGATGTTGGTGGTGTACACGTTTTGGATGTGAACTCTGGTGTAATTCTTCAGTCTTCTTGCCTATCTGCGGGTACGTAAAACATAAACTCAGCTTTCTGGCCAATTAAATTATCTATTTAGTCGCATAATAATTACTAGAAAGTGTCTCGTTGATCTACATATATCAGTAGTTCATGCCCTACATCGAAATTCTTTGACATTTCTCCGTAAACAATTTTGTAAAATAGGATATATTATCTTCCGAGAACCGGCAGGTTACGTTTGATAAATTTATAGATGATGATGGAACGTTGGGTGTTGAGTATGCGGCAGGCGCAGATAGGGTTTTCGTGTGGGATAAGAGCGGAGTTGGCGCCCGAACAGACTACAATGGAGTTCTGTTGCTGCACACTGCCCTTCAGCGTCCTCTGTCCATGTCGCAGCCAGATACTCCTATAAGAATTGAGCTAGTTCTGTCAGAGGTATAAATGTGAAAAAATAACATTTATTATATTGCTACACTTACAATTAACTTGAACTATAGATTTTACTTAAATAGTTTAACTTTTAAGATATGATAAGTATAAAATTTCTTATTAGGAACACTGAAAGTTGTATGAACTTTAAATTAAATTGTCAAATAGACTCATTGCAATAATTAATTCTTACAATTCTGAATTTGGTAAACAATAGGTATTGAAGAATACAATCACATATAATTATTGTGCGATATTATTTTGATGCTGTTTCTTTTGTTTTTTAGTTCTAAAGCAAAATTGTTAGATAAAAATCTTTGTTTTGAACATTAATTTTGTTTATTTTTGATAACATACAAGTTGCCCAAAATCATAGTATTTTATATGGAAAATTATTATTTAAAAATTTAATTTTATTTAACTAAATGAACAGAATTAGGGATGATTTTCTGTTTGATTCATAGGCAGTGCTCCTGTACCAATGTGTGCAAAGCCTTGATGCTCAGTCTATAGAAGGACTTCAGGATTTTATCAATGAACTAAAGAGTGCAATTGATGCAGAGCCTGTTAGGAAAGGTGTTAAAGCTCAAAAGGTTTGTCTTTAATACAATATTTCTAATTTGGACTTAATATATATGTTACTTAATTCAAGATTTGTTTTTAAATTTTTAGTGGAGTACAGTAACAATAACACTTTCACAATCAACACTGAGACTGGTTATGGTTGGCATTGTTCAAGAGTTAAAAGGACAAAATAGACGGATACCAGCTTTGTCCATTGCCTCTGCAGTGGGACAGAGGGCCAACGAGCTTATGCCCTGCAATCGAGATGAGGAGTCTAGGGCTCTGATGTATTCTGAAGCTGAGAGAAAAGAAACATTCAAAAGATGGCCCCATATGGATTACAAGTAGGTTTTTATTTTTAAATACATTATGCATTATAAAAGGAGCCTATTGTACTTATTTAATATTGATATTAATTTATAATACTTTAATTACCATTAGGTGCTGGTGGCTCACCACCTACTATTATCTATATTAAAATGATATCTTATTTTAATAAGTGGTGGAGTTAGTAATATGTACTATGAATTTACTTCAATTAACACATCACAAGTTCTAAAAATATTTTATTTTATCTTTTCACATTGACATTCATAAATACTACGTAATCTAAGTTAATTAATTATAATTATGCAAGACTAAGAGGTTCAGCAGCCTTAATGAGATGTTTTATTCAGATGGGCGTTACCAGCACGTATGGCTCAAGCAGGGTTCTATCACCAACCTTCTCCAAGTGGTGATGACCGTGCAATGTGTTTCACGTGTATGGTTTGTCTAGTCTGCTGGGAGAAATCAGATGAGCCTTGGGTAGAGCATGAGCGTCATTCACCCAACTGTCCCTTTGTACGTGGAGAGTACACTCACAATGTGCCTATATCAGTAAGTGTACTCTTGTTAGCTAATTTTTAATATAAATCTTATTGAAATATAGTCTGGATATAGTATGAGTGAATTATGATTGCGTAGTTTTAACTATTATCACCGTATCTGTAGATATGTGTCATTTTAATTGACACAAAATATTAATTTTGAAATCTTTTTTGATAGGTCACAAATGCCACAGCTTGTGCAGTACCCTGTCCCAATGTCAAAGTAGTATCAAAGGGTAATACAGGAGACCTAATAGCAACTGGCACATCAGATGGAAAAGGAAGCATCTGGAAATTTGACTGTGGTCTGAAGTTAAGAAAAGTGTTTAACTTATCACCATATGACTCAATATTTAGTGGCATTCTTACCAATGATAGCCATAAGGTCTGGTCAGCCAGCCTAGAAAAAGACTCATGTAAGTATTAATAATGTATTATATATAAATCCTATTTTATATATAAAGATCCTAATTTTTACTATTTTTTATAGCAACCTATGGAATTGAACTTACTGCCATGACTTTTATTGGTTTGGCTTCCCAGCAAGAGACATATCCTCAGGCACAAAACACTGAAATTGTAGAAAAAGAAACAAATGATAGCAATGTTAAACCTGCCCTTGTATGTGCCGTCATTGTAACAAGAACTGCTTCTACTCCAACCACTCAACCTATCAAAGAGGATTCTAGTAAGGCCCTCTTTGATTCAGGTGACCCCGAAAAGTCAAAAGAAAATATTCAAGCCATGAATGACCAAAATGAAGCTAAAAACAACTTGACATGTACAAATAAAATGTTATTCTTACTAACATATGACATACACCATTGTTCTGCAAGTTCTATGACAACAGTTATTCACACTTCTAACAGCAGTGGTGACTCCAAACCGGGTGGTAGTAAAAAAGTGTGTCCGCTTCAAAGGACTGATGACACAAACATATATGACGACATTTTCTTCCAGTATTCTGATGATGACACAGAGCTTCCTCACTGCACAAATATAGAAGAACAGATTAGTAATGTTTTTAACATAGAAGCATCATCCAGCAAAGAAGATTGCAAACCTTGGGAACCAAAAAAGATATTATTTACAAAACATTTGAAGGTATTACCACCACCGCCTCCTACAGCTTTGCTACCTGAGTTGCCAGAAGCTGAACAAAGCATGTTGGACTATGTTGGGAAGCTTACACAAATTAAAAGTTGGAAGAGTGGTAATTTGGAGTCTGTTGGAACCAAGGTCGTAGATCAGACTGATGCAGTGCAAGGGGACTCCATTACCGATTTCCTCACTATAACTGGACAAGGACCTCTTCAGATATCAGATTTGAAGTGGTATGAAAAAATAGAGCCTTCCGTAAAACTTAAATTACAATCTATGGCTGCAAAAAACAAGGCTGGTACACAAACAGTCCTAAATATAAACCCTACTGATGCATTTGATAGTGATCTTCCTGCAGAAGAAGCTGTATCGCAAGGAATTGCTATTCAATGCCTTGGTCTACCTGCTACGTTAAATATCCAAGGTGACGCGAAAGTAACCCACCTTCTACCATCTGAAGACAAGCAGCACTTGCTAGTTGTAGTGTCTTCTATTGAGCCTGATAAATTTAAAGCTGAAGAAGAAATTGATGCAGATGGTGATATTAAAATGGATGTAGACGAAGTCTCGGATCAACCTGATAAGATTCTGAATGAAAACCCAAAAGCATATTTCCTATACTATAAAATAAACAATAAAACTTCTACCTATACTCTAGAAGATAATCCAGTGACATATAAAGAACTCCCATACAGTGAAAGCCCTGTGGATTTGTGTTTATTACCTGTAGATAAAAATGACCAATATTCAATAGCTTCAGTTAGTGTTGACGGTCATTTGAGATTATACTCACTTCCAGATTTTACTTTAATCTCAGAGAAACAAGTCCCCAAGGGAGAATTTATTTCTGTTGCTTACTGTGCTTCCGTTGAACGTTTAAGTGTATCAACTAAACATGGCATGATCTATTTCTATGCTCTTAACAATGGTGAGAAGGATGTGTCAGGTGAATCAAATGAAGATGATTTTGCTAACATAGACTTTGATATGTTGCAACGAGCCCCGAGAGATGACACCGATGGACCTGTGCCACCGCCAGTTATTTTGGCTAATAAGACAGATTTCGACGAAGCTGAATTAAACGCATTGTTGTCTCTCACAGGCTCATATTGCCCTAATCCCACAGTTCCATACAGTGCAGTGGTACCTGGTTTTTGGTGTGAATTGTCACCCGCACAAAGGTCACGATCAGATCATCAAAATAATCGATCATGGCGACTTCAGAATACGTCATCGACGTGGGATGAACACGTTCTTGAACTGACTCTTCCCTACAATGTATCATTAGCGCACATTGAATTTGGCTTTACATTACATTCTGCCAATACTGTTAATTTGCCCATAATACAAGTGACACTACTTAAACAAAATTTACATGGTATTGGATATAACAAGGATGCAAGTTTTGGCCAGCGATCTGATTCGCCATTGCACTTCTCAGTGATAGATGCAGACGTGTCTAACTTAGAAAATCCCGTCAACAGTGAAGAGTATTTACAAGCGCATAATGCTGAGATATTAGCTGGACCGTTGTTGTTGTCTTCAGGCCTAGATATGAGCCAGCAATCTGGCACCCTGATTCTCACGAGTCCAAGGCTTTATCGCGCTAGGGGTAGAACATTTTTGATACATATAAAAACGTTGTTTGATCCATCTAAAGAACTTAATAAGGGGCCAATTAAATCGGGTGAAAGCAGCAGCGGCGCAAAGAAATCCAGCTTTATTGGCTGCGACTGGCTACATCAGATTTCAATAACGGTTCGCTCCACTCCGCACACCGATGTGCCGCTAGAGAGACAGCAACGTATTGCCATGTTAGAATCAAATAGCTTTTTGAATACTCTTTGTGAAATAGCGGTCAGTAAAGTCTCGACGGAGAAACGAAAGCTCGCGCTGGATATATTGAGTTGGGTAATATCGATTAGGCTGCAGAGAATGCGTTTGGCGAAAAACGAAAAAAGTAAAGACAAGGACGTGCCCAGTCCTGTTGAGATGCAGCAGTTGGAATGTATTTCTGTCATTGAAAAGCACACAGACGCGCTCTTAAAGAAATGTATTTTATGTGCAAATAGAAGTATTGCCAAAAAGTGTGCGAAGATTATACTGACGTGCAGCGAGTATGTATTCTTGAAATAATATATTTTTTATTGTTTATCATGTATAATTATTAAATGTATCGTTTTCAGTGGTATGAAACAGCTCCCTCGACCGTGGAAGTGTACATTTGAAAATAGTTTAACGAGCAGTGTGATTGCTTGTATTCCTCTCCTGGGTGCGTGTGAGTCGCCGGGTGCCGTGAAGTGGCTGATGGCGCTGGCCCAGTACGGCACCTGCCGGGCCGCTGCGCCCGAATTGGTCGCCCGATGCCTCGCCTTACTAGAGAAAGCGGCACGATGTCTGCGGGAACGGAGCAATCCCTATCACCAATTGCTACGTGCTAGGTATGTGTACAATGTGAATTCCCACTAAGTTTTGATGAGAATTCTAAATTTAAAAAAAAATGTTTATTATGGAATATAAGATACAGGTACCACTTATCCCACGTCATTAAATTTGTATCGATAGACATCCAACACTTTATGCCCCGGTGCTATGCACATATACATAGCACCGGGGCAGCAAATCATAGGTTATTTTTGTTACTCATAAACAGTAGTGTAAAGTAGGACATTAATGATTTCTCAGGTTTGGCCTATACGGCTTGGCGCTCGAGCGTAGTATATTCTCTGTTGAGATCCCGGAGTTGGGCCGCAGTTCATCTCTGCCCGTGACGTACGCGAGCGTGCTGACGGGCGACGTGAACGCTCCGCCCGCGCCTAAACAGGAGTCGCAGCTTCGTGATCTGCTCAACATGTCCCTTGATACCGGTATGTTACTAAATTCTCGTTTATAATTTACATACAGTTTAAATTATTTACCTTTATACTATGCTATAAAATTATATACAGTCTGAATGCAATAGAAAGCTCAAAAAGTTTGATAAAATCACTTTTCTTTATAAACAAACAGAACATACATTAATAATTTTAATTTAAACTCCTTAATCGCTTTTGTTTGGAATACTGTGCCTTTTTGAAGCTGTTAGTGTCCATTCAGATTTGCGTTGCTCATTAAATAGTACTGCCTCAGCGAATATTACACACCACTACTATTTTAATACTATTACATATTAGTATGTACTACTATACCACAATTAATATTATAACATATTATTATTTCGGTATGCTGTATGCACGTCATAAGTTTGGCTTTTAAATCGAATGAAATACAGGCGAAACAAAGACAACAGCCAACAATAGCCAGACGCACAATTGGTGCGAGATGGAGGGTGGCCTTGCGGCTTTGACTGTGGTGGGGGAATCATTGCCCTTGCACGTTAGTTGCCACGTGGCCTCCGACGGTACCAAGCTGGACACCGCACCGACTAATCATCCGCCACCGGTCGTCAGCGCCCATACCGCTGATTCGAACCAAGTAAGGAGTTTTTTAGACATTTTTAATTTTAATTGCAGCAAATTGAAAAACATTTCTATAAGTGTTTGTAGAATAAGGTGTCTTACGGAGAAAATATTTTTACACATGAGTAAGTTATTAGTAACAGCTCCTTTATCTAGGCCTCCTCAAGTACACTTAGCAATCTATCCAGTGCTTCCAGCGTCCAATTTTGAACCTATATTGTTTCGCGGTCCTTGACAACTCCATCCCACCAACGCAGCCTCGGTCTACCGGGTTTTCCCTAGCCAATGCGTTGTGAATTCGGGAAGGACCTTGGGGTTGTGTCGTCCGCCATTCGGTGCACATGTCCCAGCCACTTGAGCCTTTTGCACTATGAATTGTACGATGTTGGCGTCGTGAAGGATGTCATAAAGTTCTTCAGTCATTCGCAAACAGAACTAAAGATTCTTCGAAGAATTTAACTTTCAAAAATAATAATATAGAGAATATAGAGAAAGCATTGTGGGGTCATTGTCAAGCCTTTCTCGAACCTAATTCGCTGTTTTCTGATGATTTTTTTTTTTTTCTTCTTTAAGTGCCAACAAATTTCTATAATTTTATTCTATTTTATTGTGTGCTTGTATTATCTTGTATGTTTTAATTGTATTTTTTTTTGTGAAACTTATGTTTACTTTAATTGTCACACATTTTAGATGTAAGATTTCGTAAAATAATTAGTGGATTTAGTACTGTGTGTGATGTCGTAAGCTTAATAACTAAATAAATAAATATAAATTTAAATTTTTGTTTTAATTGTATTTTTTTTTGTGAAACTTATGTTTACTTTAATTGTCACACATTTTAGATGTAAGATTTCGTAAAATAATTAGTGGATTTAGTACTGTGTGTGATGTCGTAAGCTTAATAACTAAATAAATAAATATAAATTTAAATTTTTGTTTTAATTGTATTTTTTTTTGTGAAACTTATGTTTACTTTAATTGTCACACATTTTAGATGTAAGATTTCGTAAAATAATTAGTGGATTTAGTACTGTGTGTGATGTCGTAAGCTTAATAACTAAATAAATAAATATAAATTTAAATTTTTGTTTTAATTGTATTTTTTTTTGTGAAACTTATGTTTACTTTAATTGTCACACATTTTAGATGTAAGATTTCGTAAAATAATTAGTGGATTTAGTACTGTGTGTGATGTCGTAAGCTTAATAACTAAATAAATAAATATAAATTTAAATTTTTGTTTTAATTGTATTTTTTTTGTGAAACTTATGTTTACTTTAATTGTCACACATTTTAGATGTAAGATTTCGTAAAATAATTAGTGGATTTAGTACTGTGTGTGATGTCGAAAGCTTAATAACTAAATAAATAAATATAAATTTTAATTAAAAGCACTGTTTTAAAACGAGACTTATTTGATGCTTATTTCAGTTATGGACTGTGGTAAAGGAGGGACATGCAAAACAATCTTCAAAAGACGAAAGCTCTGGCGGTGCTGATGGTTCCATGATGGACTGCGATCCTCAAGATAGGCCTGATGTGAATGAAGATAAATTATTAAAGGTATTAATTTTGTATTTGAATAGTTCTCTCTTTTTTTTTAAGTCGCGTTCTTTATTACTGTAGGTCATGCTGAGTATCTTCCTCCATGGAAGGGAGATGGGGGGGGGGACCCTGTCTTCGGAACTTGGTCGATCCAGCGAGTAGGGATCTGTCTCGGGCCTCGTGCCTTTGGTGTAAGACCGTGAAGAAAGATTTTGAATTATACAGTGTAATTTAAATATTACCGTGAATTAAATTATTAAGTTCGTGTTGCCGTAAATTATATTGAAATTTGTCATAAGAACCTTTTTCATGTAATCTTTAATATTTCCACCATTATACTGGAAATTGTAAAAGTATTTTTAGACTAATTATTACAGTAGTTTATAAACATTTCCAACAAATTTTTAATATTAAAAAAATGTTTTAAATATTTCAAATATGTTTTGTAGGATCAAGACCAATGTGGTATACCCTGGGCTGCGCTAGTGACGCGACCGCCGCAGCAAACACTTATAGTAGAGAGGATGCACTCAGGTGCAAGGCGTTATATTGTCCTTGACTTTGGATACGCAGTACGACTAACTGATATTGTGAGTATTTTGTTAATTAAATTTTACACAATTACCAAGATGTAATAATAATAATAAAGCCCGTTTTATTTCCAAATCATGACAAAAAAATGATATATATACAGCTTAGATTTTTTACATTTTATACATTAATTTTAATCTTGTTATCCTAGATATATCATATATTCTAGCTATCTTCAGTACCGTCAATCGGAACCCCTTCACTGGTAAAGGCGTCCAGCTTTTTCCAACTGACTCTGTCCATGGCTTTCTTTCTCCATTCGCTTCCTTTTTATGGGGCGCCCTATTCTCCTTCTTCCCCTTGGTCCTTGGATTACCAAGATGTAACGAATATAAATTAAACAGAAAAAATATATAAAACTAGACCCGCCCCGGCTTCGCACGGGTGCAATGCTGATACTAAATTCAAAGTGCTATAGGGAGAACCACGGCCTCTCGAAATATTAATTTATAAAATGTGCTGTAAAGGGCCATATCGATCTATATAAAATTAACAATGTATTTAAGGTATTAATTTGGATACGGATTATTGCTGTATTGGTTAAAATCGCTCCGAAAATTAGCCATTATTTGTCGTAAAAAATAAATGACAAAAACATGTTATTGTGGGATATTCATAAGAGATAGACATATACCATCGCTGAGTTTTCTGTAGACCTTTTCAATGTGTACAATACTTAGTACATAGTTTTGATAAATCTCGTAGGGTTCAGCCTGTGTTTGCAATGTTAGCGGAAAAAAATGTAATTATTTACGACATCACATTAGAAACCTAAAAAATAACAGTATTTGTCCACTATTTATTTTATTTAATGGATGTATACATACAATCACTTAAAAAAAACTGCATCAAAATCCGTTGCGTAGTTTTAAATATTTAAGCATACATAGGGATATAGGGACAGGGAAAGCTACTTCGTTTTATACTATGTAGTGATAGTACAGTTAGTAGTGAACTCATGTAGCTTTCGCTTAGAAATAAAAGGTCAATTCTAATTTAATTGTTTAAAATTTATAATCACTTATCAATAAAAATACTACACTAGAAGTAGTGTTTGTGTATAAACGCAAATTGATTCATGTCGGTTCCCTCATGATTTTCATTTCACTGTATGACTGAACGTTTAAGGCGACAGAAATCTATCGGTTCACAGTCGGTATTCGAACTCACGACCTCACTAAGCCAACACTGATCTTATAATCTAATGTTATTTTTCAAGTATTAATAAAATATTCTTTGATGGAGGATTATTTTAATATTGGGTTTCAGTTGAATAAATAAATAAGTCATAAATAAGTCTTTCTAATAATCGTTATCTTATTTATTGTGATCTTAATGAGGTTTAAACTTTTATTTAGCTTTAATGTTGCCTATATATTTTTTGACTCATTAAAATTGCAATTTATTTTCTAATGTAATGGTAATGACATAATTTCTTGTGGTAAGCAAGAACAACATAAAACAATTTAAATATTTTTTTCAGATCATTCCTTCCTGTTCTGACCTGGTGACTTTAGGTATTGATACCTGGACAGTGGGTGAAGAGACAGACTGTGTGAAGCTTGCTTTCGCAACTGATATCGCTACGAAACACCTCGTACTTGCTGATATTCAACCGCCTTTGACCTGCAGATATATGAAGGTAAATTATGAATACAGTGATTTTAAACAAACACAATGACCATACCACCATTGTCAGCAAAGGTAAGCAAAGCGCTAACTACCTAAGCGTATTCATTTTTTGAAGGAATCCATAAAAAAAGCATTTAGTTTTCAAGCATAGACAATGTATGGGTAATATGTGTAAAAAAAGTAAATAATTACTATTGACGTAATCACCAAATACATATGAAAATCAAAGATACACAATATATTGAAATTCTATTGGAATAATGTTTAATAATATTTTGATTTATAGATAACTACGATTGGCCGATATGGCATGTCGGCTATGAAGTGCCGGATACCGCTGGGATGGTTCTATGGCGAGATAGCAGAGGTGTCAAACCTCAAGGCCTCTACGAACGCGCTCAACGCTCTGCATGAGGACCTAAGCTGTCGATTCAGGTATTTTTCTATATATTTACTAGTGGACCCCACAGACGTTGTCCTGCATGATATTTAAAGCGATTAGGATATTAAGCAAAGTATGAAAGTACCGACTGCAGTGCCATCTGCCGGGCTGATTTGTGAATCTAAACCATTCCCAGATCCCCTTGAACACACACAAAAAATTTCATCAAAATCGGTCCAGTCGTTTGAGAGGAGTTCAGTCACATACACACGCACAGAAGAAATATATATATTAAGATTTTTAACACTCGCTCGTACGTGAAGGAAAACATCGTGAGGAAACCAGCATGTCTCAAATCCAAACATTTGTGAGACAGAACCGATTTGATGATTCAGACAGAAGGCTGATGACTTAGTTCTTCTACCTATGTAGGGGTGTAGCACCGTTGGATTATTTTTTTTCTTGTATTCTATTCTTGCATAGCTCTAATAGAAAACCTATTAGTTATTACTAATCAAAAATTAAACTATAAACAATGTCATATATTCATTAAAAAAAATAACTTTAAAATTGTTGTATCACATCATGATTAACCCATGTCTCTTCGAGTGAGTACTTCGTTTATAAATTCTAAATTCGTTAACTTCAGTGTTACACAACTTCTAGGTTTATCGTTGAGATTTCTCTACTTTGGGTATTTTTTGTTGTCTATATAAATTATTGTTTGTCTATATAAAACCAAAAAATAGGCTTCAGCGTCTATATAGTTTACTCTATGGCTTCGTTTCTCAATTATTTTTATGTCGCGACCCATGAAAAAGCCAAAAAGAGTAAAACAGTATTGCGACCCCGTCACTGTAAAATTATAATTAAATTTTTATAACACAACACTCTAATTATTCATTCCTTTAATAAACAAATCTTTTTTATCTATATATAGTTTGTATTATTAACAGACTGCGACCCCCTGCTTGAGAAACGATGCTCTATGGTATAGGTTTATTACTCACAAGATGTGCTCCTCGATTTTACCCTCGATTATTCGGGCATGACTTTGTAATCTTATTCGATAGTCATTATATTATTCAACACAAAAATTGAATTTCAAACATGTTTCTTACAATAGCGCTTTCAAGCAATGTCTTCAGCTTTATACGAAGCTAGTTTTAACACTCTTTACAGGAAATTTAATATATAATAACATGCAACAGGCGACCCTATTTCTATTAAGCATTCTCCAGGCTACCAGTAAAAGAAAAAGATCTAAAAAAACCAATATAAATATCATAATAATATAACAAAAAAAGAACATAAATTATCTTATAATATCCAAAAGATTTTTAAAATTTTATTTATTATTTCAGACTGGCAACTGGAAAATTGATAGACCTGCTTAATCCATACTTAGAATTGTACAATGGAAACGCAGCACACATGATGGCATATCTCAACCAATCAGAAACCGATATCAAAGTGGTTCTTGCCTACCAAGAGTGTATAGAACTCCAACAACAATTGCATAACTGCACCAACATATTGAAGAGATTGCTGAACACTCCAGATTGTAGTGAGACGGTTGTGGATGCTGTAGACACGGGTCAAGTGTTGACTGAAGTTCTCCTGGATCGGGCCTCCACGGACAAACTGAGAGTTATTACGGAGAGTGTTGTGGATTTGTTGCTGTACTTCTTGTTCCAGATGAGTGATGTGGTAGGGTTCAGACTTTAAAACTTGTAGTCTTTGAGAAAGGAGAAAGTAGGAATTGAGTAGTGCTCTCACGTTATAGTCTTGATTCTTAAGGACCGATCTGGTCGCCCAACTCCAGAAAAGTACATTGTTTCTTTCCATTTTTCGTCATCGTTTCTTAAGTAGGGCGAATGGAAAAAATATATGGCGGAGTTGAGTAGTTTATTTATCCATTTTGAAAGATCGATACACGATTTAAATAACTTCGCTTGATAGAAAAAAATCCAATATAGCGAATTTTTGACACTTTGAATTCATTTTATGACGAAAATGTGTATGGGACATGATTTTGATATTTACACGATATATTTTATCGCAAGCCAAGTAATCCATTTCAGAAAAAAAAATTGATAAAATTACATGAATTTAATGTTTTACATAACTAATTGTTATTACGGGCCGGCGCGCCTCAGTGCTCCAGCTCTCCACTGCGCCCCGCAGTCACCCCGAGACACCGACACAGCAATTCGTGCTGGGATAGGGCCCTAATATGAATAAATTAAAAATATATAAATAAATGAAATGAGTCGAGATAATTAAAATAGCTCGCCTTACCGCCACACCGGTTCTCTTTCCGCAGACTCTTAACATAATTAGTTAATTTCTAAAAAATATTTTTGCTTTTAACTGTTTTTATGTTTTGTTGATTTCATTGGTATTTCTATTGATAATAAATTTATTCTACAGGTAATTAAAAAAATATTCGCATACATCGCATAAATACACATTAAGACGAAACATTCATAAACAGGTTAAAATAAACTATATTTATATATGAATGTGTGTTGGTCTAGCGGCTTTAGCGTGCGACTCTCATCCCTCGTCGGTCGTTGGTTCGATCCCCGGCTGTGCACTAATGAACTTTCTATGAGCGCATTTAACATTCGCTCGAACGGTGAAGGAAACCGGCTTGCCTTAAACCCAAAATGTCGACGGCGTATGTCAGGCACAGGAGGCTGATCACCTACTTGCCTATTAGATTAACAAATGATCAGGTAACAGATACAGAAATCTGAGGCCCAGACCTAAAACTGTTGTAGCGCCACTGATGATTTTTTTATATACGCATAAACTAATTAAAGTGTGATATAAAAAGTATGTTTGAATGTAACAAAAATATTTTAGCAATACGAAGAAGTGACTCCGGAATGGTGCCGTGGTGTGATCCCTCTCTCGTGGGAATGGGGCGGCCGCAGTGGGGCTGCAGTTGCGACCCTCTTGGCCCGTCTTTGTGGCGGTGCTCACTGGTGGGGTCCACTACTTGCAGACAGGCTCACGGCTGCCTTTGATGAGCACGACGCACCACCGCTACCTCTGGACAGGTATACCAATAGATTAAAAATTGATAAATTAATAGGTTTTTTAGTACTAAAATAATCTTGCATTAAGTACCTTAGACAACACGAACGTATCGTATGACCATATTACCTAGAAATAACTTCATAAAAATTAATAAGATTTCTGCACTTTTTTACTAAAGTCTATCTGTCTCTTTCTTTCATAGCGTATATAATATACAATGTGACAGAAAGTAGCGAAAGAAAAACTTTAGTGAAAAGATAGAAATTATACTGACATAGTTTTTAAGATTTCAGTTTGCTTTTATGCATGATAAATTTAACTTGGGTTAGTTAATATTTTTTATATTACTTTTAAAAAATGGAATTTTTAAACGTGGAAAATACTTTCAGATGCCTAGTATCAATAATGTACATGTCTCGCAAGAGTATGTACGCGCAGTGCGGAGACGGCGGCGTGACGCAAGCGTTGGCGACGCGTACGCTCGACCTGTTACGCTCAGGGCCCGCTCCTCCCGCTCTTCTCGCCGCTCTGCTGTCTGCGCTTGCGCATCTTTTGGATGCTGCTATTGCGAACACTAACACTGGTTCACACAATAGGTATTTATTTAAATCAGACTATTAAAAGTTTATAGTTATGTCATATATATGACGACTCATTGGTCTAGTGGTAAGTACCCCTGACTGCAAATCCATGGGTCCCGGCTGAGACGAACATCGATGTGATGAGCATTTGGTGTTGTGCTTAGGTCTTGGATGTTTAAATATGTATTTATATGTCTATCTATCTATAATATGTATGTATATCCGTTGCCTAGTACCCATAACACAAGCTTCACCAGCTTAGCATGGGACTAGGTCAATTGGTGTGAATTGTCTTTAAAAAAAATATATATAGTTTATGGGGATGCGTGGATTTTCAATTTTATTGAATTATAATCGTAATTTATAAATATTTATCCGACTTCAAAAAAGCCGGTTGTCAGTTTGACCTGTTTACATTGGAGTATAAGACATCATTAATGTATGTCATCAAGTGTCAAAATATGACTTTTATTTGTTAAGTAAATTTAGCACTCAATATATACTCAACTATTCACATTTTCAACAATATCACACAGACGTCCAACCTCTTTTTTTGAAGTCGGTTATAAATAATAACTGAGTAACGTGTTTTAAAGTAATGTCAATATCAGATGGGACTGGGTGACGGGTGGTCGCGTGGGCGGTGGGTGCGCTGGAAATGGGTCGGGAGCCAGGTCCAGCACTCCGGTGCAGCGCTCTGGCGAATGCAAGCTGCATCGCCGTAAGCTGCACAAGAGGCTGCTGAATCAGATGCAGGAGATGGAGGCTGCCCGTCGCGGGATACAAGTCGCCATCGAGCAGCAGCAAGTACGTTTTTTCCAAATTACTATGAGCAAATTACTATGCTAATTGGATTAAGGGCTATGTGGAAGAAATTTACATAGTATGAAAAATAAGCATACATTGACATACATATAGTTAGTATACCTTAATACAATTTGTTTATATTTTTCTTAGTAACATATGCAAGTCTTGTACACACGAACATAGTATTATAACATTACCGAACTAATAATAGTGAATAAACTTTATAACTTAAAAAAATTATTTTAGTTTAAGCTATTCACTAATATTGTAAAAAAATAAGTCAAAATAATGTTTTATTAGACATATATATTGTAAATACTGGATTGTAATTCAGGTAAAGTCGCATTCTCTTTTGTGTGAATTGGTTACTAGATCCTTATACGATATGATAACGAAATTTTAGTTACCTATAACATACGTAAGAACTTAATTTAAAATTGTTTAGCTTCACGTTCGTTTTGGACGTCATACGACGTGTAAAAAATGGCATTAACAATATGACGAACTTGCAAGAAACCCAGAACAAACGTTTTTACTTTACACGTACTATTGTAATCAAAATCCATCCTTTCTACGCATCTAACACTCGCTTGTTCGTGAAGGAAAACATTGTTAGGAAATCAATCTTTGCAGAGCCTAATAATAATTATATTTCATAGGCCGAAGCGAAAGTACATAATTCTTAAAGATAAACTGACGTTTTATAGCGGGCACGTCTTACCCTGAAGGCTCACATGGCGCTTATGGGTAAACGGTCCAACAGTGCTAACGGAGCCAGCAGCAGCGCCCAAAGACCCTCCGAGGAGCTCAGGATCCTGAGCCCGACATTAGCGTCTGCGTTGGCGCAGGCATTACTGACACACATACTCACTATAGACTCGATTCACGCATCAGATCACCTGCTTCTATGTGCTAAGGTATTTAATATTTATATAGTCTTGTAACATTGGATAATTTTTAATTAAGAGATATAGTTTTAATTTAATTAAAAATTTTATAGGTGTTTGAGTAAAAGTTTGATACTATACGGAGCTAAAATGCAAATTCGATCAAATAGTTTAACTATATGCCTATAAAATCAAATCAAAACCTATATATATAACCTTTAATAGTATAATTATTACGAGTTCCGCGTTAATTCTAACGTCTTTAAAAAAGGGTGCGTGTACTTAAGTACTCGCGTAAGAAGTTATACTTTTTTGGCATTATTAAAAATAGTTAATTTTTACAATTAAATAATCAAAGACTGGAAAAGGAGTCATTATAGTCAATAAAGCTCAGTTTACATTTGAAGAATTAAATAAATAAATATTTATTATTATTCTTTTACATTAAGTGTAACATAAATTCTATTATTATTCGAATGTTGTTTTTAATCCAATGCCAATGTCCAATGGCGTAGCATCTTCCGTGGGCAACTTCATTCTGTTAATTTTGTGTCACGGTGCGCGCGCATCGTAAAATTTCACTCTCATCAATTTTTCATACCGCGCCTAAAGAAGTATAACTTCAAAAATCTTTTGTATTTTAAAAGGACTTAAGCATAAAGTATTTTCCTTGTCAATATATTTCAAATCATCTTTTCATAAAATATTATATAAGTGTTGAGATGATACATGATGCTAGGTGGTCGGACGAGTGTGCGCTCTGTGCGGTGGGTGCGGATGGTGCGGTTGGGGGGAGGCGGGGGGAGTGTTAGCTTTGGCTCGACGAGCTGTCACATTGCCGCCCTGGCCCAGGCACGCGCTTACGGCCTTGTTACAGGTACGTGCTCGTAAAAATAACTGATTCATATTCCAAACTTATTACCTCGATTGTTTAATATCATGTTAAGAAATTTAATTTGATATATAATTGTATCAAACGTATTTTTAAAGCCCATTCTAATAAAATCAAAATATCGGTCCTCAAATCAGTGTGTAGAACAAAGTGGTCATAAATCGGTTTTCACTTTAAAATTGCTGTTTTTTTTTAAACATACTATATTATAATATAGTTATATAGAATAATACACTTACACTAATTTTATCTCAAATGCAGTAGTATCAAGACAAATAAGTAAAATATAAAACATGACGAAGAAATAGCACTGTATGCTTTCTTCAAATATATTATGTGATTCTATAGGATCTAGTGGAATTCGAATGTGGAGAACCACCGGTGAACACAACTTCGTCTGAGGAATGGCATGGCCCCAGTTCATCGCGCATCAAAACTAAACTTCCCGTGGATCCTAACTTCGGGAAAGCACCGAAAAAAGGTAAATCAGTAACGAAATTACAATGAGGTGGTCGAATACAATTATTGGGTTATTGCAGTCTACCAAATATATATAAACAGTATAAAGTAAAATAAAATATCCGTATGTAATATATCATCTTTAAATTTTGCAAGCTTTTCTATAAGTATAATAATTTTAAACGTTAAATATTTTTTAGAACTGAATTACATTGACTATCAACTGACGCAACTTATTGAATCTGATGACTCCGAGTCTGAAGAGAAATTAGAGCAGCACTTCATAGATGTTCTGAAGAAAGCGAAGAAGAATAAGGAGTCAACAGATCTTAATACGAGGTGAGACTGCTTTTTTTAACATTAATTCGTAATTAATTATGGAGTAATAAAATATATAGTTATATGCTCTTTAAGCTTAGGTTACCTAGAAAAGCGGTGCCGTTAACTAACGGCCGTCATTTTACGGTTGTTAATAACGGCTGTCTTTACTTTTTAACATTATGCAAAACAACAATCAATTTCGCTTGTCCAAGTTACGTTTCCACTTTTGTAATTGTATTAATTAGATATGGGCACCGCTACACGCGAAAAACGTTGAACTAATGTTTATCACCGCTATGACGGCAGTCATACAAATGACAGCACCGCTATTTGACGTTACGGTGACACGGTTCTCTAGTTTAGCGTTCCACTAAGCGCTCACGACGATCAAAATTCTCCTTTAGCCATTCCACATACCGACCGCGGTCGTTGTGGTCACGGCGAAAACGTTACTCATGACGTCATGACTAATGCTCACGCAAGGCTCACAACGACCCATCTAAAGAGGTGGGTCAAATTGAACGTTGAGAAATATTCGGCGCAATTTTTGAAATTGTTTTTGAAATATGATATTCAAAGCTTAAAGATGGCGACAAGAAAAATAACATTATATGATTCTGAAAGAGAAATTGTAGTAGAAGCTATCGTTTCTGAAGCTGAAGCTGCTCGTGCAGAAAGAGGTAAATATAATTATGCAATATAAGTTTAATACAATTGATTTTAGTTTATATTCAACAGCTTCCATTTGTAATATTTACATGAACGCCCGAAACGCTCCATAATCCATTCCACTTGAGTTAACGACAGTAACATTCACAATCAAGTGGAATGGGGAAATCAGCGGTCGTGAGCGTGAGCGTTGTGAACGCTTAGTGGAACGCACCATAGGAAACCTACTCCGATGTTATTTATAGACAACGTATGGGTGACGTCACCCAACGCAACATTACTAGGAAACCCAAGCTTTACCAGCTATATTGTAATTAATCCTTTGTATTATTAAAAATCTACAGCACGCTATCGTCATGCGTGGACGCGCGACTTGAAAGTGGCCCAGCAGCGGCAGCGGAAGTGACGGCACGGCGCGTGCTAGCGGCGACTGCGCTGGCACTTCCGGCGGCTTTACGCGCACCACCACATCGGGCTTCACCTCTTTCCCCTGGGCCTACTTCACCTCAATCACCGGCGTCACCATCTTCGCCATCGTCGCCACCGGCTAGACACAATCCACCCCTCGCACATACCCTATACGACGTGTTCAGGCACCTCGCCTTGGAGTTTAAAAATCAGGTATGATGGAATTCGTATTGATTTTAGGGTAAGATTATACTCGTATATCAAAATTGAATTGTTTTTACACATAAGTGTCATAGTCAAGTCTGGTCTCTGTTTTATATTAATATAGTGTAGGCTAGGCGTAACTCCGGATCGAAGGACCAAATGCCTCAAGCTCATTTATCGGATAATCACTAGAGTATCCCTATTAATCGCTCACGATATTTAACCGAAATGTTTTGGTTTTTAGGTGGATTGCACATTTATGGAAAACGTGGTATCGCTGTGGTTAACTCTAAACGGGTCTTCGTGGGGCAATAACTGCAGTAGTGGGTGGAGTTTGGCCGCACACACGGTTCCCGCCGACGCGCCACGTATTCGTTTCGCCTCTGACACCGTTGTTGCGTTGCTTGAATCGCTTACAGAGTACGTATTCAAAATATGTTTAAACATTTATAAAATTTCCTCATATTTAATGTTTTCTGTTTTATATGTAATGATATTTAATGCATTTCTTTTAGATTGAATAATATATCCCTGCGTTGTTGGGTGCTGTCTATGCAGGCTTTGGCTTGGGTGGCAAGTTTCCCGATACAAGTGAGTTTTTTTTTACTATATGTATGTCGCAGCCAACTAGCTTAATTAGCCGTTCAATGAACAGCCTAGCCTTTTAACTACACAGCGCCGTTTACTAGCGGGCTGAATATCTTTCAGGCGATTGTTACAACAATTAATGTGCAATTAAGCCATTCGTATGAGAGTGACCATGTGGCAGAAATAAAAGAGATGAAACATCTGACATTAAAAATATTTCTTTAAAAATCAAATTGCTTGAGTTAGTCACAGCTAAATTCACATTATAATTATCACTATACTCTTCCATTATGCTTGTTGTTTTTCTTTAAACTTTGGAAAACACCATCAAAGTTGTTGTTTGCCGACGCCATATTGACACTGAAGAGTCGCGACGCTAGCCTAGCCTAGGTGTCAGAAAGTGGAACTAAATTTAAATTAACAGTATGTTTCAGTCTAGGCGAGTAATGAAACGTCATCGATCCAAGTCATTTACCTTTACGTTTGTTGTTAAACACCGCTGTTTAGTTAGAGGCTAGGCTGTTGATTGAACGGCTAGTTAAGCTAGTTGGCTGCGACATGTTTATCAGAGACAAAATCTATAAATACTTACTAATTTCCTCTTTTATTTTATAGACGGAAGGCAATACGCAAACAATTGGTCGCGTGATCCTCGACTGCGAATACTTTGTTCCGGCGCTCGTTAAGTTTGTCTCCATAGACATCGCAAGTGACGGAGCCGTCGTGTCTTCAGAACCATATTTGGTAAGTGTTATTTCTTATATCTATATAAATAAAATCTCTTATCTCGTTCAAGTATTACATAACGAGCTTCTAAAATTTTTAAAGATTTTAGAAGCTCCCCCCCCCCATGCAACCATAATGTTTGTCTGTATGCCAATTAATCCCCCAGTTTTTTTATTAAAATAAAAATGTTACGTAACGCGTTGTTTAAAAAAGCCCCCCTCCGGCCCATGTAACGCACTGTAACGTTTCAAAAGACTCCCCCCCCTCCCCCCAAATTCCGTTACGTAATACTTGAACGCTCCCTAAGTACTTAATGAAATACTTCTGACGTACAGAAGGGTCCTGATATAAGGGAACTTATAAGGAAAAATAATGAGACAGCCACAATTACCTACACAGAAATGTGTCTGCCGCTTGTCCTATGTAGGACTAAGTACTTCAGCTACGCCAGTCCACCTGTTTAAGAATCTTTTTAGATTTTATATTATTTATTTCTAAATCGTTATTCGAAATATACAAAACAATAAGTAGGTCAAATAATAATAATATGATTTATTCATTTCAATTTCTCCTTTCTGCATGGATTGTGTAATCTTTTAGATAAATAGTCTAATATTTATCAAAAATAATTAAATGGTTTTTCATTGGGATTTTTCTTGGTAAATTTTTATAAACATATACGTACAGGGTGGCAGTACATCTTGCGCGGGAGCAGGTGCCGCGGGGGCCTTACAAGCGGTAATTTCCCGCGTGTTGATGCCCCGAGGGGGCGGAGGGGCTCTATGTTCTTTACGGGCCTTGTGCGCCCTCAGTCAGACTCCGGGTGCACTGGCACATCACGCTTTAGATCTCCACGCTGCGTTACTTCGCGCTGCTCATTCACTACTGCCGTCACTTTCGGCTAAACACACGCAGCACGCCCTACCTCTCATTGAGGCTATTGGTATGTGTTGACTTATTTATGCCTACTTTTTGTAGAGATTTTTAGATTTGAACTATTATAATTACTTTCATTTTTTCCGGCGAGTTTAAGTAATTTTGTTATAATTTGTTGTATAAAACATTTCACGGTTCTAATGTTCATCCACCATTGAAAACGCCTATTTCTAAAATATAGTTGTCAAAATTTCCTTCATCAACAATTTCCGTCACATTACCAATGTGTGGGTGCAATTTGTAATATATTAACATAATTATTAAAATAATGTATTAATGTGAGTCACAGATTTCTTGTAAGAATCATAACACGTAATATTTTTTCAGCGGATCAGTGCAGTGGCTGGGTTTGGTGGGGGGGCGGATGGCGCTCGGAGGGTTGGAACGAGGGCCGTAGCTCGGGCTGTGGCGGGCTGTTGGCGGACGTGTTGGCCGGCGCAGGCGCAGCCCGCAAGCCGCCTCATCGGCGAGCAGTGCTCGCATCACTGCTGCTCTACTGCCGCAAGCTGCTGGCTCTCCCTCTACCGTCCACAAGAACTGACAGGCAAGATCAGGTGGGTGTTAAAATAACAAAAATTTTATTTTGCCATTTAAACTAGATTTGCTCTGTAAAATTTTACTAATATTTATGTGGTAGAAGTGCTAAGATTTAAATGAAGATCAATTTTAGTCTTTGAATTGGTAGTGAGTGCAGTATGGTAGAATTATATATTTATACTAGCTGATCCGGCAAACGTCGCTTTTCCATGTATATCATTTATAATAAAAAATAGGGGTTGATCGGAGAGGGGTGAAAATTTGGCGTTGTATGTATTTTTTAATACTGTATCATAAAAAAAATATCAAAAAAAAAAAATTGGGGTAGACTACCCGTAACATTTAGGGGGATGAAAAATAGATGTCCGATTCTCAGACATACCCAATATGCACACAAAATTCAAGCCGTTTCGGAGGAGTTTAACTACAAACACCGCGACACGAGAATTTTATATATTTGATTAAAAATATAACTGTTTGAGCTTTATCAAAAATCTTACATTCGTTAATAAAAATTATGTAGGAATTAAATTCAAGTTTAGCTAACGTTTCGTATTTTAGTTGCTTCGTAAACAAATCGCCTTAATTCAAACGAAGTTTCAAGTGTTATTTTTTACTATGTATTAAATGTAATCACATTTTAAATGTGTCATAGCCCGCAAGTCCCGAAAGCACAGCTAGTGGCGGCAGCGTATCTGGGAGTGAAGAGTGTCAAACGGATGAGAGTAAGCAACAACAACAACAACAGCAACAGAGCAGCCAAGAAGGCACCAACGTTGAAGACGAGAGGAAACAAGTACCGAAATCACCATGTCTCGCCGATACAGGTAAAATGGGTTCCTGAGACCTTCAATCAATCTTTTAAGCTTTAATATTGGAAGAAAATAATCTTCAGAATTTTGGTTACTAGTTCAATCCCTTTTGAATAAATTACATTTGAAAATCAATCAATCATGAGTTTAGTCTTTCGAATCATCTTTCGGGCAATATGTATTTTTGATTTTAATAAAACTTACAAATGGACCTATCCTTTTTAAAATAGATTTTAATTGAATTGCAGCATTTGGATTCATTTCGGAACTGGGAATAATCTTAGATAATACATCTAATAGAGAATGTAGCCATTAGAAGTACAGTAGTACTTAACTATGCTAGAAGCGTATTATAACCCAATTGAGTGAATCTATTAGTAGGGTCCAATATTTTTGTAAACTGATTTCTATAACAGAGTAAAAATAATTTTATTGTAATCTGTAATTATATTTTTTGTCTGTAGTTTTACAACATCCCAACATCATGGAGAAATTCTACAGGACTCTGTCAATGTGTGATGGCATGACAACAATGGTGTTGAATTCAAGTAAGTTGGATGTTAATATTTTTTTAAATATATTATAGAAATACTATTTTATAAATTCAATTTGAGTTTTGATTTTTTTATGAAAAAAAAAATACATTGTAATTTGTAATTTTTTTATGAACAAAACGAGATACAATAGTAAATATTTTTTTTTAAAGGCGGAAACGTGGAAACCTCTTCAGATCAATGTTCGCTGAAGGAAGAGATATTTTGGCTTGTGGCGCACATTCCAACCGTCGCTGCCAACCCCGCACTTATGCTGCCATCTCTTATCGAATACTTAAGTAAGTTCTTCATTATAATTATGACACAGCATTATATACTTTTATAAAAAATTTCTAGATTACCTTGTTCCATAATTATAATTTTTTTGCCTGAAAACGTTCTGGTTAACTCTCATATCTATATATATACATAATCATCTATATAATTTTTTTTAATATATTAAAATTGAATGAGAAGTAATAATTACTTTCTATACACAGGTAAAGATGAAGTTGTACACTTGTCGCAAGCAATGCAACAATTACTCCAGCGACTTCTCGACAAGCCAGAGTTGTTAGCAGCATTCATAGATGCAGGAGGCATGGAACTTGCTGTCAGGAAACTTAATATTTGCCATCAGGTATGGTGGCCCACTTCACTTAATTGAAATAAAATAGTTAAAAATTAAAATCCCGACTGGATTTCCAAGAATTCCATTAGTTTTAATGTTTAAAATCAGAGCGCCTTTTGATTATCTGAATTGGTTAAGTTCCCACGAAACGTTGATATCAATATGAAACCACGCGATCTTCGACAGGCCGGGCCGAGCAGCAGCCAGGGTCTGGTGTCTTCTCTGATGAACCACCTGAAGCTTCCACCGCAGCTGATGAACCTCTCGACGCCTGCTTCCAGCAGCAAGAAAATCCAACCACCAGCGGTGGAGGCGACCGACGGTCTCATCAATATTGCACCATTCTGTAAGTTCAGAAGGTGTTCTATACTCTAATTTTTAATTCCGTAGAATTCTGGCAGCTATCATCTTTTGACATGTCAGAGATGGCAAACCTTTTTGGCCAGACACATTTTTCAATTTCAATACGAGTTTGAACATCTGAGTCTATACGTTTTAAGCAGTAAAAAACGCACAAGTAAAGGTAACATTTTTTTTAAAGGTTGACTAAACCTGGAATTAGTAGGCAGTGATGCCAGCTAAATAATAAAATAAAGTAATTAAAGTTAATGCGATGTATTGTTTGTGATATTGAAATATTTGTAATTTTTGTATTAGGTCACTTGAGTAAGTAAATATTTAGATTTATCTTTTTGTAGGTAAAGCATAAAAAATACGTAGCATTTTTTTATTGCCCTCAAATAGGTCAAATTTGTCCCTTTTTTGTGAAGAACTTTTCAGATTGAAGAAGAAATCAGAGTATATATATTTTACTTTGATATTCGTATATTATGCGTGTCTCATTCTTATTGTATAATCTCGTGTCTCAGGTACAGTGACATGCGGCAATCCAACCGCGCAAGCGGCAGACGTGTTATTGGGCACGACTGGCGAGAGCTCGCGCGGTGGTGGTGGCGCTTGTGCGGCAAGACGCGTACGCGCCGCTACTTGGTCCTACCACTTCTTCAGTGCTGATGATGCATCCATCGCCCTATCTCTGCATCTGCCTTATGCTGTGCGACTCCACGAAGTGCAACTCCAACCTCACCTCACCAGTCTGGCCAGTAATTATTATTTCATATATTAAATTTTAGAATATTTTGAATATAGTTTTCATCAGTCTGGCAAGGAAAGTAAAAATAACTTAGATACTGTTTGATTAACTTACTGCCTGGTCAATGTATAACTTGCTGACTTAGTAGATTCGCCAGCCTTAGTAGTTTAGTACTACTTTTCCCTCTTAATCTGATAGGTATTTGAAATTTGGGAGTCATACTTGTGACTTTATATCCTACCCTAAGTTTTTAATAATACTCTGAAAAAGGAGTATAATGTATTAATAATTATTATACCTTTGCCAAGTACTGATACAGCAAGAACTGGAAACAAAAATAATAAATTGACGTTGAAAATATTAAACCTATAAAATAAATTTCTTCTGTAGCGTGTCCCGGTGCCGTGGGAGTCGAGGCGGGGTGTGGTGGGACGTTAGCGCCACTTGGGCCACCGCAAAGTACGGCTGGCATGACATTTATCCGACTGGCGATAGCTCGACCAGTAGTCTGTACTACCGTACAGTTGCGTCTCTATCGCCCTCGGGACTGTTCCAACATGGGCTTACTGCAGTTGCGACTTCTCGCTGCCCCAGCGTTCGCCCCACAACCGCCAATACCCACCCTTCCACCTTCGTCCGACTTGAACAATACCACTTATACAAGTGATACCTCTGGGTAAGTAACTGCTTCTATACGAAAGAAAAAAGATTCTTCCCAAGATTGGTACGCGAAGCCATTGAAATCAAAAAACACCCCAATTTCAATAGATAAGACGGCCTAAAATTGTCAAACACCTGGGATCCAATAATATCCAAATTAAAATCTCAAGATAAACAATCCGCGAAAATAGAGGACACCGTGAGCCATTTCTGCCAAAACCCTCCATCTTTTAGTCAATACCAACTCCGGGGAAATAAATACAGATAATACAACTTTTTCTACAGCTGTGATACATTTTGACATTCAACACCTTTTGTCTTCAGTCACCGTGACCACGCACGCTGTAAAGCACGCGAAACGTCGGATTTTTTTTTTTAATTATGTAAAATAATTATAAGTTTAACTTCAATCCGGTAAAAAAGTGTTTTCTTTAAATGTGTAAAAGTTATGTTAATAAAAGACAACACTAACTGCTTCTATTACTTAACCACTGACTTACTTGAGCCAATAATTTTGTGCTTAAGACTGGTCTACTGTAATATTTATTGAATTTGTAACAATTCTGTGTATATCTAATTTTTTTTTTAAACAGAAATAACTGGGCGAGTGTGATATGTGCTTGTGTCCGCGGACGCGCCTCGGCTAGTATTGATATTGCTAACGCAGTACGAGCGTTGTGCGGTGCTCTGTTATCGGGTGGGCCTCAAGCTAACCACGCCCATCAAGCGCTGTTGGCCGCTGCCCGCGCACAACCAGAGTTAAGAGAGCCGCTTATCGAACACCTGCTTGATTTGGATGCGCATGCGCACGCATATGGTACGTACTTTTAAGCGAGATCAAAAAAAGGGTTGTATCTGTTTCCGTGTAATATAGTTAGAATTTGATCATATTTGCTTATGATGATATATTTAAGCTTCTAGGCCCGGATGCTAAACTTTGTGTTCAAATAGTGCGCAAATTACTAGGGTAACTAAATCATATACGATGAATTTTTTCGTTGAAATATCAGGTATATTTCAATTTTTTTTTCGATTTGAGGTACCTAAGGAGAAGTCCTAGCGATCGATTTATTATTATTTTTATTTTCTTAGTCGAATGTATTTAGACGGATATACTAAAACTTTAAAATCTCTTAACAGCATTCCAACCAACACGTGCCGGCACCAGCAGAACGAGCAACTCGGGCAGCATGAGCAGCGTGTGTGGCGTAGTTCAGGCGTTATGCAGGTCTTGTGCGCCGGGTACACTTCATGCCTTCCTACGCTGGTTACCGCGAGTCGCTGAGAGAGCCCTGCGTACGCGGGCTGCTCCATCTGCTGCAATATTACATACCCTTGCTGCGGTTAGTTTATACCCTCAAACCTGCTAAGGTTTTTCATTCACATTATATATGGTGAAATAAAAAAAATGGTGCGTGTTCTTATGTACGCGCGTAAGAAGTTATACTTCTTTGGCATTATTAAAATTAGTTTTTGATTGCATGCAAATAATTAATTACAATTAAATAATCAAAGACTGGAAAAGGAGTCATTATAGTCAATAAAGTTCAGTTTACATTTGAAAAATTAAATAAATAAATATTAATTATTATTCTCTTACATTAAGTGTAACATAAATTCTATTATTATTCGAATGTTGTTTTTAATCCAATGCCAATGTCCAATGCCGTAGCATCTTCCGTGGGCAACTTCATTCTGTTAATCTTGTGTCACGGTGCGCGCGCATTGTAAAATTTCACTCTCATCAATTTTTCATAACGCGCCTAAAGAAGTATAACTTCAAAAATGCGAGCACGCTGACGTCATGAATTATGTCGCCTTTTGTATTTCGTCTTGGAAACTGTTCCATGAAGTCTGTGGATAGACTTTTATATGATTTTTTTTTTTTTTTTTTTTTAATTTATTTATTAGCCGGATAGACTTTTATATGAGCTCACTTGGGGTTGCCATCTTTAGATTTTTTATGCCAAGAATTTTAGTTTTGTATTGCAATTGTAACAGGTTCTATGGAGCACGAAAGAAGAAAACTTGCTGGATGACATAGAGGAACTGATTACGGACGACGTGTTCGAGCTGATCTGTACTTGGGTAAAGGACGTGAGCGAGGCAAGTCTACTGAAGAAGTCGCTGGACGCGGTAATGTGTTCCATGTGCTTTATACGACCGGACCTTTTCAAGATGCTCCTCGAACGAATGGAAATACCGATGGATACAGATGAGAGGTTTCTAATTAAATCATTACTATACACAATATGTTATACATGAGCAGTGTTGGCCTAGTGGCTTCGGCGTGCGTCTCTCATCCCTGAGGTCGTAGGTTCGATCCCCGGCTGTGCACCAATGGACTTTCTTTCTATGTGCGCATTTAACATTCGCTCAAACGGTGAAGGAAAACATCGTGATGAAACCGGCTTGCCTTAGACCCAAAAAGTCCACGGCGTGTGTCAGGTACTGGAGGTTGATCACCTACTTGCCTATTAGATTGAAAAATGATCATGAAACAGATTCAGAAATCTGAGGCCCAGACCTAAACAGGTTGTAGCGCCACTAATAATTTTGAATATGGGAATACTCTGAATATTTCTCGAAAGCAAATAAAGGTTTATCACCAATAAGCTGATAAATATTTAAAAAACTAATAATATTTTTTTGTAAGTGAAAAATTATCTAAATCCGCGATTCCGTGGTTAACGCACAATTGCAGCTAACTGTAATGTTTCAGCATGGAAGCGCAAACAGACGACACAAAAGTCCGTCGTCCGATGCAAGCGTCGGTGTCAGGCGAGAGTGGAATATGGGTGGGAGGCAGTTGGCCTGCCGCTGCTGCTGCTCGGCGCCTGCGAAGGCGTCAGCTCACGAGCATCGCCGCCGCTGCTATGTCCCCGGCTTGTACGCTCACTTTGCTGCACTCGCCGCTGCCAAACACGCTCATGCACGCTGTCGCCGGTGAGTTGGTTTAAATCAAACTTTTTTTTTCTTTATCTTAAGGTCTGTAACGGGTGGATTTGAGAGTGTACGAAACACACCGGTGTGTACGTCACTTTTCAAACCAATTATGTCATAATAATAAATTAGTAGATAATATTAAAATATATAAAATAAAATATTTAAAAAAATCACTCCATGTATATCTCCTTCAGCCAACGATAACAGAATATTCTTATTTGTTTTGTTTATAGATTTTTGTGAAGCAAAATTGGACCAAATAATCTCGCAGAGTAATCTATCGGGCGACATTGACATGCTTGATATCAGCGCTCGAGAATTGAAAGGCGGTAAGATAAATAATATTTTCTAAAAGATCATAAATAACAATTATTTATTGTGTTATTAAGGACAAGACTTGGTGTATGTGAAATAAATAGAGTATAAATTACAGAAATGGCGTCTATGGACACCGTGTGTGACATAGTTGAATGGGCGCGGCTGATGTGCGCCGAGCGAAGGTTTAAAGACTGGCTTGGTGCCGCCGGTTCAGGCTTCTGGAAGCCGTTGCTGAAACTTCTGTGCCATCCTAGACCAGTTGAAAGGTATAATTTTTACTAAATGATAAAGTATGTAACATTTGGGAAAGTTAATCTGGTGATATATCATTTATGAATAAAATTCTTATGTGACCAGTTCCTGGCGTGAGATGAGCCAATACGCAAAGTTGGAAGAGCATACGATCCGTCTTTTCTCCGAGTTGACCGTCTGCCATTCGCACAATCAGAAGCTCTTCGCTTCAACACTACATAACATTCTGGACTCTATGCATTGTACCGGTGAGTATTGGCCACAATATGCAAATATAATATTTAAAGTCTATAATCTATGGTACTAAGTTTGCAGACTCCCACAACATATACAATCAATCAATGGAGTAGACAATATAGTACCTTTTTTTAAAAGTAGTAATTAAAGATGTTTTTTAATAACTTCTATATTTGTGTCAGGTCCAGAAGGCATATCCGGGTTTACTCGGTCGCTGATCCTGAGGCTGGTACTGTCGGGTGAACGTGCGACGGTAGCACTCCGGTGGGCGGGAGGCTCGGCCCCGCCCTCTACACCTTCAGCTGTGCCGTCGCCTCCGGCCCCTTGCCATCCGGCTGCGCGAGCGCATGCTATACTCACGCTGCCTCTACACACTACTGTGAGGACGCTGCTAGCCGAACATCGACCACCTAGTTAGTATATAATGTTTGAGCTTTTTTTTAGTTTTGAATTATTTTGTTTGTTATGTTTGTTTATTTTTATAATATAATATTAATATGTATTTATTTTACTAACTATAATGGTTTTATTTTTATTTGCGAGTTTCTTTTATCGTCACACATGTTAAATTGCTTTATTTCCTCCGTTCAGTGCCGGTAATGGAAGAAGGCAACAAGATAAGTTCTCACAGCGTGCCCAGCTCTTCAAACGCGTCAGTGTTGCGAAGTGCATCAGACCCTGCGATCATGACCGTGGCGGAGGCTTGGGAACTGTCCCTCGCCGCCGCCAGCGCGTCCAAAGACAAACGGGTCAAAGACGTAAAGAACACCACCCTCAAGCAGCAGAGCAGCAAAAAGCGCCAAAGCAAGCCCAATGCTGACAGTAACAACCCGCTCGCGGTTATGGATGGTAAGATTAATATTTAAACACTCTTACAAAAACTATTAACTATGTACCTTATTGTAATTTAATTGCAGATTTGTTGGAGTCATCGATCCGAGTTCAAGCAAACGGAATAGAAGGGTTTATTCCAGGAAACACTACTCTAGCGCAGCTTTGCACAGCAGTGCCGCATGAGTTTGGGCCGCATCTGACCCTCACTCTTCATCTTAACACCACCGGTGGTTAGTTTTACATTTTATAATCATTATTTTTTTTCAATGTATATAAACTTTAATTTAATTTAATATAACAACATAAAAGCTAAAACGGTGTCTGAAACATGATACTAGAGAGATGTTTGATAAATTTAACGACGCCACCGAAGCTTAGTGCTAATATTAAAATATTTAAATTTATTTGGAAAGTCGAAAATTATATTAACAATCCCCGCCCCGCATCTTAACGTTTTACAAACCAAATTCGTTACGTAATACTTGAACGCTCCTACAGAATACAATAATGATAATATAAATTGTGAGGTGCAAATTTCTACTTTTAACTGGATTTATTAAAGTTGATTTATTTTTAGTAGACCTGTCGTATTAATAGTTCGTACTATTACAGAGGCATCATCAGGCCCAATGTGGGAAGGAGGAGGTTCAAGCAGTTCGGATTGTGGCAGCTCTCGCCTCAGTGGCGGTGCTGTCCTGCGTGAGTTTGGCGCCTGCGGTGGTCTGGCGTTGGTGGCCGCCCGCCTGCCGAGGCCCCATGCGGCGCCTTTGCCGGCCCCGGCCCGACAACATCATTCGCTCGACCTCGACTGGGTCAAGCTAGACGATGCCTATGAGGTGATACACTCTCGTGTATAGATTTAATGTGAACTAATCACCGGGTGGATTGTTTCATACTTGCCTATGTGCCTATGTGATGTACCTACTCGTTTAAAAAAATCGGTGGTCTGTAAAGTCGGTTTACTGGCAATGGTTGAACGTGACAACGTCATAAGAAAATACTGATTTGAAAATTTTAATTTTATTTGTTTGATAGATTTTTTGTATTGATATAGAGAAGCAGGTAAATGGAAATCAAAATTGAATTCATCTATTACAATATAATCGATATAATACGATATATACTTTATATACAATAAAGACATCGAACGCTGCCGCGCGGAGGCCGATTGTGCCTCTTTGTCACTCGTTCCGCGCTCTCGCTTGCACTTCAAGCCTTAACGAACGGAACGCCTCAGAGGGAGGTAACGCTGCATGCGTCATGTTATTCGTGCGTGCAGCCGGCTCCATCGAATTATAAGACGTTGTCACGTCAAAAACAATATCGGTGGAAGAAGAATAGAATATTGATCTACTTCCTTTTCAGGCTCCGGCAAAATTGATGTACAAGTAAATAAAAGCAGTGTTTTTTAAAGTAAATAAAAAGAAAACTCAGTTTAGAGCATTAAGAATATCCATAGCGCAAAATCACCTGCATCATGAGCATACCCACATATACACCTTCATGTACTTACACTCACTTTTACACCATCATACAACACAGACAAATTAGGTATGACTTAGTTGATTGGATCGAATAATTTTTATTGTTTGTTCCCTTTTGTAAAATTTTTGGACCTTTTTGTAGGAAAATATTAGGTATTCCATCTCTGGCTCTTAGTGTAATTGTTTGTTATTATATATAATTTTTGTTAGCTTTAGGATTACGAAATAAATAAATTAAAAGATTTCGCGTACACGATGGCCGTAACGGATTATTCATTAAAGTTTCACTCTTAATAAATGTTGTTAATCAGCGACACCTTAATGACGCCCGCGATATTCGGCTTGGTCCTTCGAGCCGAAATATTGAAACAACCTACCCATAGTGGTACAAAGAGTTTTGGCCGACATAATCGAAAGATCACGAAGTTGAAAATTAGCTCTCGTTCCAGGAGGTGATGGAAATAGGTGTGACATCGGCGGGCAACGTGGCGGTAAGCGCCAATACCAGTTCGTCGGAAGAAAGCAGCGCATGCGCCGGTGTCCCCTCGCATGCATTAGTGGCGCTCGCTTTGCTCCTCAAGCTCAGAGGATATGCCCATGCATTGCTTGAAGAGGGGTCTAAAGCCGTACATTTATTACGGCTGTTGTTGGGTGTTGCGCACGATGAGGACGGACGTGAGTTCCAATTTCCTTGACGTTGAGGAAAAGATCATTTTTATTATTAAATTTACTGTATCTTCGAAAATACTAATATTTATGTACTATAAAATATTTTTATTTAATTGAATTGAATTAGGTAGACACACAATTTCCTTATGCTTTGTTTCCGCTAAATCGGTGTTGGTCAAGAAAGGATGACAATTGTCTATTTTGAGAGACTTTGACACACGAAATGACATTATACAATTTTTCTTATTACAATTACTAAGAATCCAGTACTTGGAGTAGGACGCACCACCGTTGGTGGTAAGTGCTAGTCTTAGTCTGATCGTTTTTTGGATTCCTTTTACTAATACTGACACGCGATAGCTGAACCAGCGAATTTAATTGCACCGAAGGGAGGGAGCATTCTGGTTACAGCTTGCGGATACCCAGGTCCTCACACTTTATTTTGTCATATTGTCCTAATAAATAACATTTAGTGACATGTTGCAGGGAGCATTGTAGTGAGCGGCAGTAACAGTAGCGGTGTCACCTGGTCCCTTGGCACGCTGCCCTTCCGCGTAGTGGCTCGTCTGCTGGAAAGCGGTGGCCGAGGAACGGAAGGTCGCGCGCTCCGGGACTCTCTGTTGCGTTTGGGCGCAGTTCGACTTGTCCTTGCTTGTCTGGCTGTCTTCACACACCATAAACCAGCCTCAACTATGGTCAGTGAATAATAGGGATTTTCGGCCATTTTTTCTATACTATTATATATATAAAAATATATACTATATACATTGTAAAAGTGGCCGAAAACTACTACTACTAGCTAAACTACTACTATTGCTATACTTTTCTTTTTAAATACTTAGAGTAGCCTTGGTGTCCTGAAGGTCGGGCCCAATAGTCTTGACTCCTGTTTGGTCTATTTCATGTTATGAATTATTGCTTCGGTTACTGGTACTGGTTTAACCTATATCTTAAGATTATTATTTAAGAAGTTTTATTGAAGAAAAATCTAAAATGTGAACATTGAAAATCGTAGAACGCATCGTCAAACGGCACGGGCAAAGAAGACAAATCGCAATTGTACTGGGCCAAAGGAACCGGTTTCGGGACGGGTTCTACGCAGCAGACGTGGGACGTGGAACAGGCTCTTGTCAGACAACGAATTGAAGAGGAACACGTGACTGTTCTTCTCCAGGTAATTTATATGGAATATATCATCTGTCTCATTTCATCACATCGTAATCAAAATTTGATAGAAAGAGACGAAATATTACTTTAGTCAAAAGTGCAATTAGATCATTATATTGTTTATAAATAAGCGGTAATAAGATAATAATAATTTGGTCATATATTTATTTATTGAAATTTGAAGAGTTAGGTTTTAAGACGTAACGTAAATTTTTTAAAGGTGTTATCATCGTATATGAACCCTGGAGAGAAATGGCCGCCAGAAGAAGGCTCGCAAGAGGCTCAAGATATGGAGGAGACAGAGGAGGGCGACACACAACACCTTCCTGCAGAGTTCATTGACCTCGTCGCCAATAGCTCGCTTTTACCCGCCATTTGCTCTTATCTTAGGAATGACTCGGGTTAGTTCTTTTACTTTATACGCACTTTTTTGTTTATTTTCTTTGAGAAAAAAAATTAAATTGTATTTTAATGTTTTAAGTCTTCGATAAAAATATATTGTTCCCACTCACAATTTTTGGTTTCGGCGATAACATGAAATTTTAAAATAATTTACCATAGACAAGTAAAGACCATGGAGAAATAAGTGACAATTTCATATCAAATGTCGATCCTTAAAATGCTTTTGAAAATAATATTATTAATGTTTGTCATTTGTATAGTACTGGATATGTCTCGACACATCCCGTTGTACGTGTGCGTGCTCCGAGTAGCGCGTGCGCTCGCGTCGCTGCGATGTCGGCGGTTAGCGCGCGCGCTGCACCCTCTGCCTGCGTTGCTGCATAGCATGAGTCGCACCACCAACTCGTACGCAACTAAACTTAGGTAACTTTTAACAAGTTAAAGACATAAATATTTAACTAATAAATGTAAGAAAATGTATCCTTTAGACTATAGCCAACTTCAGTGATTCTTTTGTTTGTTTAGTTACTTACCTTAAAGTGGACCCACAGTGTACATACCGCAGTTATCTCCAGCTCTCCTATATTTATGTTTATGTTTTATTTTACAGAATGAGTAAGAAGAATATATTCGGGAAAATGACGTATAGCCAAAGATTTAGTACTTCGAGTAATTCTGAACTGTCGGAGGAAGATGAAGGTCTCGCATCGCTTATAGCGGATATACAGGTGAGAATACTTAACCTAATTTTTTTTAAAGACAATTCAGACCAATTGACCTAGTCCCATGCTAAGCTGGTGAAGCTTGTGTTATGGGTACTAGGCAACAGATATACATACATATTATAGATAGATAGACATATAAATACATATTTAAACATCCAAGACCTAAGCACAACACCAAATGCTCATCACATCGATGTTCGTCTCAGCCGGGGATCGAACCCGGGACCCATGGATTCGCAGTCAGGGGTACTAACCACTAGACCAATGAGTCGTCAACTATGTACGCTCGATGTTTCAACGTCATATAGAAAAAAAGTGCGCGTCTCTGGACGCCCGACAGAAGTGCTAGCTTAAACTAATCTAAATTGAACTATTTAATATTGAAATTGTTTAACTTGAGAATAGCTTATGCTTATCACTTAAATTTTATGTATATTAATATAATAATATACGAAAAGGTAATTTTTTTAAAACCACCGAAATTTGTGTGAACGTTTGCAGTGATATGTTTTACCCTTGAATCAATTTGTGATAAGAGTTCCGCACCAATCATGCTTATTGCATCAATGATGCATCAATGAATGATAGCTTTTACATATTTAAACACGCTGCCGTATGCGTGAGAGAAAGGAAAGCTCGTAAACGAAAGACTGGCGCCGTAACGCGTTACGTAACAAAGAGGTTTACCCTCTCATAAGAAGTTATCACTTTAAAAAACTAATGTTGAATTATTGAAATTACGCTCTTCTTTAATATTGATTCCCTAATATGCTTCTATAATGTTAATTATTTGAAGTCATAACAACGATAGGAATTTTAGAAAATGATTTTGTAGTATTTTGTGTTAAAGATATGTCAAATACCAGGCATAGAGCAACCATAAGTAATACTCCTACGCCGATCTTATGACAATATACGATTGTTATAGACTGAACCTTTTCTATCTCGAGAAAAACCTATTTGTGAACTTTGTTTTTTAGGCAGGTTCAGACGGGTTTCTTATGTTGTTTTTTTTTTCATAGGAAAAACATGTCCTTTCCGAGAGATTAAACCAGAGCTGTACTTTGTTTTCAGGCGACATCGGCCCTAATGTGTCGATCGGAGAGTGAGACAGAAAGTATAGGCGTGGCCCGATCAGTGCGTGGTGCCAGTCGAGAGGCCAGATACATAGAACTTATGCGCACAATGCAGTTTGGTTCGTAACTAACTTTTTTCCACACACTAACATAACAACACAAAATCCTTTTTAATTTAATACACTACTATTAATTTTAATATGCAAACGTGAATTTCATCAAACGGTTTCACAATCAAATACTCAGAAGGTTTTTAAAAAATATTTGTTTTTGTTCCACGAATGAATCATTTTCAGCAGTGTCAAATAATAAAGATTAGTTTGTTAAAATATAAATGAATGTTGCAGAAACATTTGAAATGATAGCCGAGGAAGCGGAGGGCGGATTCCGCTTCACGGTGCCGTATCACTTCGAAGGCACAGTGCGTGCGGCGGGAGAACGCACTCACCCCGCTAGGATGAAGCGCCTGGCGCAAGAGGCCGCCACTCTTGCCACCAGTCTGCCGCTCTCCTACTCTTCCTCTGTCTTCGTGCGCACCGACACCGACCGTCTGGACGTTATGAAGGCGAGTTGAAGGCTTTTCCAGAATTTTAATGAATATTTGAAAATGGCTTTATGTTCTTAATCATTGTTTTAAAATAGCTAAGTAGGTCATTATGCTTCTGTGCTTGACGCGCTGAAGATTTTTTGGGTCCAAGGCAGTTTCCTCACGATGTAGTAATGAATAGCGTAGAAAGTAAATTACCGTCGAAACTTCCTCTCTTTTTTTGAAGTCGGGTAGCTCCAGCATTTTAAATCAAACAAGAATGTCATACTAATATTCTTAGTATGAAAGAAATGTATAGCTGGTTTCAAGTTCGTTGTGATTTAGAATAATTAATAAGTCTTCTATATTTATGGGACCTTTATACTGATGGTTAACTAATTTGAATATTTTTTTAAACTAGGGTATTGTTAATAATTCTATAGTTGTATATTATAGTTTTAAATATATGAACATACCTGTTCTAGAAGTGAAAGCTGAAGAGTATTATTATAACAGGTTTTAATAACGGGTCCATCCGACACGCCGTACGCCAATGGTTGCTTCGTACTGGACGTTTATTTCCCGGCCGAGTACCCCGCGGTGCCGATGCTGATCAACCTGGAGACGACGGGTCGCCACTCAGTGCGTTTTAACCCTAACCTTTATAACGACGGAAAGGTGTGTCTCTCCGTTCTCAACACCTGGCACGGCCGCCCCGAGGAGAAGTGGAACTCGCATACGTCTAGCTTCCTACAGGTACAATTTTTAATACTCTATTATTTACACGGGCTTTAATGGGTAAAAACGACTGCGCTTCATGTCTATGAACTATTTATTTATTTATTCTTTATTGCATTTCCTAGTAAATAATGTATAAGAAACGCGAAACTAAGATCAAAAAATTTAGCAAGAACTGTTCGTATTCGGCGCCATAACGCAACCACGACGTATGCGCAGGTGCTAGTGTCGATCCAGTCGTTGATCCTGGTACCGGAGCCGTACTTCAACGAACCGGGCTACGAGCGCAGTAGAGGGACACGGGTCGGTAACAGCGCTTCCTTGGAGTACAACTCGAACATCTATCAGGCCTGTGTGCGCTGGGCCATGCTGGACCATCTAAGGTCGCCGGAACCCTGCTTCAAGGAGGTACGTAACGAGATGCCTTAACAGTAGTGTACGTAGAAAGTTGAGTCCAGTGTTGGTACTCTGTTACTTTAAAATTGCTAAGCTTGGGTCTAGTCAATAATATAAAACCGAGCAAGCTAAAAGCGTCTACACACAACCCTTAAATCAGAGGCAATATCGAGGAAGTGGTGGGGAGCTACCTAGATTTGAGTATGCTTCTCCCGAATCGAACTATGAGCCGATTTCATCTCCACCACTATTTCCCCGAATCTCTTAAAAATGTCCTAAAATTAGTCCCGTTATCGCCACTGATTTTAAGGCCGTGTGTATATGCTCTAAAACTTAATATAGGGGGCCATTTATGTATTACGTAAGCAATATAGGGGCAGAGGGGTTTCCTTTGATTTTCTTATTAGGTGATTAGGGAGCGTTCAAGTATTACGTAACGCAATTTTTGGAGATTATTGGAAACCTCAAACCCCAAAAAAAATTCGTTACGTAATACTTGAACGCTCCTTTACGTTCCTGACAAGAGGAAGGGGAGGGGATAAATTGCAGTAAATCTGCTTACGTAATACTTGAACGGCCCCTAGATGGCGCAATCTTTGAGTATTAAGCCAGAAAGGAGACGCCATCACTCGAACGATGCTAATTAATTTTTCCGCCAAAACATCGGCGGGGGACGAGGCACTCACACAGACAAAATTTTACTACAGAAACAAATTGCACAATGTTTGTACACACGCACACAAACCTAATTTGCTTACACAAGAGTAACCGCAACGCACACATTTAAAGAAATCGTATCTTTACACGTTACATGTACAGCACACATACGCAACAATCCCGAGATAATTAGAGCTACCACCATGTCGATAAGGAATGTCGATAAAATTTATTCTTTTAAACTAGCAACTTTCTTTTTTAAATATCGTGTTTTCGACTGAAGTCTTTTAATTTGTTTGTTTTTTTGAACTATTATTCTTCTTAATTTACGTTTTCTTGGTGTTTCTTGGTCCAATTTATAACAAGAAACATTAGTACTTGTAGTAGGCGAAACATGATTTGTTGATAACTCAGAGCGAAAAGTTGATGAGTGGGGTGGTGAACTAGAACTAGCCGAGGTTTCAGTCTCAAATCTCATTTTTTTCGCTGGTTGGCAATCGGTTGGTTTTTCGAAGTCAGCCTACAAAATAACATATAAAATAACATTACTACAGTCCGTGAGGCGTAAGTTGAGCTTTGTATCTATGTGACTGCACACGGATATGTCACTTACACAAATGTGAAGCGGACTATAGTATTATAAATGTGAAAGTATGAATTTTTATTTGTGTTTGTTTCTCTTTCACGTTTAACGGCTTGACCGATTTCGATGAAATTTGGGGGGTGTAGGGAACAAGCACTACTAACACAGACTATGATTTATCCCGGAAATGTGTAAGGTCTAAATGTGCAAGGGATAGTCAAAAAATTGTGGATTGTACCAAAATCCGCCCAGACGAATTCGCAAGTAGAAGGTTAGTTTAAAATAACAATCATAAAGATCTATTTGCTTCGTATGTTGACAGAATAAATTTCTGAAAACCGTTATATTTTAAGGTATACATTGAAGTAAAGAATAGGTATACATTGGTGTTGGAAAAGCAATTAATCGTTTTTTGGTTACTCCAGTGGATGTTCAAAACTATATGGAATACATAATACGTTATTACAGATCCCTACATGTTTGCATCGAAACTAGATATAACTTACATTTGGTAATTTCAAATTAGGTGTTGCTGATTCCTTTAATTTTCTTTTGTTGTTAGCCAGCAACAAGAAACATGACGTATCAAAATGATCGGAGCAAACTTTACTTGTACGTTTGGGTAGCCATGTTCTGTGATTTTTACAAGCTTTTATCCATTGTTGTCGACGGATAGGGTCTTTTGGAAATCTATAATAAAAATAAAACTGTTTTATTTCAAACTAAAAAAATGTATCCATAATTACATTATATTGTTCATTCGTTCAATAATTTATCGATAAAAAAATAGTATGTGTACCCTCTCTAAAATGACGTAAACCGGCGTTGGTGTGGCTAACTACCAACTTAGGAAAATAACCATTATTAGGATAAATTCATGTGATAAATTTTTATAATTTTTCACGTCCTTTCTTCATTAATTAAAGACATTAGTATAATAAGAAAATTTGAAGTGTCGGGTAAACCTTCAAAGTACTTGTGAGCGAATCCACGAACAGGACAACTAATCAATAGTAAAGCATATTTACTTAAGTCATTGAACAATATGATCGCTATGTAAGTACCATCTGTTAGTAAAAAAATTATGCAAATAAAAAAATTAAGCCACAAAAAACGTCGTAGTGCGGAACTTTGCAATAAACTGGCAACATTGACTCGGCATTACTCGGCAATGAATATTTATTTGATTTTCACGTAATCTTATAATATACGATAATATTACTTAAGAAAATACTTACAGATGAAATGTCACGTTGTCTTTTTGTACACTCGATGTGTCAGACCTTTTTTTACAGCCGAATACACTGCATCCAGTCATTTTTGTCGGAGCTCTTTACACTAACAAGCGTCATACCGGAATGGCGCGGAAGGGTCGAGAAACAGTTTTATATAACGCGTATGTCCAGCGGGTTCGTACTTTGACAGAGGGGGACGCGCGTAAAGGCGACTCCTTTCTGGCTTAATACTCAAAGGGCGCAATGCGTAAAAGAAGTTGACAATTTTATCATAAAATTCATAAAAGTTTTAATTATACGTTCCTTAGATTTTTCTAGAAATTAATATTGAATTGGTTTCATATATTTAAGGCTTAATATATGTTCATGTAACTTGCAGGTGATACAGACGCACTTTTGGATAAAGAGAAACGAGATAATGCAGACAGTAGCGAACTGGATCACAGAACTGGAGGGACAGACGGGTGATGAACGGACCCAGCGGACCATACACCTTAACCTCATGGCCCTAAAGGTACACTGTTTAGACATCGATCACATTGTGTTTAAATATTATAAGGATATTAATAATACTTATTATTATTTATTTATTATATTAATACTTAAGGATGTATAATTTATATTGTTATCTAAATAATTGCATGAACCAAGTGTTTCAAGGGTTTTGAAAAGGAAAATTATCATTATATTAGGAACGGTTTTAACTTAGGTTTGATTTCTGCAGAAAGAAAAGAAGCCGCTTTACGAAAATCAATTAGTGAAAAGGATTATATTATGTTTAAAATACCTTGTATTTTTTGGAGTTAAGTCCTTTAATGGAGTTTGTGATTTGGATGGGCTTTAGTATAATGTTACACAGGAATCGCAATGAAGAAGTGGTCATTTGATACCTTCTTCGTTTCTTGGATCTTCGTCTCATCTTCATCTGAACAATACAAGTTTTTTAATTGTTATAAATTATTTAAACAAAAAAATCAGTGGCGCTACAACCTCTTTAGGTCTTGACCCCAGATTTCTGAATCTGTTTCAAGATCATTTTTAAATCTAATAGGCAAGTAGGTAATCAGCCTCCAGTGCCTATATATTTATCGTATATTTTATACTGTGGTTAATTAAAAACTATTAATCCCATTTTTTTTGTAATATAGTGGTTTATTTTAGCAATTAATGTGAACGCTAATATCTTTGTCTCCAGCGCCACTACGTGAAGCTTCAAGAGGAGTTGGCGCGCCTCCCAGTGCCCCCGGGGCTGGAAGAGCTGGACGAGCCTTTCCAGCTGCCGGCTGCCCCGGCGCCGCCGCCTGCGCCTGCGCAGCCCCCGCCCGCCGACATCGATCACGACATGGAGAAGATCGTCGCGCAGGTGAATTGATTACATGTTTCATTTGAAAATGTAATTTCAAAATATGTTTTTTTACTGGAAATGAGCAGTGTTGGCCTAGAAGCTTCAGCGGCACTCTCATCCCTGAAGTCGTAGGTTCGATCCCCGACTGTGCTTTCTATGTGCGAATTTAAATTTCGCACGAACGGTGAAGGTAAACATCGTGAGGAAACCGGCTTGCCTGAGACCCAAAAAGTCAACGGCGTGCGTCAGGCACAGGAGGCTGATCACATACTTGCCTTATAGATTACCAAATGATCATGAAACAGATACATAAATCTGAGGCCCAGACCTAAAAAGGTTGTAGCGCCATTTATTATTTTATTTTTTATTTCTGTATAAACCTTCATCTAAATATGAAATTGTTAATAAAAAATTGTCTTCTATAACTCGGAACTCGGCTAGTCCCATACCAACTATTTTGGGTTTGAAGGCACAAAACTACTAATTCTTGCTTTTCAAAAACTTCAAGACTTAAGAAGAATTTTTTACCCATTACAATTCTAACAGAAACAATAAAACGGCAAATGAAATTAACATTTAAGCACTCATTCGTACTATTACCTTTTTACAAATTACTACCTATACCTTTGCAACGTGGTTTTCGGGGTTTCTTCGCTACGTTGTTATATAGGCTTATATTCTCTTTAAATGGCCTATTTCACACAAAAATAAAAGACAATCGATGACTTTTTTCAATTGCAATTCAATAAGCTCATAGTAAGGTTTCATCACATAAAAAAAAATTGAAGACTCAAATAATTAGTCAATCAATGGATTAAGAAGATACTTTATACATATTTATCATAAGTGTTACTTGTCTGCTTCCTTTCATTCGAACCTTCATCACATTCTGCCCTTTCAGATCCTCGAGTGAAGAGTGACGGATGGCTTCTGAGCGTCAATTGCCCGAGCGCCTTCTTGCTGCTTGTGTACCACGAGCACACCAGAAGACTGTTGTACATAAATTTGTATTACTTGTGTTGTCACACGTGAGCTAATTCAATCAATGTTCACGTGCCGTACGCCGGACATGTACGCAAACGTAGACGTACAATATGTTGCATTGACGTATAGAGTTACCAATTTCAGTGTGCAGTTGAATTTGTGTCCGATTCGGGATTTGTGTGGTTGCCTAGCGGTTTATTCGTTACTCGAACCAATTTCTATGTAAACAGTTTTTTTTTACACTTTGGGTTATTTTGAATTTTATATTAATATATGAAAGGCGACCGCACAATTGTGTAAACATATGCTTATTAATAGATTGTCGTGGAGTTTAGATAAAATCCAATTGTTCGATGTCAACGCAGACCGTAAAATGCATTTAGCTCGATGTCGTAACGTCTTTAATAGAAAATAGCTGAAATGTTTCCGTATATTTATTACGCAATTTTCGACGCTTATTATCTGGACGTGATTTGCGCGTTTTGGTAAAGTATATTTTATTTGTAACAGTTTCGTTTATAGTATGTTTTTATTTAGGCGACTTAACTTAGCGTTTAGTGCTCGGTTTAGTTTAACATGTATTGTGATATTATAGGGTTCATTACCCGATAAGTTATTTTATGGCGAACGACCGATTCATACTCAAATATTGTATAGCGCGCGATGTGTACACAACAGTGTGATTGTTTAGCGAATTTGAATTATTGCTTCATATATTTAGAGTTTATTTTTCAATACCTCGTGTCGCGTGTACATATCCAATAGAGCGACGTCCCGCCCCGCGCCGGACGGCTCCGAAATAACTATGTATTATATTATAGACATGTTAAATTATAATTTATGTATATAAAAACTTTGCGTTCTTTTGTATTAAGATTATGGTACTGTAAAAATTGGGCACCGAATTAAGCTTTGGAAAATAAGACAATGAAGTTATTTTCGGATTTAGCTGTGAAGTTTATTTCGTGACAATAATACTTTAAAATTATTTTGACTCGTACATTATGTAACTCGGTAGACATCTGAAGGAAAAGGAGGCCGACAACTTTATAGTAACTGATGAAATTCGCCTGAATTATTTTGTATGTGTACGTTTCTGCCAGATCATTTCAAACCTGTTATATTGACTGTAAAATTCGGGATGTAAATAAAATTTATGTTACTGCATAATGTGTTTTATTTATAATTATCATAAAAAATTAATTTACATATGAAAAAAACTATTGCTTAATCATGTTTAAGATACCTTGTAATAGAAATTAACAGCATTTTACGCAGCAATTTTTTTATCATCGCAAGTGACAAGTCCGTTACTTCACAAAAAAGCGCGTAATTCGTTATGGAGACATTTTTTTTCACAATCTTCTTGTGTTTGGAACCTAGAAAAACATTAAGACTACACTAAAGTTTAGTTTATTTAACTTGACGTTAATTCTCCGTTATATTAATATTTCGGATTGGGAGTTTACTTAAAAGTTAGTGAATGTTAGAGAACAATACCTACTACATCAATTACTGATTTTTATAGTCAAAAATAAAACATTATACAAAAATATAATACCTGTTACTATTTCCTTTGCATCCACTGTAAATAAATTTAAAACATTTATCTTCAACTTCGTTATAGTACCATTGAGCGATGTGGTCCGTACAATCTCCTACATCAGGATTTAGCTGACAAGGATCTGCGAATTAACAAACCATTTTTAATTAATTTTTGAACCATTTTTCAACAAATATTTACATTTAAAAACGAAATCAGTAGGTAACACTGAAAATGTTTAGAAAATGAAAAACGGCTTAATGTAAAAAGTTTCCAATACTTTTATTGTTTTTCGAAGTAATCTCCGTTCCTCTCTACACAAAGTCGCATACGTTGGAACCACTGAGAAAATCAGTAGGCCCATTCTTCCTCTTCTATGGAATTTTCGCCGGATCTTCAGGGTTCGTAAAGCGAAAACCTCGAATTTTATCTTTAGTTCTTGGGAATAAATAAAAGTCGCAGGGTGCCAGGTTAGGACTGTATGGCGGATGACTCATTATTTCGACATCTGCCATAGTCAAATATTCAACAGTCCGTTTTGCGGAGTGCTCTGAAGCATTGTCGTGGTGAAGGAGGATCCTGCTTCGAGGGCGCTACTGTCGAGTTTTTCCCAAGACAACAGGAAAACAGCCATTGACATACCAGTCTGCAGTAACTGTCCTTCCATCTTCTAGAACAACTATCGCGAAATGACCTTTCCGACCAAAGAATGAAGCAATCATCTTTTTTCCTTTCTTTAACTTAGTTGGCCGATCCTCGAAAGGAAACGCCCACTGAGCTGATTGTCTTTTGGTTTTGGGTTCCAGCTTTCATCACCTGTGACGGTGTCAAATACAGCATTTGAGTCACCGCGGTTGAACTTATCCAACATTTGGCGACACCAGTCCATGCTAAGGTGTTTCTGGTCGTCGGTTAAATTATGGAGAATCCATCTGGTACAAAGCTTCCTGACGCCTAGATGTTCGTATGATATTTTTTGAACTTGACTCATACCAATGCCTAGGCTTGCCCGTATCTGCTGATAGGTCACTGCCTTATCTTCCGTTATCATGCGTCGCACAGCACTGATAACATCATCAGTAGTCGCTGTTAAAGGACGTCCCTAAGGGGCCGTCTCCACAAGCGAGAGAATCGCGACGATAAAATCGTCCTGCCACACATTTCTATACAATATCATAGAACGTGTCTCCACACGGCGATCTTAACGCGGCGATGCGACGGGTGGTTGAGTGCGAGCGAAACGTCATTACATCGCTGCGAGCCTGTCGCTACTGGTGGCGCGCACGTCGCGCACTCGCCACGGAACGTGGCGCTCTCGCAGAGAGCGCGCGACGTGCGTGACCATACATCAATAAAAACAATACATCCATAGTAAATAATTATTTTATTGACTGATTTAGACACTACTTATTTCGGTCTCGTCTTGCACCACTGAACTCTATATCGACGTAGGAAAGCATATTTGCTGTAAGTAGACAAAATACCTAAAGTGACTTTTTACTGCCATTAGAATCAGTAAAAAAAACCGCATCGAATGTCCCGAGTCCTGTGTCTCTACGATAAAAAAAAATTACATACGCGGTTGAAAACGCCCGTACTTATATTTTTTTAGTAAGATTAAATGCTGTATGTAGACCAAAATCCAGTCATTTTAGACAATTTGTACTTACAACAAAAGAAAATCTGCATTTTTTACTTTACAAATACTTACTTCTTCCCATTTAAAAACTTAACGCTACTTACAGCATTTCTGCGGCGTGTGATTTTTACATTCGTTTACTTACAGCAAGCTTAGGGAACCTACAGTTTTAGTTTTTTTTTACCATTTACGACATGTTATTACAACCAAACATTACATTACCAAATGACCCACTGCATTTCTAGATCTAATCATAATTATAAACTAATCTTACATCTTGAATTGCAATTGAAAGTACCCAAATACATAAATTTACTGCATACAGCATATTTACCGGCTGTAAATTGATAATATTTCCGCGCGTACATTTTTTCTTCTTTAGTTACAGCGTTTTAAAGGTTTGTGATTTAAAAAACTGTATGCTGTAACTAGCCAAACACGTACTTATAGTAACTTTGGATAAAAAGTTTACATTGCAAATGGTGACTGGCAGTTAAATAAATAAATGTTTCAAAAATGGTAGCAATATCATGGATAGGTTCGACACTATTAATTTTTTTCCGAAATTAATTAAGTTTTTGGCTCTGGTGAACAATTGCAATATGTCTACTTACAGCAAATATGCTTTCCTACGTCGATATGAACACTGAACAAAATAAGAGCACAACGTGTCGTCAAAGAAACGCGGCGATTCCGTTACGAGTCGTTGCGGATACGCTGTGATTCCGTTACGAATCGCGACGATACGCTGGCGGAATAATCGCTCGTTCGTGGAGATTACCCGACGATAAAAACGCGGACTCGTCGCGATTCTCTCGCTTGTGGAGACGGCCCCTAACGCGGATCATCATTGAGATTGCTACGTCCACGCTTATTCTCGTTAAACCAATTGTAAATAGTGGCACGAGATGGGGCTTCATTAAGAAATGCTTATCGCAGCCTATCAGAGCTTTGTTGTTGAGTAAGCAACACAACGAAAGTCATAATAAATCAATGACCGAAAATTTTCTCGCGTAAAATGACGTGGCCATGGCGTCCCGGTGAGGGTGGGCACTTAGGTTCATTTTCACGTGTAACAAGAGTTTTTTTTTAATGGCTCTGGCACGATTTGTGCATTAGCCAGCGTCAAGTATATAATTTTTTATAATTCGTGCTTTGTCTTTAGAAATTCGACCGTGTCCTCCATGTACGGTTTAAGCACTCGCCCGGTACTGCACAACTCTTCCAAAGGCCGAGAACAAATTTAAATTAAATTAAAACTTGCCCTCGAACCGGGAATCGAACCCGGTACCCCTCACCTAGCTGCCACTTAATAAGACCGCTAGGCTATGAGGCCCCTAACAAGAGTTTTAAATATTCCGCCAATTCACAAAAACAAATGACAAATGAATGCAATATACTACATTACGTTACCTAAATGTTCTAAAATTGAAATTCAAAAAAGTTTTCATTAGCAATGTTTCTAACTGGCCAATTCTAAACATTTTCAGTGCTACCCACGTAATACTGTTGTAACTAAATTACTGATCAGTTGCAGTTCGTCACTGTGTCACAACGTGTAAACTCAATTTGTCAAAAACGGCTGATGACTAATTTAGTTTATAAGATATTTATGTAGTTGGTCCCAAAGTTCTGTCACTAGCACATTATTTCTACATTTCGAGCAGGATTTTATAAAAAAATTATTGCATTCTATTTTGGAATGTTTGATTATTGTTTTAAAACAAAAAACAATAACTTTCCGTAATTTTTCACGATGGAGTGGACATTGAAAGTAAACCGAATAGTTGTTATTGCGTTGCACCGCTGTGGACACTCGCCGAGTACCATTTTCAAGTTGCTCAAAAATTTGAATATAACGCTTAGGTTTGTGTACGGTACTATTGATAGGTACCTTGAAGTCTCCAGTGTTGAGGACAAGAAAAGAACTGGCTGGCCACGCTCCGCAAGAACACCAGCAGTAATCAAAGCTATCAAGGCGCGGATAGTAAGAAATCCTGTCCGAAAACAGAAGTTGATGGATTTGCAGATGGGTGTCAGTAGGAAAACAGTAAAAAAGGTTTTAAATGAAGATCTTGGTCTACGAGCATATAAAAAGAGTGGGCACTTACTTAATGCTCGTCTAAAAGCAATAAGGCTTAAGAGATCGCGGGTGTTGTTTAAGCGGTACGCGAAAAACCGACACCGTGATATCCTCTTTACGGACGAAAAATTTTTCGATATTGAAGAGAAGTACAATAAACAGAATTATACAGTGTACGCTAGGAGTTCTGAAGAAGCTGAAAATAAAGTTCCAAGGGTGCAACATGGACATCATCCATCATCAGTAATGGTTTGGTTGGGAGTGTCCTATTACGGGCTAACTGAGGTTAATTTTTTTCGAAAAGGGGGTCAAAACCAGTGCTACAGTGTACCAAGAGACGGTTTTGTATCGCCTTGTCAAAGACATGTCCAGCACCCTATTTGCGGGACATCACTTCGTGTTCCATCAGGACTCTGCGTCTGCATACAAAGCCAAGACCACTAAAGCCTGGTTTGAGCGTCAAAACATCGTCTTAATTAGACATGAGGATTGGCCTTCCTCCAGTCCGGACCTTAATCCTTTGGACCAGAAATTATGACAGGGCTTAGAGAGGAAGGTCTGTGATAAACCTCATGAAAATTTGGAGAATCTGAAGTCATCTTTAAAAAACCAGTGACTGAAATCGACACGAATATGGTGCGTGCTGCGATAGACGACTGGCCGCGACGCTTAAGGGCCTGTATTAAAAATGAGGGAGGTTATTTCGAATATTTTTATGCTTTTTTTATTCCTTAATTAATGTACTAAGAATTGATATATCACTCATTACAAACTGATCAGTACTTTTGTTTTTATCATTATTTCCATTTATGACAGAACTTTGGGACCGACTACGTATGTTCTATGAAGAATCTCTATCACTTTACATGCTGATAGTTTATTTCTAAATTTTGTTAGGTAAAATATGATACTAACTTGCATGTGGTCTACATATATAGTTACACTCCTTAATACTAGAGAAGCGATTAGGACTGCCGCGGCATCCGCCATAAATAAAGTTTTCGCATCGAGCCTCTTCTGAATTATAGTATACTTTTTCTACAGTCTCATGACAGGGCCCCGAGTCCTTCGGATAGCTGCAAACATCTGTAACACAACTTTAGTTTAAGTAATTAATATACTTTCACCAAAATTAATTTCACCAAAACTAGAACGGTCTAGTATGACCGTTCTAGCGTGGACACAGCTGAATTATGTTAACAAATATATACTATACTACGAAGAAGTGCATTGTAAGAAAAAGGTGTAAAAAGAAATCGAGCAATTTTCTCTTGTGAGATGTGTTGCGCTGGCGTGCTAAGCCAGCTTTATTTATAAATACGAAACGTATGTAGCCCTCTTTAACTGCAACAAAACAATTGTCCGATTTTCGTAACGGTTTGTGTAAGTGAATGCTTCATTGAATGATAAACACGAAAAAATACCTATCTAAGTATGTTAAGAAGAATAATGCTTACTTATATCTTGGTAAAATCCACATTCTCTCTGACAACCTTCTTCAGAAGCAAACGTAGCTGTGATCCTACATGAGCGTCCAGAGTCTGCATTGTCAAAGGAAACACAAGTCCCGTTAGTCACATTGAAGTACCAAACCTTGCCAGGTTTCTTACACTCCTCTAGATTGGTGGATATCTCACAAATACTCGCTATAAAACGCTAAAAAATAAAGCATGTTGCAACTAATTATTTAAACAAATGACTGGATAAAAGAGGTTATGGGATAAGACTTTAGATAAAATTGAAATGTCGAAATTATGTTTCTAATTCACTTTGTCATACATTAGGTCACATCTGGGAAATGGTAGAAAACGTGACAATGTAAAACGAAAAACAAAATGATAACGCATTTCGTTTAATGCCGTGATTTGTCAAATGGAAACGGACCGTACAGCGTAGGTATATTTTACAAGAGATACTGTTGAAAAATCACAACAGAACGTTGTATCGTTTTGTCTTATTTATTTTATATATTAGGGATATTATAATTATTATTACCGGAAATTCGACTTCGTACTCAACAAATGTTCCTGTTTTGCACCGACGTTCGCAATCCAGCAGTGTTTCGAAACTAAAACAAAAGAACTTTCTACAACTACAATAATCATAGTTATGATTTTTGTGAAGCATTTTAAGCAAGTTTGCTTAAAATGCTTCACAAAAAGTGAGTAATATATGCTAAATTAAGAGTATGTGTTATTCCAGTTTTCATCTTCATCCAAATAACTTCAGTTGAAGCGTTTTTTGTTGTTTTATATGATACATACAAAACAAAGACACCTTAACATTTATAATATATAGAGATGAAATACAATTTAAGTAGAATTATTGCAAATCTTACCTATTTTCATTGTTTCCACAAATATTTTCACCAAAAAGGGTGCAGGAGTCAGTAGCTGCATCATAAAACCACTCAGTGCCACTACTATTACAAGAAGTTTTGACTGTAGGTAGTTTGCATATATCTAGAGGTGACAATAATTAAATATTAATAAAAAAATATTTTAAAGAAATGGACTATTTAAGCAATAAAAGTCTTTTATGAATCCTTCTTCCCAAGACAATTTTAATTTAGTTAACAAATAATTATAGGATAATAGTTAAATTTGTCAATTAAATTTTTTTCGTTAGTATTTTTTTATAACGAAGGCTTCCTTTATCTTACCTTGCAACATGCATTGGCGATGGCACATCTCCTTTGATGGGAAGTTATTCTTGTTGCCCCCACAACCCCCGTATTGGAACTGCACACAGGCATCTCTCTGAGTATCATAACCCCATCGATTTAAGGTATCAGAGCACGGCCCACTATTTCGTTCCAGCTGACAGACGCCTGTGTACCAAATATGTCAGTACATAAATTTGGATGTATATCAGTCACAGTTTGTATTTTATTAAAAACTTACGGTTTAGGAAGGTCAAGTTATTTTCTATAAAAAAGTTTTTTTTTAAATAGGTCAACTTATATTTTCTAAATTAACGATAGACTTTAAAGTTAAAAGGAAAAAATCGTTACTATTTCGGAAAACATTACTTACTGGGCTTTTCTGTCTCGGGACGCACAATTTCTAACCCGAATTTTTCTTCACATTGATTCATGCACGTTTCTTTGTTGCCAAAATTGTTTGCATTTCTACCATTTCCGAAAAACATTCTACACCTAAAAATCGTATTATATTTAAATAACTTTATTTCTCATTACAAAAAAAATAATGTATTTTATTTACATGAGAAACTTAATATGAATATACGAACGAGATACATGTCGCCATGAGCCGTCCCAAATTTAGTCTACTAGGCTCATACTGATCTGTATCTTTAATGCCCTTTTGGTTAAACGCGCGAGTATTACGAATTTTAGACGGTAATTAATTAAATAATTGCACACCCTCATACTTAATACACACAACGTGTTAGATTATACAATACCATAAGTAACTCCGGGTTAAATTAATATAAATTCTTTAAAAAGTTTTTGCTTAGATTTTAGGGCGTAAATAATTATATTTTTGGAATACCTTCTAGTCGTTATGTCATAAAACCAACGCGGGTCACAGTGATCACATTTTTCATATAGAAGAGGAAGAGTGCATATGTCTTCCTTCTCTGAAAATTTGGAGCAATATATAGAAATCTTTATAAATTTAATTGACAGAACTTAAGCGATATTATTTTCGGCTATTGCCCCTATATGACTAAACAATAATCCTACCGCTAAACTTTATGAGTAGGATTAATAGTTATTAATATATTATAATCTTACAAATAATAGAATGCTTACGTTTTGGACATGCGCTGGCGCACTCTTTTACACTGTTAAATCGATTAACGTTGCCTCCACAGCCTGTGTAATGGAAGGGCACGCATTTGTTGCTAGTCTGACTAAAAGACCAGACAGGCCGCTTTTCAGTGCAGTTGCCTGCCTCTTGTGGAAGAATGCATTCCGCTGTGTAATAATTATTATTATAAGGGTAAAAAAAATCTATTAAGCAAGATCTAATTTTAAGTGGTCACCTTGTAGAGCGCCTGGAGGGTTGCACCGATGCATGCAGGCGGCTTCTGAGTTGAATCTGTTGGTATTACCACCACAACCTCCCCAAATGAACTGAGAGCAGCGGCGCGAGTTGGGATCGTAGCCCCAGCGGAGAAAGTTACCAGCACACGAACCACGCTCCAGAGAGAGGTTACATTCATCTATGAAATTTTTAAAACAATGTTTTTTTTCTAACACTAAACACACAAAAGGCTTGGCTTTTGTTAAAAAGAAGGAAATCTGTCGCCGAAGTGGTCCTGCAGGATATGGAACTTTTTATTCCATTCTCTGCAGTGCCGATCGGTGGCAAGTCCCAGCCTGGGTTTAAACGCTCTTGCAAATCGTCCTTGCCTCGAAAGCGAGAATGCATTAAAGAATTCTACAAGGAAAGAGCGTATTTTCAAATTCTAATGATAATACGGATATGATCTCGATATATAATTTAGAATATAAAATAATGACGATAATTCCAACGTGTACAAGAATACAATTTTACCTTCATTTATATTTAGTATGACTGTATTATTTTGAAACTTGTAGACACCAGCCTCAGTAATACCATCAGCATCGCATCCATATTTGCTACTAGAACAATCGCATCCTTCTTTATTGGGTCCTTTAGCCTCGGTGACAGCATCTCCACAGCAACCGTATATAGTTTCTTGGCAGAAACAGTTCAGTAGATATGGCCCTATGGCGATGGTGATACCGTCAGGACAACATCCAAACTGATACGTATGGCATCCACAACCTTCAAAGTCTACACCAGTGGCTGGAGTGAGCCTTAAAAATATAAGTATAGTCATATTTATATTAAATTACTTCGATAATTAAATTTGTGCAAAACAATTAAAAATACTTGTCAGGGCAGCAGCCATGGAGAGAGTATTGACAGCCACAACCCTCGTATTTAGTTCCTCGAGCGATTGTTACATTATCTGGGCAGCATCCAAAGTGGGCATTCATACAGCTACAGCCTGAGGATAAAATTTAACAAGAAACATTTTTTTAGATAAAAATTATAGGTAGGAAATGACATATCATTGTGTAGTACCTTCAAGATGCGTTCCTTCAGCCGGCTTATAGTTATCGGGACAGCAACCGAATCTGGATCGCAAACAGCAGCCTTCGTTCTGAGGCCCATGCGCTGGAGTCTCACCGTCCAAACAGCAGCCGTAAACTGTTGTCTCGCAGAACTTAACATTCCCTTGTGGATCTATTAGAAAAATTCAAGTGAAATTTATTCGTCGTCATTTTTAAAAAAGCAGATGTTCTGGGATCATAAATCTATTCCAGTGACTTATTGTAGTTTGACTGATATGAAAAATAACAGCTCAGAAATTACTTAACAATATTATGACTCTTGTTTAATATAAATAACATACGTAAGATAGTGTTACCTGTGTTATCTATATCCGCCTGTGTTGTAGAAGTGTATGCTAAGTGAATGCTATTTTCCAACGGCTTTAATTCAGAAGGAAACACAAAAGCACCATCTCCTACCTAAAAGATTAAAATATTACCTAGTAATTCAAACTATCAAAAAATTACTTAATTAAAGCATTTTTATCCTTTGGCGTAGTGTTCGAAAAAATATAGTAAGCTGCACTGCCGAAACTTGAAAACGTTTTACAATATTATTAACCTTAGATTATTGAATACAAAAACATACCAGTGTATACATATTTGCCTCTACTGCAGCTTCAGTAGAGTATTTATAACCTCGAAATCCCTCGAAGTCAATTTTATCCTTTTCATCATTTACGGAATCTGTGAAATGACCATTAAACAAATTTGGGTTTTTCCCAATCATAAACTATATTCATTTCGGTTAGAGATGTGACCATAGAAAAGATCGTTGTATTATTAATCTTTTAAAATCGCATAAATTCGCGATTATTTAAGCGTTATAAAACATCAAAGGCGTACTTGTATTACAGACATTTGTTGGATAAAAGTCCTGCCATTGTATGCATGTTACACAATATATTATTCTTTACCTGTTTCCTGAGTCTGAGAATTGTGTATAATTATAGCTATGAAGAACACTAATCTAAAATAACAATCAAACATATAAAAAAGTTAAAATGGATTTTAGGAGATTAAGTTTAAAAAGAATAGGTTTGTCTTACCCTGATACAGTCCTTTTCATGATACACTCTCATGTATTACCTCACTGTGATTAAAATATATTTAAACAAATGGTTCAACTACAAGAGACGCAACTTAAATTGAACTGAACTTCCGTTTGATTAATATCAAATGTTATAAATAAATGCTAATCATATTTGTTAAAAGCGTTTTCCTCAGTGTTAACTAGCAATATTATATATAATATAATGTATAATTATTATCTTATATCAACATACTAGAAGTAGTTTTTTTTGTTAATTCATCTAGTTTATTGTAAAACATTCAATGTATATTTTTTATGATAAGTTTTACTGGCATTGATTAACAATTTTATTAACATGTTTGTGTCTTTCTGTTAGCTGACGTAGGGAGGATCGTTGGGTGCTCACTGATAAAAAATGTGTAATGAGTAATTTTAAACAACTCTGCGCTATTCCAATTAAATAAATAAAATTAAACCGATAATAGATTTTATTATAACGCATAAGCAATAAGTATTTGTAGCTATGTAAATTTAGTACGAGTATAGACAGACGATTGGCACCATATTTATGACTTGGGATCTACAGTCGAGAAATGTGCTAATCTAGTTCCAATAATCATCTTCAAGGTGGTTTAAAGTTCTCATTGGGTCCACCTGTGAAGACTCAATGCAGGATTTGCAACAAAACCTAGAAAATTTAATTGAGTATATTATTATTATTATGACATCATGAGTCTCATGCAAGTTATTCAGGCGGTTGTTAAGCAGGCGTAAAGCTTACCTTTTTTAAAATATAATTTTTACGAGATCAAAAAAAACATTTCTCAATGGATTTTAATAATAATAATTGAGTTGATACATATTATGTGGTATTAGTTAGAATGTTGATGCAATACTTACTGCGAGTAAAACTTGTGGTTGCAGAATTTTCTCCGCACAACAAGTGTACAATCAGCAAAAAAAAGGGATTATCTGTACATTCAGACGGTATGTGGAGGCCTGAAAGAGGATAATGCTATACGTAAATTTTAATATTTTGATCTGATATTTAATCAAAATATTATTAATTCATCTAGGTAACATAATGTATAAACGTCATAAAAAAATGTTTCTGAATTTATATTAACTGCCAATTCTCAAATCAAGGCACGAATGAGAAGAACTCGCAATAAACTCTCCGTCACTCTTTTAAATCGCCAAGGTTTATGTTACGAATCGTTAGTAAGCATTTGCAACAACTAGGTACATTGCCCCTCTACATGTTAAAGCAGTAGATTATTGTGATTAAATAAATAATAGTTTAAAAAAACTAAAAAACACAACACAAAATATGGCCCAGAGCGCCCCACGCTTTTTGACAATAATACCAGTTTTTTTGTTCATTACCATTTTCAGCCTAAATTAGGAATTATTATTCACTTTTTAGTTTGAGGTGCTTTAAAAGCGTGTTTTTTAGTTTTTTTTAAACTATTATTTATTTTTTAGTTAAATGTTTTTTTTTTTCGGATTATTGCATTGTCATCGATCTTGACAGGTGCACAAAGTTTGAATTAAATCTGTCCGTTAAAAGTGGGTCAAAATCGAGTCCGAAGGAGTCGGTTACATACATACATACATACAGGTGAAGCTAATATAAAGCGTTTAATAAAAATATTAAATAAATAAATAAGAAAACCGAAAGTTTCATCTCAAAGCATGCATGCATGCTCTTACTATGGCAACAACACGCTTATTAAGTAGTCATTCATCATAATATACCTAAAACTTTTAACACTTATTAACTTTGCTAATTTTGATAAAATAAGTCATAATATAAAATTTGTTTTACAAACTCTAACTCATAATAACTTTTTTTCATATACGAGTAGGTAACCAAGTACCCTAGTAACCATAACGTCAACAAAAAAAGATGTTAAATTGATTCAAAAAATTCGATTCTTCTTTATTTACACTTAATTTTTGAATTAACCAATATAACACATTGGCTGCACCGAAGTTATAGGAACAGTCCAACTAATTATGGCATAGACAATACTTTACCATTATAAGGTCCGGAAGCCACAAATATTAGAGATTGAACTAAAATCAGGAGCAATGCAATTCTCAACATTTTGTCATAAGATTATCTCACAGAGGCAATTGCATAAAAACTGATCGCAACGCTGATAGATAACTGGAGAAAGATGGCATTTGATGTCAAATAATAAACGTATACAGGTTGTTATATAAAGAAAGGAAAATACTACTAAAAATCTCGATAATAATTAATGTATTCTACCTCTGCTATTTACAATGGTACATAAAAATAATATGAACACTATATATCATAACATCTCATCCCCCTAAACATATAGGTGCACTTTTTCTCATGTTTCTTTTTTTAATATTGTCCTGTTCACTGTTTACATATGTTTTGATTCATTCGTTTTGTCTATATGTCTTATGTATTTTTGCACTTTTTGCGCTTGCCTTATCTAATTTTTTTTCTCACATTTCTTGCCTGGAAGAGATCGCACGAAAGCGATAAGGCCGCCAGTTGCCCTCCTTCTCATTTAATTATGTCAACTGTATTATATTTTTGAATGCAACGAAGTGTTAAAAAATAAATAAATGTATGTAGTTTATAAATTGAAAGTAAATGTATTGAAGCGGAAAATAACATTTACACTACGTGACTTAAATTTTAATGTAAATGTACATCCTTTATTATGTTTTTCTGGGTGTCATCAAATGCGAAACTTTATTACTTTGACTTAAGATAACTTTCAGTGCTGACCTCCACATGTAGGAAGTATATAATATTTATAAGTCAACAAAATCTTTCTTCAAATGTTATCTGTATTTGTATAACTAGAGGTTCTTCGCTTTATTCATGTTGAATAATAACGTATAAATACCGTAGATTTTCGCGCGTCGATTTTTCGTCGAAAATTCCGCAGATATTTAAGGCATAGTGCATGCAAAGTCACTGTTTTATTTTGACTTTCTGTTATTTACTTAGGTTGTTCAATGAAAATTAATAATGAGTATGACGCAATTATCTTTTCATAAATGTTATATTATTTTTTGGACATAACCTATTAGGTTAATAAATCTTCTTCCCTTTTAAAAAAATCTATTTGATTAAAAAAGAAATCTTTTATCGAGAAACTCGTCATCCTCTTCCAGTTATGGTTAACAATCGAGCCGAGAAAAGAAATATCTCAGTGAAATTCTCGGTCCTGTTATTTCTGCGGGTTCGAAAGCCTTTTTTTATTCCTGTTTAGTCTTAATAACTATATGTATTATATATTTTTGCACTCTTGCTTACCTTATCAAATTTAATATATTTTTTCACTGTGGTTGCTTGGAAGAGATCGCTCGAAAGCGATAAGGCTGCCAGTTGCCCTCCTTTTCATTTAATTATGTTCAATTTTTATTATGTTAATGCAACGAAGTGTTGATAAATAAATGAATAAATTAATACATGGGATGATCTGTATCGGTCACGACGGCATAAATGTAAGAAGCACCTGGCCTCTCTGATTAGCAACGTTCCAGGAATAGGTTGAATTAGGTTGAGAGATATATTATGTCGCAGCCAACTAGCTTAATAAGCCGTTCAATTAACAGCCTGGCCTTTTAACTAAACAGCGCCGTTTAACTAGTGGCCTAAAAGATATATATTTCCTCATACCGTATTTTCTTATACAATCTTAATACGAATATTTTTGTGATATACCCCTGAAATTATTATCTTGGTAAATAAAAGAGGAACCGACCGTTTCTCCCGTCTATTCTACGACCTTGTTTTAAACGTTCATTAGTGTGTGTATTTGCCTATATAATTTTATTTTGAGGCACTTCATTTTATGTGTTAGAACAACTCTCTGTGCTAGGCGTCTTATATAGGTAGCAATACAGAAATTGTGTATTAGGTACGCTAAATAAAAAGATGATATTGTCATAAATGTTTATTTTCGTTCATATTATTTAGACTTGTCACTTTCGATTGACTTAAAAAATATTATGACTCACATTATTATGTTTCCCTAGTGTAACTTAATTTCATTTAAAAATTAAATGAAATAAATAACTTATATAACATGAAGCCTCAATTTAATTGCACATTCACATAATATATAACTTATATACTTATTAAAACAATAGAAACCTTATTGGCGTTATATAACTTAGCATAATACATACTAATTGTGACTGAAAACAGAATAAAAGTGTCCTATCTAGTTGTGACATTAAGTATTCTTAATTATTTACATACGCTTACATTTATATACACTTATTTACTTTCTATTAGGGAGTATTAGAACCAGCTACAAAAGTAATAATATAGGCTTATAAAAATATGTTTTTTTTTTATGTAATAGAGGGCAAACGGGATCACCTGATGTTAAGTGATACCGCCGCCCATGGACACTCACACTGCCAGAAGGCTCGCAAGTGCGTTGCCGGCCTTTCTAGAATTGGTACGCTCTTTTCTTGAAGGACCCTAAGTCAAATTGGTTCGGAAATACTTCAGTGGGCAGCTGGTTCCACACAGTGGTGGTGCGCGGCAAAAACTGCCTTAGAAAACGCTCAGTTGTGGAACGACGGACGTCGAGGTGATACGGATGGTATTTTGTATTTTGCCTTGACGTCCGATGATGAAACTCAGCTGCAGGTATTAGACCGAACAACTCCTCCTGAAGACTCTCCATGGTAAATGCGGTAAAAGATGCAGAGAGACCCCACATCTCTACGCAACGCCAAGCGCTCAAGCCGCACGGAAAGTGACTGGTCGTCGACGATCCGAACCGCTCTTCGTTGAGTACGGTCAAGTGGAAGGAGCTGGTACTGGGGAGCTCCCGCCCAGAGGTGAGAACAGTATTCTATGTGGGGCCAAATTTGCGCTTTATAGAGCTGCAAGCGGTGGCCCGGAGTGAAGTACCGTCTCGCCTTGCTGAGCACACCAAGCTTTTTGGAGGCTAATTTAGCCTTTCCTTCCAGATGACCGCGAAACTGGACGTTATTCGATATATCAACGCCCAGTATTCCGATGCTAGCTAAGGCTTTAAGGAGAGTGTCTTCGAAGAGGGGAGTAGCGACAAAGGGAGTTTTTTTAGCGGAAAACGCGCATGCTTGTGTCTTCTTGGGGCTAAATTGGACTAGATTTAGTCTAACCTAGTCCGAGACTCCACGTAGAAGAGTTTCGACTTCAGACGCAAGTTTGTTCCGGTACTCATCGACAACAGCCCGAGAAATACCTGCCCGGCCAGTGTAAAGAGTATCCCCAGTGCTGTCGTCCGCATAGCATAGTGTTGTATAGAAATCGTATAGAATGAAAACCATTGACCGATAAGTTTTGAAATTTTATTAAATAAATATACATAAAATATGTATTGACATTAAAAGTTGCTTCATAAAAATAACGTTTTTATCTAAAATGTGGAATAAAATGTTTTCGTCTTAATAATCGTAACACGATACTATTCTATACTATGAGCCTACAAAGGCTGGCTAAAAGCTATACATATTTGTGTTAAAGATATGTATGTTGGACAGTATAGATTAAACACTATTATAGTCTACTTCTTTTTGAAGGATTCGTCACCCTGCATCAGTTCCAGCTCGGAAGGAACTAGCTGCCCGGCTTCCACACACGATTTGCAACAGATCCTATAAATAAAAGCGTATGAGAAAAATCGAACCAAATGCTTATTTTGTATTGTTTGAACTACAATTTAGATTAAATAAATATACCGTGAATAGTATATGCTATGGCAGAGGTTACTGCGCACGATGAGGTGACACAGAGCGAAGTAGGGATTGTCCTTGCAGGTCGGCGGGATATACATTCCTGTAGAAGTGTTCAAAAATTCATTAAGTGTAAATGTGTAAAAAATGCAATTCGTCAGAGGTCGTGTACTGATGTTAAACATAATGACATGGACTTAATGTAATCCTGTTTATATAATACAGGCTATTTTTATTTTTTAATTATGTTATTCTAATTTATATTAAAGATACAGTAGCAGCATAGCAGGACATACATAAACACGGTGGACGTCTGCGTATAATTGAGGCAACATTGAATTTGCCTGTTTATTAAGTTTAATCTTTATCTTGTTTGTGAGATAGATGACATCATACCTGCTGCTCTATACGAATTGAAATCTATTTCGAAATTTAATATCCTGCAGTTTGATTGGGTGTCTTTGGTATATTTACCTTCAACAATAATCCAAACTATGGATGAGTGCGAGCTATAATCGTTGCTGGCTTCGCACGCGTATTCTCCAGTGTCATTTGTGTTCGCGTGGGATATCGTCAGGCGCCCCTCTGCAAGAGAAATACACTATTTTTAGCGGACTAACGCCATCTTCTAGCAGAAACCTATATAACGCGAAGCAATACCGGCGTTGACTCACTTTTTTTCGAGACTTCGTGCGGAACGGACGTGTTACTAACCTACCCTCAGTAAATTTTAAAAGTGTAAAGTACCTACGTTCTAATCTATTGATTGTTGTTTTTTTGTAAATTCAATTTCGGGTTTTTTTTTATTAAATCCGCTTCTGTTAACTAATACTATTATAAATGATTTAAATGATTTAGGTACATATATGTATTTGTGTATAAATACTTTTCTTTCAATGAATTGTAAGTAAGTACTCAATTATTCCTTATGTAAGTATGGCATAACGCAGAACACTTGCTCTGTGTGAATGAATAGTCTTCGACAGTCTTTCATCGAAAATCATCAATTTAGAATACATAGAAATGTGAAACATTTCGCTAATGTCTTATATTTTCATTCAATTCAGCTAATATATATGTATAAAATTCGCGTGTCACAAAGTTTGTTCCCATACTCTTCAGAAACGGTTCGACCGATTCTTATGAAACTTTTTATACATATTTAGTAAGTCTGAGAATCGGACAACATCTATTTTTCATCCCCATAAATATTAAGGGTGGTCCCACGCCTAAATTTTATTTTTTATTTTTTAGACTATACTTTTGTTTTTATTTTATTATGCACAGCATACTAAAATACATACAACCCTTAATTGTCACCACTCTACGATCAACCCCTAATTTTTATTATGGTACATAGTTTTTTTATTGAACTAAAAAAATGTTTCCTATAAATGATGTACATGTGTAACTATGCCATAGTTATTTATAAAAAAATCCTCAACCCAACGTCTTTCTTGTATTGGGCTTACAACTTAATACCTATTGAAGAAAGATCAATTTTATGAATATGCATATTAAGTGTTCAAATGATTCACTTAAATAGTAAATAAATTTGTTAATATAATGAAATATGAATATTATATAACTTTAATTTTATATTACAAACGTTTCGTTTATTAGAATACTCACCGGTCATCTGTATTCTATTGCTTGACTCTAAAGGAACATTATCCTTTGACCATCTAACTACAGGTACAGGGTATCCGTCAACCTCGCAAGGCACTGTGATCACTGTCCCAGCAGACACTTGGCTCGCTTCAGCTAATATCCTCGTCGTCACAGGTACTAGAAGGATATTATTATTGAACGATTCAATGATTAATACAAGAAACAAATCATCATTAGTAGCTTTAAGCATTTTTGTTTAAAAACAATTAGTGTGTTATCAGTAAGTAAACCACGCCACCGATTTTGGCGCTAAGATTGAATCCCGCATTTTAACTACATCATACTTCATTAGTAGATGTTTCCTCGCGATGTTTCCTTCGTCCAGTATAATATGTGCACATAGATAGAAAATCTATGGTCACATCTGGAGTTAACACGTAACCTCGGCACCGGTTCTCCGTAACTTCCAATAGATCGTAAAATTTTTAGAATTTCGACGAGTTTTCTTAATTTCCGTAGCGCTGATGTCGCTTTGGGTAAGCGCGTTGAACTTAACATTGAAGACAGAATTGGAATTGCTACCGCTATTGAGAGTTACAGGCTACTGGCAAGGTTGCGTCACGAAGATACGTTTGAGCGGTTGTTATTTAGGTAAAACTATAATATATAATCTGATTTTTAAATACAATAAAATCACAGCGAACTTCCATACTTCCCGTATTACAACCATAATATTCATAAATGTACAATAATTATTAAAACTTTATTGAATATTTTCTTAACTTCTTACTTTTTTACCCAGTGAAATACGTACGACGTCAAATAATTTTGTAGCTATAAGACTTAATGCAATAGTACCAATATATAACCAAGCAGCATGCATTAACTAAAAAAAATCACATGCAAAAAGCTCCCCAAACAGGCTTGACCTTACCAGTATAAACAGGTACTTCAATTTTAGGCGCCTGTGTAGTCGTTCCTTCAGTTTGAGGTTCTTGGGACGGCAGAGACAAAAGAGGATCTATATAGTTTTCAATAGGTTTAGCTGTCAGTTCTTGCACTTCAAAGGCCCATTCAGCTGGTTTTCCAAAACCATTATAAGCTTGGCAAATATATTCTCCGAGCGTCTCTGCGTTCAACTGACGAATTTGTAACACATTTCCTCTTGTCTCATACAGTGTACTGCTGTATGGAATCATTGGGCCACTTTTTCCTTTGTACCAATAGATGGATGGTGGAGGGTAGCCAAATGCAAGACATCGGATATTGAGTGGTTCTCCCAGGCTTCCATAAATGATCTCATTTGGTACATTGCTGATTCCAGCAGGATCGTCCACAGGATCTAACCGTGCCCATATTATTAGCAACTATTCTACTTGAGCTTGGAGATGTTTTTGTCCTTTACTCGTTATTCAAAGGAAGGATCACAAGACCAAAAACAGTTTGCAAACTAAACTACCCAAAAACAAAAGTTTTCTTAATTTGCCTTTGCGGTAAACATTAATTAGATGAAGAACGTAATCTAAACTCGAGTATTATCCTTTAACAACATTTTGGCGTAGTAAAAGAATTTTAATTTAACATAATATATAATGCGAAGGCTAATTAATTTGACGTTAGTAAACCTTGCGTTGCACCCGCGCAACCAGAAATAAAAGGTAACACAATAAGCGGTAACATCGCGGCGTTTGGAGGCAGACTGGCGCCAACCAGATCAGTCAATGTACCTACTGTCTCTGTATACTGCAAAAACACTAGCCATCACCATACTAGCAAAGTGTTGTAACTTTTTATTTTCGGTACAAACATCTGGATAAGATCTCAGTAACGTAAACAAACAGCTTTGTTATACAATTTGAAAATAGATATTTAAATTTTTATCAAATTTTTTCATTTAATTTGACGATTTGGTAGCATAAAAATAAAACGAATAACGCTCAAATTCGTACTTTATGGAACTAGTTGTTGAATAAATTTGCATTATTTTTCTTCTCTACCGTAATTACGTTATCAAAAATATGTCATTAGAGGTTGTTAGCACGCGAGTCATCTCGCATGCCGATAACTATACACATACAGAGACAGTTAAGAGATTATTGTACCGCCCATTGTGTCATTAAGAAAAGAATAGAATAGATCTTGCAATCATTGTAACCCTCGTATTCACAAAGATACTATAAGTCTCATATAGCTCTGAATATTTTATCTAGCAATACTTATTAAATAATTTTTTAACTAATTCAGGATTATATTATGTTTATGAACAAGACTGCTTTAAGGAAGTAATAGAAAGATTTGTGCATAGATCGTGCATATCATTCAAATGAAAATTCATGTAAATTCTAATGCAATTTGTTCTTCTAGCAAAGCCGAAATCGTAACAGAAGTTCATTAGTATATAAACATATTTGTACATAATGAAGAAAACCTACCAGATGTTTGTGGTGTAGCGATGGGTGCTATCGTTGTAACAACGACTTGTTCCGAGCAACGATCTTCACATTGGCGTTCGCTTATAAAGTTGTTTCCATTTCCACCACATCCTCCATAATAGAATTGGCGACATCTATGCAAATATAGACATGACACACAAATATTATAGACAATTTTAATTAATAACATAGCTCATAATAATAAATTCTCAATTTACCTTCTCTTTGATGTGTCGTAGAACCATCTCAGTGTGTAATCTGCACTTTCGCCAGTTAATGCCGGCAATGTGCAAACTTCTTGGACTGTAAATAAAGTATGTAACTTTATAGAAACCAAAGAGTAACAGAATAATATATAATAATGAGCCAATAATGTGCAAAATATAAGAAACCCATTTCCGTTCACAGTTTAGGTTCGAGCGCATGCCGTCAACATAATAAAAACTTAACAAATGACAAGGACTTACCAAAAATATAAAATCTTTACTTTTCTATTTAAGTGATTACTTATATATAGAAATACAATTACCGTAGGTGCTAGGACAAGCATCAACACAATCTTGTTCACTGCCGAACTGATTATCGTTGCCTCCACAGCCCGTGTAATAAAAGGGCACACATCGATTCTCAGTCTGGCTGAAAGACCAGACCGGCTGCTTTTCAGTGCAGTTTCCTGCCTCTTGTGGAAGAATGCATTCCGCTGTGCGTGCAATTAGTAGAATTATTACATATACCATACACCAAAGCCGAGAAGGAATAGAGAGTAACTCTAAATAAATATTAGGTTGGGGAAAAAGTTTCTTCGCATTTTTTAAGAAAATTCACATTTTTTAATATACTTTATTTACATTAAACTAAAGTAGGTAGGTACCATTTTATTCGATAACTTTTTGCCATCTTATAGGTAGGGACATGATCCCATTGCTATAGAAATTTTGGGGCTTCTGATCAAAATATCGCGACAATTGGTTTTGGCACTCCTCTCGAGATGTTAACCTGACACTGCCTAAAGAATACTGAAGAGATCGAAAAAGGTGGAAATCTGAAAGTGCAAGTTCAGGACTATACGGCGGATGCATTAACACCAAATTTTTGCTGAGTGGCTAAAGATGTGTGAGGTCTAGCGTTATCATGATGACAAACCACACCCCTTCTGTTGATTAATTTCGGCCGCCTTCTCTCAGCTTCTTGCTTTAATCCCATCAGTTGTTCGCAGTAGAGTTCAGAATCGATGGTCCTGCCTAGTGGTAACAGCTCATAATGAATAATCCTACCACACACACAGCATCACCTTGTTACGAGTTAACCCGGGTTTCACCACACTCTGTGGAGCCTGACCGGCCTTTCACCACGACCTTTTTCGCACGTTCTTGTCGTACGTGATCCACTTTTCATCACCAGTTATCAGCTTCTTCAAAAATGGTTCGTTTTCATTACGTCGTACTAAAGAATCACAAATGAGTACACGGTTCATTAGGTTTCTTTGAGTGAGCTCGTGAGGTACCCAAATATCGAGCTTTTTGTGTACCCAGTTTTTTTCAAATGGACCAAAACTGTTTTGTGGTCAATTCCCAGTTCTTCACCTACGTCGTAACTACTGATATGCCGATCTTGCTCCACTTTTTCAAAAATGTCATCCATTTTCTCCGTAATAGGGCGACCAGAGCGACGTGCATCATTAACATAAAAATTGCCGGATTGAAAACGCTTAAACAAAATTTGTGCTACTCTCACAGACACTGCACTAGGTCCATAGGCATCGCAAATTTTTTTCGCGGCTAGCGTTGTATTTTTACCTTTTTTGTAGTAAAATTTTAAAATGTATCGAATTTCTTCATTAGATTTACTCATCTTGACGGTACGAAAAATATATAAAATCACACATTTTCCTAATTTGAATTTGGAATTATTTTCTTTAAAATTTAAACTTTTAATGATACCAAAACCAGCCAGATACAAGTAGTATATTCAAAAAGATTTTATTACAAGTTCATACATACCTACTGTAATGCGAAAAGACTTTTTCCCCAACCTATTATTAAACACAATTCAGATTTTCTATCTCTGAACCAAGGACATGCAAACAAAATACTACCTGACAAGATACTAACATATCTATCTATCAAACCTTGTAACGAGCCAGGAGGGTTGCACCGCTGCATACACGCGGCTTCAGAGCCGAATCGGTTGTTGTTGCCCTCGCAGCCTCCCCAAATGAATTGAGAGCAGCGGCGTGTGGCAGAGTTGTAGCCCCAGCGCAAGAAATTACCAGCACAGGTACCTCGCTCAATCGGCAGATTGCTTGATTGATCTAAATTATTAAAGTTGTATTGTTATAATTCACATAAATTGTTGAAAAATTACATAGATGTTGGATGTATGTACCTTCAGTTTTTTCTGGTTCACAGCTCTTTTGACAGAGCTCCCGAGATTCAAAGTTATTATCGTTTCCAAGACATCCTCCATATACAAACTGAGCACATTGTTCTCTGACCGAGTCGTAGTACCATTTTACGTGGTAACCAGTACACGCACCCTTTACTTTGGGGAGGTTGCAAGCGTCTGTTTAAATGGAATAAATATTATAGTACATAGGAATGTAGACAAGAAGATGAAACCGTATTCTATACAGCATTTTTTACCTTTAGGAGTCGGGTTAACGCAAATGGCCATACATTCCTCTTTACTTGCAAATCGGTTTCCATTACCATCCTCTCCTCCGTACCAGAATCTCGAACAACCACCATATGTCATATCATAAAACCAATAAACTGTATAGTTCTGGCCTACACCTCGGTCATTCGCTAAAGCGCATGCCGCTAAAAATAAAATGTATTGATTTCAATCACAGTGTTTACAAAATTTATACGAGTCCCAAACATCAATCGATAATTATACCTTGTCTATTTTCAGGTGCATCTGTACAATTTTGGAATTTCTCGCCAGCAGCTTCCGTTACACCATCAGGGCAGCATCCGTATTTGCTACTAGAGCAATCACATCCCTCCTTATTTGGTCCCATGGCCTCTGTGACGTCATCTCCACAGCAACCATATTTAGATTGTTGGCATAAACAACCATGCCAGTTTGGTCCAGTGGAAGCGGTAATACCATCAGGACAACAACCGAACTGATACGTGTGGCAACCACAACCTTCAAAGTCTGGCCCTCTGGCTGCAGTATGTCTATAAAAATATTATGTTTCAAAATATTACAAAATAGAATAGTATTAAAAATAATAAAATTGACTAACCTGTCGGGACAGCAACCGTGCTGAGTGTACTGACATCCACATCCTTCGTTGTTTCCTCCACGAGCAATTGTTACATTATCTGGACAGCATCCAAATTGGGCAAAGTTACAGGCGCAGCCTAAAAATAAAATGTTACAAAAATTATAATTAACAAATAATACGATTTTTTTTAAATAGTTAATAATAAGGTATTAGTTGTCAAGGAGTACCTTCAAGGTGCGGTCCTTCAGCGGGCTTATAATTGTCGGGACAGCAGCCGAATGCGGATTGCAAACAACAACCTTCATTCTGAGGTCCGTGCGCTGGAGTCTCACCGTCAGGACAGCAGCCGTAAGCTGATGTGTCACAGGACATGAAACATCCTTCTAAGTCTGGTCCTTGAGCTGAACAACATATCCCACTTAATACTGTATCCACAAGGTGAAACTTAGCTAAATATCTATACTTATTTACAATAAAATACGAACCAGTCGAAATACCATCAGAGCAGCATCCGAATTCACTGATGCTGCATGGACAGCCCTCTCCATTTGGTCCTGAGGCATCAGTTTCATTGTCATAACAACATCCGAATTCAGTGTCGTTGCATGATTCAAGCGTAGTCAGTGTCGAGGTTTCCGTAGCTGCAGACACACATCCCAATAAACTCGAGGAAGAAGGTGTTATTTCTAAAACATTATATGTATTATTATTAGGTACCTGTTTCCGTGCAACCTTCCTTATTTAGACCACTTGCTTCGGTTTCATTATCATCGCAGCAACCAAATCTACAATAAAAAAAATACAAATGGCAATTCATTCGTTAAAAATGCATGCAAATATTTGTAAAATTACAACACTTACTTAGATAGTTTACAGGCTGGTGGAGGTGGAGGACACCCTTCTTGGTCATTCCCTAAAGCTGCGGTGACATTATCGGATGAACAACATCCATACAAAGTTAATTTACACGAAATCATTGGGCAGTCCTTGCCCATCATGCTACCAGCTGGTGACACGCCATTAGGACAGCATCCAAATTTCGTTTCCTTGCAAGTTTTTGTACTGGATACCTCTGTAGTAACAGAGTCGGTCGCATCAGATTCAGTTGTTACGTCTATGCTACTTCCTGTTGTATATGAAATTTCTGTCGTTTCAGTAGATAGAGTATTTTTTGATTCAAGTGTCGTGTCTGTTATAGTGTGTTCTGTTGTTTCAGTGAATGAATCTGTTATCACAGTTTCTGTGGAACCAGATGCTATTGTACTATCTGAAGCTTTTGTTGCCTCAGTTGAAGATGAGGGTTCTGAAACCGTGCTTTCAGTGGCAGCTTGCGTAGTCTCTGTTGCTGTTGTACTCTGTTTGACTTTTGTTGACAGAGATTCAGTGCTTCCTATTAATGAACACATAATTAGTTAAGTCTTGCGAATAAACAACATAGATCAAAATTGACTTTCATAATAAGATAAATAAAAAACAAAGTTTGGAACCTTTTGTTACGCTGGGAGTGTCGCTACTTTTGGTAGATATTGTTTAATTTGAAATGCTAGTGATACATAATATATCAAATTTGTGGACTTAATATTTATAAACACACAGTGCAGTGTTTTTAAAGGAATAAATTTTTGTATCGGAATTAAATGATGAATGAATAAAGTAACCTCCAAGTCCTTTGAAAACACCGCATCGCTTTTCACATTCCTCTTCGGAGCGGTAACTGTTAGCATATCCGCAAGCACCAAAATCACCAACAACACAGGCCTCTGTTCTAGAGTCGTAGTAATACGTGTTCACATTAGGACCACACGGCCGAATAGAAACCGGAGTACGACACTCACCCTAAAATTAAAAAAATTAAAAAAACACTATAGGTAGAAGAAAAGAGAAATAAAAATACAATCTAAAATTTATTAATATGAATAAAAAATAAACTCAAAAAATTCCTTTTTATTCTACATCAAAGACTCACAGTTGATGAAGGAGTAGTAAGAGGTCCTTTAGTGGCTTTATCTTTGACCACACGGCAACGGTTCTCACATTCTACTTGAGAATCAAACCTAAAACAAAACTTCAAGAATAATTGCATGTAAATAATATAAATTATGTCTGTGCGGAGATTTATACACTTATTTAACCAACACTAAAATACTCTTGATGAAAGAAAAAACGACAAAAAGTGTAAAACTGACTAACTGATCGAAGGTCAGTAACTAAATTACAAATACGTGAGATCCGTCCGGTCTGTTGTAATCACAATCAAACACATTGTTTTTATTCTCATCCCGAAGATAGCTCAAATTAGTCTAGTCGACAAGTTGAAAATGGAACAAAATAGAGATACTGCTCTTAAAATTATGTGCGATAGCTCATTGGATCCGGAATGACGTCTAGAAAAATATGCTAAAAGCGTGTATTAGCACCATTGATATACAAAAACCCAAGATGCACAATCAACGTCTAAAAAACGTCCTCAAAAAATGAGCGCAACATTCTAAATTGTGCGCTCATTTCAAATAGTCTCGCGTCTATAAGTGGAGTCGATGTTATTTATTTGTGTTTTTTTTATAAATAAATTTATGTACTCTTGAACTTTTTTGTGTGTAGTTTTTGACAAATATATTTACGCTATATAAAGTGTGGGTCAGGAGGTAGCCAATTTAACATTTTTTTTTAATTTAAAGAATAAACTTTTTAACCGGATTAATGTTATGTATTATTTATAAATTTACAACTATTTAACATCCAACACCTTTTGTCTTCAGTCACCGTGACCACTCACGCTGTAAAGCACCCGAAAAGTCGTATAAATTTAAAATTATGTTAAATAGTTGTAAATAAAAAAGTCATGTTCGACTCCACTCAATACCTTGTCCTACCGACCACGGTCGGTCGTAAAATTTTATTGCTTTAAGTACAACAATACTTTGTATACACTGCGTTGTAATAACAACTTTAAGCAATTCGCGTAAGGTTGATTTTGCAATAATATATGCTTGTAACATATTTGTAACATATACTGTTATGGACAGAAATAGTGTTTCGGGACACTTTCGAGCGTTACTTTTATTCGAGACTGTGCAACTTGGGTTTTTTGAATGTATATCAATGATTAGCACATAAAAAATTGCAAAAGTTATAGACAATTAAAGATGAAAAAAAATGGCATTTAGTTTTTTACCAATATTTAATAAACTATTAATATTTAAGAAATTTCAAATAAAGATTTTGAAAGAGGGGGAAATTTCCAATAAAAAACTCCTAACTCCCGGAACTCTATCTCCATTATTTATAATTTTAATTTAACGCTGAAAATAGGTCTGCGGGTGACATTTTTAGGATTCGCGCGTGGCGTCAAAAGCGACTAGGGGAAAAGCCGGATAGTTGCCCCACTTTTCGAAAAAGCTTTATATTTTTTAAATATGAACTTGCTGAAAATTATTCAGTATGTATCTCGCAACATAGGTCTTTTATCTTCTATAAAAGCCTATTTTTGTATACATAATTAACAATGGTTTTGAATAAATACCGTTTTATTTCACCTCTCAGAAAAGGGATAGTTGCCTACTATGGCGGATAGTAGCCTAGCGTAGAAAATGCATCGGGGGATACTTGCCTCGTGCGTTTTTATTTTGGATAGAAAGAAATTTATATCAAATAGAGTAATCTTTATTATTTATTTAACAGTCTTTTCAATTTACTGAGATCTTTATTAAGTACAATTTGAAATATTAAGAAACAACATTAATTTTTTCTCCTCTTTCTTAGCTAATACTTTACCAATTTTATTATTGAGTTGGACACCGCTTTCATCCATGTTAAATATTTTATCTGACTTATCCAGCAAATTATTCTCAGTTAAAGTCGAAGTCAATGGCGGAAATTTTTTGTTTTGCAAATCAATAAATATCTTGTATTAATAAAAAAACGATTATATGATGATTTAGAAAAAAAAAAAATTTTAACAACATTACATGGATTTTTAAGTTTTTGTTTAACTAAAAAAATTTTTATAAACAAAGTATAAATATTTTTTTAACTTTTATGGCACGATCTTGTTAAGTATGTATGTAAAAAAGGCTCTACGAAGCGAAATATTTTTACGACCATTATTTTTAAAAAAAATTTCACTTTACACAATTAAGACGGTCGTTCGAGAAAATTTCGTTAGTTAACAATTATTTAACTTGTTGAAAAATTAACTCTAAGTAAAATTTTCAACGGGAATAAATTAATTATAGTGTTCAGAACACACCATAATTTTTTCAAATTAAAAAAAAATATTCAATACCTTAAATAAATTAATTAATGTGCCGTAGTCGCTTTTGACGCCACGCGCGAATCCTAAAAATGTCACCCGCAGACCTATTTTCAGCGTTACATTAAAATTATAAATAATGGAGATAGAGTTCCGGGAGTTCGGAGTTTTTTATTGAAAATTTCCTCTTCTTTCAGAATCTTTATTTGAAATTTCTTAAATATTAATAGTTTATTAAATATTGGTAAAAAACTAAATGCCATTTTTTTTTCATCTTTAATTGTCTATAACTTTTGCAATTTTTTATGTGCTAATACACGCTTTTAGCACATTTTTCTAGACGTCATTCCGGATCCAATGAGCTATCGCACATAATTTTAAGAGCAGTATCTCTATTTTGTTCCATTTTCAACTTGTTGACTAGACTAAATAGCTGTCGTTTCATATGTACTCATTTTGCTTGAAATCAAATATGTATTGTGCTTTATGAAGATTATGTTGTGTCATCATTAGAAACTTTGTTGCTGATGAATACGTAGAATCTATATGATTTAAAATCTGTTGAAGAAGCTACATACCTATTATCGTTTCCATAACAGCCTCCGTAAATAAACTCTCTACATATGTCTTGCTGTTCACTGTAGTACCATTTGCTGAATTCGCCTAAGCATTTACCTGGATCTAGTTCCTGCTTGCATGGATCTATTGAAAGAACAATTAATTATGATATAAAAGTCTGTTATAAAGAATAAATCTGTGGAGGCTCAGTTTATTAATTCAATCCAAATATCAGGAAATGATGCTTGTCTGTAACAATTTTAAGGTGGTTTCAGATTTTAATTTGCGAGTTATTGAACTAAAGATATTTGTTCCATATCTCACAATACAAAGCAAGCTTTAACTTCCCGAGACGTCAGTTGGCGAGATCACACAAGACGTTTTCAGATGTTTATTACTAAAAGTATACCTCACTAAAATTATAAATCCAATTCCAGGCTAACGTACTTGATAATGGTCTGCAAACTGACTCGCACTCATCGTAGTCAGCGAAGCGATTGGGACCTCCGAGGCAACCGCTGTAGGTGAAAGGCTCACATTGGTCATTTGTTGCGTTGTAGAAAATTTTAGGGATTACATCGTGACATGGTCCTGGATCCAACACTGTGCGGCATACATCTAAAATTTAGTTAAATGTATGTTAAAGAAAATTAATAATGTAAGAAATAGACACTTAACAAATTAGACAGTGATGGCAGATTCAATACAAACGGTGAAAGCATAACTAATCCAGACATTACCTTCAGTATTTGTAGCTTTTCTTGTTGTATCGCTAATTTAACATTAAATTTACGCTTACCAACACCCTGGAATGCTCCACAGATCCTCTCACATTCCTCTTGAGTAGAATATACCGCAGTTACCCTGCAGGAACGACCCAAGTCAACGTTTTGGTGGGAGACACAAGCACGTAGGGTGTCATCGAAAAACCATACTTCCCCTGCCCCTTCACATTCCTCTAATGTCGGAGAGACTCGACACTGTATTGATACGACCGCCTGTTAATTTTATCGGATTAGTACGACTCTCATTCGGTTATTAATATATTTTATTAACAAATAAATTTGCGTTATACCGGTGCGATCGTCGTAGTACTGACAGAGGGTGGACCAGTCTTGCAACGATGTTCACATTCTTCACGACTTCCAAACCTGGTGCAGATAGACAATATTAATTTAAATATGTTACGATATTTGAGTACATATGCCTCATATGAAAATCAAGTAGAGTGGGGCCAAAACATGTTCCAGATTTTTAAAATTAATTTCAAATTACATTTCAACACTTGTTTTCTGCTTTGTGATTGTAATAGGTTATAAAGTTTTGTCATAAACCGCAGGACCTTATATACTATGATATGTTTTTCGCGTCTCAATAAATAGATAGTTAAAACTTTTATTTAAGATTTCTCATCTGCTGCCTAATAAGCAAATCAATTTACCGATTCTCATTTCCTCCACATCCACTGTAAGCAAACTGTGTGCAAGAGTCAGTTGTAGCATCGTAGAACCATTGCATATGGGAGTCCTCACACGGTCCAGTTATCATCGGCAACTGGCAAGTATCTGAAGAGGATATGAACAATGCTTAATCTTTATTTACCCCCAGATTAAGGCAAATTAAAAAAAATAATATTATTGTATTATACTGAAATATAATCCTTGCTTATTATCAATTCGTGATGGTTTTGGTCTTACCTTGTACTGGGGAGCAGTAATGTTGGCAGAGCTCTTTAGATGGGAAGTTATCTCTATTACCACCACAACCTCCGTACTGGAACTGTACACAAGACCCGAGTGATGGGTCATATCCCCAACGTTCTTCAAATTGTGTGCATGGGCCAGGATCCAATCCCAGGAAACAGAATTCTGGGTAGGCAGTATTAAAGAGTCTTAATAATAAAAAAAGGGTGCGTGTACTTATGTACGCGCGTTAGAAGTGATACTTCTTTGGCATTATTAAAAATAGTATTTGATTGCATGCAAATAATTATTTACAATTAAATAATCAAAGACTGGAAAAGGAGTCATTATAGTCAGTAAAGTTCAGTTTACATTTGAAAAATTAAATAAATAAATATTATTATTCTCTTACATTAAGTGTAACATAAATTCTATTATTATTCGAATGTTGTTTTTAAATTATGTCCAATGCCGTAGCATCTTCCGTGGGCAACTTCATTCTGTTAATTTTGTGTCACGGTGCGCGCGCATCGTAAAATTTCTTTTTAATTTTTTCATAACGCGCCTAAAGAAGTATACTTTCAAAAAACAGCTAATAAATTACTGGTAATACTCGTACTTCTCAACTAGAGGAAATATGAATTAAACCCCTTTAGACTTCACGATTACACAGAATTAGCTTGTATCTAAAAGGACCTCAGGTTCCTTTTCCTTAGTATATCAAAATATTTATACATTATGAAGAAAACGTACCAGATGTTTGTGGTGTAGCGATGGGTGCTATCGTTGTAACGACGACTTGTTCCGAGCAACGATCTTCACATTGGCGTTCGCTTATAAAGTTGTTTGCATTTCCACCACATCCTCCGTAATAGAATTGGCGACATCTATGAAAAATATAGACATGTTATTTTTATTAAAAACATAGCGCATAATAATAAATTATCAATTTACCTTCTCTTTGATGTGTCGTAGAACCATCTCAGTGTGTAATCTGCACTTTCACCAGTTAATGCCGGCAATGTGCAAACTTCTTGGACTGTAAATAAGGTATGTAACTTTATAGCAACCATAGAGTAACAAAATAATATATAATAATGAACCAATAATGTGCAAAATATAAGAAACCCATTTCCGTGCACAGCCCTGCGATTCTGTAACTCACTTTTCGAACTCACACAGCGGTTTTCGCATCGGCGGTCGCTCTCAAATCAGTCGTGAAGCAGTCATTTTATGATTTGGCATTCTGATAAACTATAAACTACAAGCTCCTACCTTTTCAGAATGCCAAATCATAAAATGACTGCTTCACGACTGATTTGAGAGCGACCGCCGATGCGAAAACCGCTGTGTGAGTTACAGAATCGCAGGGCAGTTTAAGTTCGAGCGCATGCCGTCAACATAATAAAGACTTAACAAATGACAAGGACTTACCAAAAATATAAAATATTTACTTTTCTATTTAAGTGATTACTTATACATAGAAATACAATTACCGAAGGTGCTAGGACAAGCATCAACACAATCTCGTTCACTGCCGAACTGATTATCGTTGCCTCCACAGCCCGTGTAATAGAAGGGCACACATCGATTCTCAGTCTGGCTGAAAGACCAGACCGGCCGCTTTTCAGTGCAGTTGCCTGCCTCTTGTGGAAGAATGCATTCCGCTGTGCGCGCAATTAGTAAAATTATTACATATACCATACACCAAAGCCAAAAAGAAATAGAGAATAATTGTAAATAAATATTAAACACCACTGAAAGATAGAAAAGAACCAAGGACATGCAAACAAAACACTACACAATCTACCCATACTAACATATCTATCTATCAAACCTTGTAACGAGCCAGGAGGGTTGCACCACTGCATACACGCGGCTTCAGAGCCGAATCGGTTGTTGTTGCCCTCGCAGCCTCCCCAAATGAATTGAGAGCAGCGGCGTGTGGCAGAGTTGTAGCCCCAGCGCAAGAAATTACCAGCACAGGTCCCTCGCTCAATCGGCAGATTGCATTGATCTAAATTATTAAAGTTGTATTGTTATAATTCACATAAATTTTTGTAAAATTACATAGATGTTGGATGTATGTACCTTCAGTTTTTTCTGGTTCACAGCTCTTTTGACAGAGCTCCCGAGATTCAAAGTTATTATCGTTTCCAAGACATCCTCCATATACAAACTGAGCACATTGTTCTCTGACCGAGTCGTAGTACCATTTAACGTGGTAACCAGTACACGCACCCTTTACTTTGGGGAGGTTGCAATCGTCTGTTTAAATGGAATAAATATTATAGTACATAGGAATGTAGACAATAAGATGAAACCGTATTCTATACAGATTTTTTTACCTTTAGGAGTCGGGTTAACGCAAATGGCCATACATTCCTCTTTACTTGCAAATCGGTTTCCATTGCCGTCCTCTCCTCCGTACCAGAATTTCGAACAACCACCATATGTCATATTATAAAACCAATAAACTGTATAGTTGTGGCCTACACCTCGGTCATTCGCTAAAGCGCATGCCGCTAAAAATAAAATGTATTAATTTCAATCACAGGGTTAACAAAATTTATACGAGTCCCAAACATCAATCGATAATTATACCTTGTCTATTTTCAGGTGCATCTGTACAATTTTGGAATTTCTCGCCAGCAGCTTCCGTTACACCATCAGGGCAGCATCCGTATTTGCTACTAGAGCAATCACATCCCTCCTTATTTGGTCCCATGGCCTCTGTGACGTCATCTCCACAGCAACCATATTTAGATTGTTGGCATAAACAACCATGCCAGTTTGGTCCAGTGGAAGCGGTAATACCATCAGGACAACAACCGAACTGATACGTGTGGCAACCACAACCTTCAAAGTCTGGCCCTCTGGCTGCAGTATGTCTATAAAAATATTATGTTTCAAAATATTACAAAATAGAATAGTATTAAAAATAATAAAATTGACTAACCTGTCGGGACAACAACCGTGCTGATTGTACTGACATCCACATCCTTCGTTGTTTCCTCCACGAGCAATTGTTACATTATCTGGACAGCATCCAAATTGGCCAAACATACAGGCACAGCCTAAAAATAAAATGTTACAAAATTTATAATTAACAAATAATACGATTTTTTTTTAATAGTTAATAATTAGGTATTAGTTGTCAAGGAGTACCTTCAAGGTGCGGTCCTTCAGCGGGCTTATAATTGTCGGGACAGCAGCCGAATGCGGATTGCAAACAACAACCTTCATTCTGAGGTCCGTGCGCTGGAGTCTCACCGTCAGGACAGCAGCCGTAAGCTGATGTGTCACAGGACATGAAACATCCTTCTAAGTCTGGTCCTTGAGCTAAACAACATATCCCACTTAATACTGTATCCACAAGGTGAAACTTAGCTAAATATCTATACTTATTTACAATAAAATACGAACCAGTCGAAATACCATCAGAGCAGCATCCGAATTCACTGATGCTGCATGGACAGCCCTCTCCATTTGGTCCTGAGGCATCAGTTTCATTGTCATAACAACATCCGAATTCAGTGTCGTTGCATGATTCAAGCGTAGTCAGTGTCGAGGTTTCCGTAGCTGCAGACACACATCCCAATAAACTCGAGGAAGAAGGTGTTATTTCTAAAACATTATTATGTATTATTATTAGGTACCTGTTTCCGTGCAACCTTCTTTGTTTTGTCCACTCGCTTCGGTTTCATTATCATCGCAGCACTCAAATCTACAATAAAAAATTATAATAAATGGCAATTCATTCAATAAAAATGCATGCAAATATTTGTAAAATTACAAAACTAACTTAGATAGTTTACAGGCTGGTGGAGGTGGAGGACACCCTTCTTGGTCATTTCCTACAGCTACGGTAACATTATCAGATGAACAACATCCATACAAAGTTAATTCACACAAAATCACTGGGCAGCCCTTGCCCGTCATGCTACCAACTGGTGACACGCCATCAGGACAGCATCCAAATTTCGTTTCCTTGCAAGTTTTTGTACTGGATACCTCTGTAGTAACAGAGTCGGTCGTATCAGATTCAGTTGTTACGTCTATGCTACTTCCTGTTGTATAGGAAATCTCTGTCGTTTCAGTAGATAGAGTATTTTTTGATTCAAGTGTCGTGTCTGTAATAGTGTGTTCTGTTGTTTCAGTGAATGAATCTGTTATCACAGTTTCTGTGGAACCAGATGCTATTGTACTATCTGAAGCTTTTGTTGCCTCAGTTGAAGATGAGGGTTCTGAAACCGTGCTTTCAGTGGCAGCTTGCGTAGTCTCTGTTGCTGTTGTACTCTGTTTGATTTTTGTTGACAGAGATTCAGTGCTTCCTATAAATGAACACATAATTAGTTAAGTCCTGCAGAATAAACAACATAGATAAAAAATGACTTTCATAATAAGATAAATAAAAAACAAAGTTTGGAACCTTTTGTTATGCTGGGAGTGTCGCTACTTTTGGTAGATATTGTTTAATTTGAAATGCTAGTGATACATAATATATCAAATTTGTGGATTTAATATTTATAAACACACAGTGCAGTGTTTTTAAAGGAAGAAATTTTTGTATCGGAATTAAATTATGAATGAATAAAGTAACCTCCAAGTCCTTTGAAAGCACCGCATCGCCTTTCACATTCCTCTTCGGAGCGGTAACTGTTAGCATATCCGCAAGCACCAAAATCACCAACAACACAGGCCTCTGTTCTAGAGTCGTAGTAATACGTGTTCACGTTAGGACCACACGGCTGAATAGAAACCGGAGTACGACACTCACCCTAAAATTAAAAAAATTAAAAAAACACTATAGGTAGAAGAAAAGAGAAATAAAAAACAATCTAAAATTTATTAATATGAATAAAAAATAAACTCAAAATATTCCTTATTATTCTACATCAAAGACTCACAGTTGATGAAGGAGTAGTAAGAGGTCCTTTAGTGGCTGTATCTTTGACCACACGGCAACGGTTCTCACATTCTACTTGAGAATCAAACCTAAAACAAAACTTCAAGAATAATTGGATGTAAATAATATAAATCATAATGTCTGTGCGGAGATTTATACACTTATTTAACCAACACTAAAATACTCTTGATGAAAGAAAAAACGACAAAATGTGTAAAACTGACTAACTGATCGAAGGTCAGTAACTAAATTAAAAATACGTGATGATCCGTCTGGTCTGTTGTAATCACAATCAAACACATTGTTTTTATTCTCATCCCGAAGATAGCTCAAATAGCTGTCGTTTCATATGTACTCATATTGCTTGAAATCAAATATGTATTGTGCTTTATGAAGATTATGTTGTGTCATCATTAGAAACTTTGTTGCTGAGGAATACGTAGAATCTATATGATTTAAAATCTGTTGAAGAAGCTACATACCTATTCTCGTTTCCATTACAGCCTCCGTAAATAAACTCTCTACATATGTCTTGCTGTTCACTGTAGTACCATTTGCTGAATTCGCCTAAGCATTTACCTGGATCTAGTTCCTGCTTGCATGGATCTATTGAAAGAACAATTAATTATGATATAAAAGTCTGTTATAAAGAATAAATCTGCGGAGGCTCAGTTTATTAATGCAATCCAAATATCAGGAAATGATGCTTGTCTATAACAATTTTAAGGTGGTTTCAGATTTTAATTTGCGAGTTATTGAACTAAAGATATTTGTTCCATATATCACAATACAAAGCAAGCTTTAACTTCCCGAGACGTCAGTTGGCGAGATCGCACAAGACGTTATCAGATGTTTATTACCAAAAGTATACCTCACTAAAATTATAAATCCAATTCCAGGCTAACGTACTTGATAATGGTCTGCAAACTGACTCGCACTCATCGTAGTCAGCGAAGCGATTGGGACCTCCGAGGCAACCGCTGTAGGTGAAAGGCTCACATTGGTCATTTGTTGCGTTGTAGAAAATTTTAGGGATTACATCGTGACATGGTCCTGGATCCAACACTGTGCGGCATACATCTAAAATTTAGTTAAATGTATGTTAAAGAAAATTAATAATGTAAGAAATAGACACTTAACAAATTAGACAGTGATGGCAGATTCAATACAAACGGTGAAAGCATAACTAATCCAGACATTACCTTCAGAATTTGGAGCTTTTCTTGTTGTAACGCCAATTTAACATTAAATCTACGCTTACCAACACCCTGGAATGCTCCACAGATATTCTCACATTCCTCTTGAGCAGAATATACCGCAGTTACCCTGCAGGAACGACCCAAGTCAGCGTTTTGGTGGGAGACACAAGCTCGTAGGGTGTTATCGAAAAACCATACTTCCCCTGCCCCTTCACATTCCTCTAATGTCGGAGAGACTCGACACTCTAGTGATACGTCCGCCTGTTAATTTTTTCGGATTAGTACGACTCTTATTCGGTTATTAATATATTTTATTTACAAATAAATTTGCGTAATACCGGTGCGATAGTCATAGTACTGACAGAAGGTGGACCAGCCTTGCAACGATGTTCACATTCTTCACGACTTCCGAACCTGGTGTAGATTGGAAATATTAATTTAAATATGTTACGATATTTGAGTACTGGATGATTCGTATAAAAATCAAGTGAGGTGGGGCCAAAACATGTGGCGGATTTTATAAAAAAATCTGCTTTGTAAATTACATTTCAACACTTGTTTTTTGTTTTGTGATTGTAATAGGTTATAAAGTCTTGTTATTAACCAAAGGAATTGACATACTATGATAATTTCGCGACTTAACAAAGAGATTGTAACCATGGTATATTTAAAAAGTCTATTGCTAAGAGAAGACTGTTTCTTGATACAATTTGGCTGAAGTTTTCACTCCTTTTTCACAAAAATGTATTTTTGCGACTCCTTGATAAGATACGCCCCACCAAACCATCACTGACGCAGGATGATGACCACCTTTCCGGCCACTTGAGCATCTTCCTTAGAACTGTGAGCGTACACTTTATCATTTTGCTTATTCTTCAACTGTTAAAAAATTTTCTTCGATAAAGAGGATATTTCTGTGCTTTTCACCTGCGTATCGCGACAGAAGGCGTTTTGATCGATCCACTCTCTTTAATTATTGTTAAGATTTATTTAGGGCATGTCCTGTATATCGACGATAATCACCGCGCTTCAGGTCTTGTTTAATAATACGCGACAGTCCTAGCGGGAATCTTCATCTTCACCTCTTTTTCATCTCATGATGAGATTTTTTGCTTCCTATTGGGGTTTCGACGAGTTCTGGCTTTAACAGCATTAAGCACGCGGACGCCCCGATCTTTTCTGTTCTTCGGCAGACAAAGTGTTGTTGTATCTATTGATAGTACGATATATGAACATACGGCTGATACCAAGCTTATAAAGTGAATCGCCGGAATATGAAAAATTTAGAATAATTTCTTATTGACAGTAATAAAATTAGAAATTATTGTAATTGTTTCAATTTGGGATTTTAGGGACCTCCCTATAAGGAAACGAAAATTATTGGTGTCTTGAAAATCGTTATAAACAGTTTAGACTGTATACAATATATTTATTAACGCTACGATTTCTTTTAATATAAAATAAACGTATTTTATGCAACATTTACGCATTTTTGTATTTTTATCATCGCAAGTGACAAAGAAAATCGTTACTTTACAAAAAAAGCGCGTATTATTCGTTATGAAGACAATTTTTTTCACATTCCTCTTGTGTGAACCTAGAAAAACCTGAAAAGACTACACCAAAGGTTGGTTTATTTAACTTGACGTTAATTCCACGATATATAAATGTTTCGGATTTGGAGCTTTACTGATTTTTCTACTGTCAAAAATAAATACCTGTTACTATTTCCATTGCATCCACTGTAAATAAATTTAAAACATTTATCTTCAATTTCGTAGTAGTACCATTTAGCTATTTGTTCCGTGCAATCCCCTACATCAGGAATTAGCTGACAAGGATCTGCGAATTAATAAAACATTTTAATTAATTTCATTTATAGATGATCTCATCTCATAGAAAGAGAGACAATTTTCCAACAAATATTGACATTTAAAAACGAAATCAGTAGGTATATAATACTGTTTTAACTAAATTACTGATCAGTCACTGTGTCTCAATTTGTCAAAAACGGCTGATGACTAATTTAGTTCTATGAAAAATCTCTATCACTTTACATGCTGATAGTTTATTTCTAAATTTTGTTAGGTAAAATGTGATACTAACTTGCATGTGGTCTACATATATAGTTACACTCCTCAATACTAGAGAAGCGATTAGGACTGCCGCGGCATCCGCCATAAGTAAAGTTTTCGCATCGTTCCGCTTTTGAATTGTAGTAAACTTTTGGTACAGCCTCATGACAGGGCCCCGAGTCCTTTGGATAGCTGCAAACGTCTGTTACACAACATTAGTTTAAGTAATATACATTCAAAAGACGTATAGTGAATTATTATAAATATTTATTATATATGACCTTCCTATAGTGGACAGCTGAATATGGTTAGTTTAGTCACATTTCGTCGCGTGCATTTTAAGGAAAACGTATTATAATATAATGTTAAGAAGGAATTATGCTTACTTATATCTTGGTATAATCCACATTCTCTCTGACAACTTTCTTCAGAAGTAAACGTAGCTGTGATCCTACATGAACGTCCAGAGTCTGCATTGTCAAAGGAAACACAAGTCCCGTTAGCCACATTGAAGTACCAAACCTTGCCAGGTTTCTTACACTCCTCTAGATTGGAGGATATCTCACAAATACTCGCAATAAATCGCTAAAAAATAAAGCATGTTGCAACTAATTATTTAAACAACTGACTGAATAAAAAAGTTCCTACGGGATAAGACTTTAGATAAAATTGAATAACTGTCGAAATTATTATTTTGATTCTAATTTGCGTAGTGATACATTAGGTCACATCTGGGAAATGGTGGAAAACGTGAGAACTTAAAACGTAAAACAAAATGATAGTAAAAATAAAATAGATTCGTTTAATGGTGATTTGCAAATGGAAACGGTTAACGGAAAGCACGTCTGTGTATACTATTTTACAAGAGATACTGTTAAACAATCACTATCACAATCACAATTTGTCTTTAATTTCACATTTTCAACTAAAAATATTTTTAATGAAAAGAAATTTCAATTATTAATACCGGAAATTCGACTATGTACTCAAGTGCAACAAATGTTCCTCTTTTGCACCGACGTTCGCAATCCAGCAGTGTTTCGAAACTAAAACAAAAGGACTTTCTATCACAACATATTACCTTTATTATTATGTAATATATGCTGAATTCAGAGTATGTATTATTCCAGTTTTTATCTTTATCCAAATCACTTCAGTTACAGATTTTTTGTTGTTTTATATATGATACAACAAAACAGACACCTTAACATTTATAATATATAGAGCTGAAATACAATTTAATTATTGCAAATCTTACCTATTTTCATTGTTTCCACAAATATTATCACCAAAAAGGGTGCAGGAGTCAGTAGCTGCATCATAAAACCACTCAGTGCCACTACTATTACAAGGAGTTTTGACTGTTGGTAGTTTGCATATATCTAGAGGGACAATAATTCAATATTAATAAAAAAACATTCTTTTATTTTGTTATTGAATTGTAATAATAATAATAAGCCATTTTATTTCCTGTTTTACAATAGTTGGTAGTTGCTATATTACAAGTAACCAAAAAAATATTTTTGTTAATAGATTTAATATTTGTATCTTTGGAGGGTTTTGGTCGTAATCTTCCAAAGTGACCAGCCGGGTTGGAAGATTTCTTGTGTTTTTAATTGAAGTTCGTTTATTTGAAATATCGATGTGAAGAGAGGAGGTTAGTTGCTATGCATTTTTGTTCAAAATATTTTTACTTGTAAAAAATGCTTGGTTTTATGGTCTCCGGTGACCCTATTAGACCTTGTGGCCTTTATTTTTGAGCTAGACTGTTGTTGTTTATTCTTTTTTGTTTTATATAACATACGATAAAAATATGTTGAGACAAACACCAACAACGAAAAACTACTACCTAAACGAACTAAATCCCGTTACGAACTGAAACAGTGTGTTCATATTAGTGAAATTTTTGCGGTCTATATATAATTATTTACAATTACTAGGAGAAAATACCCTGTATCTGGGCATATTTAGAACTTTTTACTTAGGGCGAAATCGCCCTGTCCTCTAACTTTGTGCGGCTATACAAAGACCATTGATGTTTCAGGAGGCTCATAAACGGTATTTTACTCTTAAGAGTCTATTTTTGTGTAGTTATACCGTGTAAACCCGTAGAAGATCATAATATTTAAGTTTATATTGCAAAATATATAAATATATATATATATTCAAGTTCGCAGCTAAAATTAATATCAATGCTTGCTATTTCTTGTAAGGTTATAAGTGTCATTCGAATGATTTTATACTAGGCTTTCAATTTAAAATCTTATTAAACCATCGGTTAAGGTAAAAAATTGATTTTAGATAACATTAGTGTTGTCCTCTAAATTTGGTAAGGTGGACTGACCATTAGACGTAACGGTCTTATTATTCCCACTTCCCTGCGTAACACTACTGTTCTTAGTTCGGATTTTAATAAATAAAACATTGTTTTGTTTATGGATGACGCTTTCTAGCGAAAAAACCGTCCGTAGTTGTCAAAAAATTGTGTCCACTACAAACGCTTCGAAACAAAGTCAATGGTAGGGGAGCCCACGATGCTAAATGGGGATTTACTCGAGCGTCGTAGAGACCTATTGGGATGCAAAGCTTAAATAATAAGAAGAAAAAAATGTTATATGATAAATTCCTTTTCATCGGTGGGGGAAGCGGCTATAGATAGTTAAATATGTAAAAAAAAACTGTTGCATGGACATCCTCGAGCGCGTCAGATATTGATAGCATCTATGCCCTACGTATTTTTAATAATCTACGTATGTTAATCTGATCGTTTGCATGATGCGGGTGGTTGTATTTAAGGGTTGAAAATGAAAAAAAAAATTATCGAGCGCGTCAGATTTTCTAAGGGAGTGTTAAGTGCACCAAAAAAAAGCTCTCATTCACTAATCTGACGATTTCGATGGGACGCAAACCCACAGCCATTTTCATAATTTGCAAAAAAAAATCGCAATTTTGAAATACTCAAGCGCGTCAGATTAAAATATATGTGGTTCATCTTTATGTTCTAAACGTACTGTCTCATAATCTGACGATAATCTAGAGGGATTCGCCTGATCTGACAAAAAAAAAAATAGAAAAACGGTTCACCTAAAGGGCATCCCTGCAACTTCCCGCTAATTCCATTCCTGGGCGCTTAAAACTGATATTTTGAGCTCGCCGAGTTCAAAGAAATAATATTTCTATGCATTTGACCTCTACCAGCTCGAAAGTCTGATAGAAGTTTCATAGAACACTATTTTTGGAATTTTCAAACCGCAATAACTTTTGAATGGATCAAGCAATTTTCACGCGGTTGGCGGCATTCGACGCAGTTTTATCATCCTCATAAGTAATTTTAATTGATCGAACCACAAATTTCGGAGTAATCCCGAAAAAACACATTTTCGGGTTTCTTTCGTTCACGATATCTCTCGAACGAATCAACCGCTTTTGACCAGCTTGGTGGCGATCGACGTGGTTTTTCAAGCTCAAAGGCGGATTAGTTTTTGAAGTTGATCGATAAAGAAACCACATGAAAAAAAACATTTTTTTTGAGATATATCAAAATTTCAAATCGGCTCAAATTCACAGGAAATGTAATTTTGAGGGAAATATTTAGAACGCCGTTTAGTAGATTCCGATCGGTTAAGTCGTTCAAAAGTTATAAGCGAGTCACACGCACATACATACAGACATAGTGACAACATCACGGAGGTAGTCAGGGAAGCTTCCTATGACCTTAAAACGTCAAGATCTGATGAAAACTCGATTTTCGCAAAACGGGTTAAAACCAATAACTTCCCGAATTGTTTAAAATTTAAAATTTTTCTTAGCGGGAAGTCAAAATTTTTTTTATTTTTTTTAAATCATTGAACTTAATTAATTGAAAAGCTCAGGAAATAGCATGCAAATAAATAAGTGTATGCTTTTTTAGTAGAATACATGTATTTATTAAAAAAATACTTTAAAAAAAGCTTAAAACAATTTAATGTTTTATAATTAATTGATTAATTAATCATCTTCATCCGTAGTATCATCTTCCTCTTCTGGCTCAATTTCATTCTCAGATTGCGTATCTGTAACAAAAAATTATTAAAATATTTAACAATATTTTCTTTATGAACAACGTGTTTTTTCAATTATTGAAGAAAAGAAATACCCGATTCTGGAGTATCATCAAGAATATCAGTTGTTATGACTACATCTTCGTACGCTTTCGGCAAATGCTCACCTGCAAACCAGTTCATTTTAAATTTCTCGTCGACAATTTTCCATCCATAGTCCGTTGGTAAATGATCAGTAATTTTTGCATTATGGGCATTACTCCATAAGCATGCAATGAATTTTGTGCGTAACACTTGCTGGAGTAACTCCGATTCACAGGGTGGCAAGTTGCAGGCATCGTAATGCCGGACACTCAAGGAGAAGGGTTGCGACTTGTCTTTTACTTTGTATGTCCTATTGAATATGATAATCCTGGCTTGATTGACATCGTCTAACTTTTTCAACCCATACAAGTGGCAAGTAAAAGACTGTATAATGTTAAAAGAATCCTGCACATTATGCTCATTTGATCCCAAATCCACAAATGCTTCTTGGAAAATTTCTGAATTCATTAATAATTGTAAAGGTTTCTTTTTCCCTCGTCGGTACAATGCTGGGTTGAGATCGCAACCAGTGAATGCATGCAAAGCTGGAAGCGCTTTCGAAATTTTTGAACCTAATTTTTTGTAGAGAGCGGATGCGTCGATGCGTCGGCGGGCATTGCCAACTCCAAGATCCATCCAAACTCCTACTCTTGCTTGCAGGTGTTCCATATTTGCTAACATGATGACCACTATATCAGTATCAGAAGTTCTGACAGTAATGGTAGAATCTTCATTTTGTTGGCAAGCAACAAATGCTATCTTCGTATCCGCTTCTTCGTGATCAGCGCATGACAACTCATTATTAATGAGGCGTGTTACTTTATTCTCAGTAACAGAATATTCATAACACAAATCATGTATTATGTAAATTACCTTACTACCGATAATTGTTGCCATCTCCTGATCAGCCCAATGGTCGATCAAAAACTTGACAATAGCTTCTTTAAACTTTAAATTTTTTAAGTATTTCGTAAATTCTGCTGTTCGTGTTTGTTGAGGACCGGAAATGTGGAATTCCTTGTCATCTACACTACCTCGAACAGAATGCTCATAATCCTTGATAGAGGGTGTGAAGTAGCGATCGAATACAATGGCAACTTTACTTGCAGCGTTATTGACAAGGCATTGTAATATTTTCTTTGACACACCTCCAAAACTACGGGGCATTTCTTTAAAAGTATGTAAAAAGAAGAAGCCTATTATAGATATAATTACAAGGTCAACTTGGGGTGGCGGTTGCTCCATATCTTTAACTTGTTTCTCTAACTCGTGAATTAGTACTGACTTATCAGTCTTGTTTAAAGAACCATCTATATGGCACAGTGATAACGGCATAGGAGTTATGGGAAAACAAAGTACTTTCTCCAAGTCTATACTCGTGTCAAGAGATAGAGCTAATAACCGTCCGAATAAATCCCGCTGCAATGTAACTTCGTGCACTTTTTCACCAATTTTCATTTTTTTTTCTTCTTGAGGCTTGCAAAACTTAGCACCTTATTTTTTTTTACTGGCTGGTGAAACCTGTCTGAATTTAAATTACATTCCATTATGAATTGATCACGCAGAAATGTTCCTCCAGACACTGTATTTAGTAAACAGTTTGTAATTTCTAGAGAAGCAGCTTGCCCCGTTGAAATGTTTAACAACAGATCCTTATCAATTGAAGAAGAAAATGGATTGATGGTCTGCAGGACACTGCTCGAAAAAGCTTCAATTTGGATGCGTTGTTTTTTCATTCGATCTGGGTGTAGATCAGCAGCAATATCATGGTAGTTTCTGTCAAGCCCTGCACGAGTAAGCACATGAGATATGATTCTTGTTCGCGCTCCATGATTTTTAGCCCAACGTTGTCTAGCAGAAATTGAATTTGTGAGGTTAACAATTCCAGTAAGACGACGAGCAGTTTCACCATTTATCGTCTGCTCTAGCGTTAAATCCACAGGAATTCGTGAGAAAGGCTTGCTGGTTCTTCTGATTCCAAACGAACCCTTAGCCATTTCAGATCGGAGGCCTGGATGTGTGTTATCTGCATGTTGCAGTAAATTTATGTAGTACACTAGCCATCGACTATAGTTTGGTTGATTGTAATAGAAGAATAAGCTGACGATTTTCGCAATGGTATATATGTACAATTCTAAATCTCCAACTCAAATACTTTTAATGAATAAGCGGTAAAGATTTATAAAATCAATGTACATTGCGTAAAATTGCGCCGTTCTTCCGTGCTTGCCGTCTAATGTGTCTTTTGTGTATTCTTC